AGCGCGTCCGGCGCGTCCCCGTGTGGCGGTGTGCCAGTGTGCCGGTGTGTGCCTCCGCTGTTAAAAACCGCTCCGCCGCCTGGACTGGCCGATGGCCCGACGGCCACGCCCTCCCATTACAGTGCTTTGGTCCTGCGAGTCCTGTGTGGTCAAAGTCTGAGTCAGCAGCACCGTCAATAAACCTGCTGCCGTTTCATGTCGAAATTTTCTTTTTGAGGAAACGTGAAACTGACGACGATGCACACAGGGGGGAAATCCGCTGCCGATGTTCCAAGTTCTGTTATTACTTTATTAGTTCGTTATTTTATCATGCCGCCCACACTGCATTCTGCGCAGCATGCATGCTCCCCGTCGAACTAAAAACTGTGCGAACAAAAAGGCAGACAAATCGTCTCTCTGCCTCTCCTAAAAAACCGAGTGCGGTAGGTTAGTGTCTGTGAGCACGCTGATACACCGCGATACACCCCCCAGCCCCACGTGCCAGACACCCAATATCCGAACCCCCAGCCGTGGGTCACCCCCCTCGCTTGGGGGGGGGGGGGGCAGCTGCAGCGGCGGGGTCACTTCAAAGCCGCCGCCGACGGCCACCCCGCCCGTCGCGTTGGTTGCGTCAGTCCGGCCGGCAGACCCGCGGCAACCGAATGGGCCGAGCAATTTTCTGCAGTAATAATGGAATTATCCTCCGTTTGCATAGCCCGCCCCGCCCCGCCATCGTGCGGTCAGCAGTGGCTGCAACCCCAGCAGCCTCCTCTCGTCTGTCCGTCTGTCCGTCTGCCTGTCCGTCCGCCCGCCCAGCCGTGCGACTGGGCCCCGCCGGGGGTCGCTGCGTCGCTATCGTTGCGCCCAAATCGGCTTTGCTTCCACAAAAGCATCATGTCCCCCTTTTTATTTTGGGTGCGGGCCGACCCCAGCGATGAGCCCCTAATGCCCCGCGGGATCAGCAGCAGAACGGATCGACCGGGAAATTATGAACCGAATCATGAATGGGAGCCTGGCGAACCTATCAATGGCCAATGAACGAATGATCGAATAAATGAATGAATGAATGAATGAATGAATGAATGAATGAATGAATGAATGAATGAATGAATGAATGAATGAATGAATGAATGAATGAATGAATGAATGAATGAATGAATGAAAATTAAGCCGTAAAACATTAGACGGAGAGAGTCAAGAAGGGGCTGGAGAGAAAGGGAGAGGGATGCCAAACGAGGGAGTTGAGGCAGCGCGCCAGCGGGCAGTACAGCCATAGACGCACGCCTTCAAATAAGGCCTGATGGGATCGGCGACGAAAAGCAGGGCGAGGCAGGGCGAAGGGGAGGCCGTGGGAGGGGCGGTGCGGCGGCGGGAAGGTGGATTCGTGGCATTCGGGGAAAGGGGGAGGGGGGGAGGCCCGCAAAGGACAAAACGAAGACTGCCTCAGTCAGCAGAGGAGCCGAGCACAAGGTTAAAAAGAAAGCACCAACAACAAAAGACGTTTGAACTCTGACCCTCGGCGGCCTGGCTGGGCCTGGCTGGCGGTGTTGGCTGGCTGTGGGCGTGGCAGTGGCGTGGCACCGAGGCACAACGCGTCTCGGGGCTCCTTCGCGCCGCCGCGCCGCTACGCGCTTCAATGGTAGGAAAAGCTGACTTGAAACTTGTTTCGCAAACTTGGGCCACTTAATCATCTAACAACTCGGTGGCCGCGTGAGCGCGCGAGAGCCTCTCCGAGAAGGCCCTCGGCAGAGCGACGGCAACGACGCTGGAGAGAGAGCGTCTTCCTGCTCTCTCTCTCTCTCTCTCTCTCTCTCTCTCTCTCTCTCTCGCACCCCTACGCAGCGCCCCGTGAGTGCGAGAGAGATAGCAGTGCTGCAGCCTCACGGGGCCTCACGGGGCCGGCCTGGGCAAGGGCCTGGGCGCCCCACGTGGGGTACACGTGTCGCACGCGGCGGGGCGGGCCCCAAAGGGGTCTGCTTCCCACGCCGGCAGTCCCATTCACCACCGCGCAGCACCGCGTAGCACCGCCCCGCTAACGGGCAATGGGTGCGACTTCGAAGAACCGCCCACCCGTCGGAGGAGTGTGACACGAGGCCTCACGAAGCAAGCACACCGCTCCAGCAGTCGTCTCTCTCGCACTCACGGGGCGCCCCTAAGTGCGAGAGAGACGACTCTCGGAATCAGTCTGCTGCTAAGCCGATCTCCCAAAGAGTCGCCTCGCCCTGGAGACCCCCTCTCCCCCCCCCCTCCTCCGGCCCTGAGCTTTCGCGCGGCAGGTGGCTCCAGCACACCTGCAGCCAGCCAGCCAGCCATTCACTGCCAGTCTCCGATTCTCGCCCAGTCAGTCCCGATATTACAACACTGCAAAACGATCGGGGGATCGAGGAGCATGAGCTGGCCCCCGTCGCGATATTGACGGCGTTTGGAGCTCGAACTCGAACCGCGACCGGAGACTCGATGACGGCATTGCCCATTGCCGCAGCGAGCCGCGGGCATCGCATCGCATCGCACGGCCGCAGCGGGTCGTCAACGCGGCGGGGGACGAGACGGCTTCTTCTCGCCGCCCCGCCCCGCCCCGCCACTACCTTTGCTCCAGGTAACCTATCCCCCTCCCCCTTTTCCTCGTTTTTCTTGTCCGGGAATCGAGGAGGGGGCTGTAGCGCGCTGGAGCCTGGAGCACGCTGGAGCCGACCCGGCGTGGACCCCGACGATAGAGGGGCCGGACCCAACGCAGCCTCCAGCCAGCTGGCTTCCACACACAGACACACACACACACACACACACACACGTGCACACACCGGTACGACGCAGGGAGCGGTAGCGCTGCGTCAGATCTTCACCTGCGCTCCGAATCGAGCGTAAAAACGATGAAACACGAAAACAGTATAGCCTGACCCTGGGAAGCGCTTGTAGTGTGCAGAGCGCGGACTTGGGCTACGCCAGGGACCGCGTTCCAAACGCGTTGGAGCTGCAGCACACCGCCACGCTGCACACACCATTTCGGCTATTTTGTGGATCTCATTTCAGCAAGCACAATGGCGCCGGACGTGTGTTGCTCTCTTTGAATGTGTGTGTGTGTGTGTGTCTGTGTGTGTGTGCGTGCGAAGGTGCGTGGGTGTGGGCGTGGGTGCGGGCCCATCCATGGCCTTCGCAGTCCCTTGGTCCTGCCAGTCCCCGCCAGTCCTTCCGGGCCAGACACCGTAGCGCCGTGCATGGCGCCTCGACTCAGCCGTGCCTTCCTTCACAGTGCAGGCGCTCTCTTCCTTCGCCCTTTTCTCGGGTTGCTCACAGAAACCTGAGCCAACGCTTCCCCCTCTCCGTTCCTGAATGTCCCTTTCGGGTGCCGGTGGTGGCGGCCGGTGGTGGCGCCAACAGGGACCCGTCGTCGTCGTCGTCGTCGTCCACCTCCCGGGGCCCGTGTGTCCGTCGGCGTCGGTGCCGGCGAGGGCGGCGAGGCGGCACGCGTCCGCCCGGCATCATCAACAACAACAACAACAAGACGCACCGCCGGCCCTGCCAGTAATCGAACCCGCGCGCGACAAATCATGTCCCTCGTGTCCGAAAACTTGTTCGGCTCGGTGTGTAGAGGAGGAGGGACACGCCCCTAGGGTCCTTTGCCGCGCGGTCCTTGCAGGGAACTGGAGCGCGTGCGCCGTGAGTGTGTGAGAGTGAGTGGGCGCGCTTGTGTGTGTGTGTGTGTGAAGGGTTAGGCCTTCCAGACGGCTGCCTGGCTGTCATGAGCACCGCTCTCATATTTCACCCTCATGTGGCCCGACGGGCTGACGGGGCCCACTGGCCGACGTGCCCAGTCGGGCCGGGCCCAGACCGTGTCGGCCGCGATGCGCCGTTTAACTCCTCTATCCTTATCTATCCAGCACCCCTCCATCCGCTCGCCTTGGCAGGATAGAACATAGAACGCCACCCTGTCACCGCACGCTGGCTGCGCTCTGCGGCGCTCTGCGCTGGCTCAAGGCTCGGGGCGGTCCTAGAACCCGCCATCCCATTCTATCCTCTCTCTCTGCGAGGCTGGCGAGGCGAGTTTGCATGGAGATATGCGAGAGTGGGATAGAGCGAGAGAGAGGGCAAACACTCGAGGGTTGGAGTGGCGCCCCGAGAGGCAGCTGCATCACACCCTCTCTCTCGCTCTCCGCGCGGCCCCCGCCCGCCCAGCCCCCGCAGCTGCGGCTCAAACTATCCATCAGATGAGCCCCGCAAGGCGAACTTTGGCGCCCGAAATACTTTCAACAATCGGTGAGGCTCTTGTGGTTGCGGCCGCTCTGCGCGCCACCGCGTGTGGGATGAAGAAGCAGGGGTGGAGCTTGGAGCTGAGTGCAGCGACGTCAAGAGGCGACGCGGCCAGGCGAAGGTAGGTGGACACCTGTGACGGCGAGGCGGCCGAGCGCCGAGCAGTGCAGACCGCATGCAGAGCATACTCCAGCATGGGAACGGCCGGCCAGGGCCACCACTGCCAGTGTGCCAGGACTAGGAGGTCCTTGGGGTCCTTCATTGACGCAGACACAGTGCAGGCAGCCAGGTAGGCAAGCATCATTGTTCGCGGGAACGGGGGAGACGAGTGTGGACAGGGTGCTGGCCGTGGCTGGGCCACGCTGGGCTGGGGTCTCAACCCACGAGACACTCTCCGCAAAAAAAACCACTCCGTGACGAACCTGGCAAACTTGTCCTTCCCCAAACCTCAACCCGATCAGCACTGCCCCGGCCCCTCGGGGCAGACGTATCGGAAAAGCACTCCGGGCATTTATTATTGAAGCCTCCAGCTGAACTTTGCCGCCCTGTCGAATCGCACCCCGCCTGGAAGAGACGCGAGACAGACACAAAACATTGGCGGGCGGAGGGCGAGTTGCTAGGGAACCACCGAGGGAGGCAGCCTGGATCTAGACCTGGATCTTGTCAAGGACAGTTGGAGGATTGCAGCGGAAAGGAGGCTCCAAACGAGAAATCCTCCCCTCTAATCTTGCACCTTAAACTTCAAAGCAGCTCGAAAATTTTAAGAGCTCTTTTACCTGATAAGGCGACAGCGAGAATCCATAAATCCATAGCGGCGCGCTGAAGTATCCTCTCAAAACGGCACAGACGCACTCACACACACTCACTCACACAGTCGCGTGAAACTCGGGGCAAGCCCTCTTCGTGCTGGGGAGTCGAGCACTGAGTGCCGAGGGCACTGTCAACCAGGACGAAAAGTGAGGTTAGCACGAGGAATGCCCATTCAAGCAACGCCAAGACAAAGTGGTCCGGACGAGCCGGTGCGAGGCTGCGACCGTCGCAGACCGTCGCCACTCACACGACACCCGTCGGGAACGCGACCGAGCCGCGCGCGCCCCCGCCCGACGCAGGGACGCCAGGAAAACGCACGTTTGAACGGACCGACATGAACGCGAACACAGTACGCGGAGCAAGTGCGGACCAGAGCGCCGCTCACATTCACATGGTGGAGTGGACGACCTCCCTCGCCTGCTTCTCAGCGAGTATTGACCAGAGGGGAGCGCGCGCCCGCCGCCCGCCTTCGAACGCCACCGCCCTGCCGCCTGCGCCCCGCCGCCACTCCGCTCGGCGCGCGCTCGGCTCGCGTTCGGCTGCCGCTCGGCCTCCTTCGGGTGCCTCGTCCCCGAGTCCCCGACCCGAAGGACCCGAAGTCGCCGCGGCGGGGCGGGCACGGAGCAGAATGGTATGGAGGATCAGCTATGCACGAAAACCGAACTACCTTTCGCGGCGGCAGTTGGTGCTTGCTCCGGCCGCCACCGCGCGGCGCTCGCGTCGTTATGGCTCTGCCCCGGCCGCTGGGCGCCTCTGCCGGCCACTGTGAGGCATGGGCCGGGGACGGTTTTTCGGCTGTAAGTCCTAAACCGTTCAAATTAAATAGGTAGAGTAAGCGAGGCGATTGTAGGTCTCAGTCTAAGCTACAATCCGCTCGCTTAGTATACCCCTCTAACTGCAGCTGCCTAGGAGCTAGGACTGAAAAACCATCTCCCGCCGGCGCCGGCAGCCCCAGGCCCCAGCCCCTGTCTACGCTTTTCTCTAGAGATAAAGAAAAACATTATACAATCCATTAATTTCTAATTAAATTGTATGATTGTGGTTGAATATTGTTCAGCTAAAATATGTTTAGGAAATGGTGTCATTACAATTGCTGGAATGCACATTGTTTTAGAAATCGAGTAGTCATGATATTTGACGGAATTTACTTTATGATGCCTGATTTAAAAGCTTAAGTCAGAATGAAGACTTTTGAAACAAATCAGTACAGTTGTCGTGACTTAAAACTGAAATCATTAAAGATGTAGTCAGAAGGTGACTTTACGTTTGCTTTTCAAGTATTGCCTGATAGCACATGAAGCGTCAATGATTCTTTATTTTTTTATTTTTCAAAAAATCTGAGTATAATGCTACTTTATGCTTTCAAGCACAGTTATTAAATTGAAGCCAATTTTATTAGGTTCCCACAGTTTTCTCACTTGCCAAAGCTTTTGAGCCAGGCATTACAAATTAAGTGACGTCAATTACTATAGGTTCTTGATTTCTAAATCGAAAAGGCTATGCAGCCACTGTTATGGCCTTATGTCCTGATAACAATTAAACTATGCAATACCGAGACGCAATTATGCAGTTTTATTGAAAGCAACTGGATTGTTTTATTTTTTTGTGAATTTTGAAATAGTAGTATGGACCATGGGGCCTGGGGCTGCCGGCGGGAGATGGTTTTTTAGTCCTAGCTCCTAGGCCGCTGCAGTTAGAGGGGTATACTAAGCGAGCGGATTGTAGCTTAGACTGAGACCTACAATCGCCTCGCTTACTCTACCTATTTAATTTGAACGGTTTAGGACTTACAGCCGAAAAACCGTCCCCGGCCCATGCCTCACAGTGGCCGGCAGAGGCGCCCAGCGGCCGGGGCAGAGCCATAACGACGCGAGCGCCGCGCGGTGGCGGCCGGAGCAAGCACCAACTGCCGCCGCGAAAGGTAGTTCGCCGGCCCTATGCCGCTGGGCCTGATCCGTTGCTCCATACCATTCTGCTCCGTGGGGCGGGGCCGCGAGGGCCGCGGCGTTGGGCGGGGGTGGGAGGAGGCGCGGGGAGCCAGAGGGGTGGGCGTGGGCGCTCCGCCTCCGCCTCGAGCTTTCGGGTGGGCCAGGGTGGGCCGTGGTGGGCCCGATCGCCTTGCCGCCTTGCTGCGTCCAAGTGGCCACTGCATTTGCCGTGCAAGTGTGTTGAGTACTGCAACTGCAGGTCGGAAATAAGACGCAGGCAGAGAGGAACGGTGAACGGTGGCGCCAATCAAAATCCGCCGCAAAATCAACCCGGCCCTTGTGCCTCGAGCCCCCTCCCACCGAAACAAAAACAACAAACAAAAAGAGGACGGTTTGAGCTCATCACCGTCACCACACCAATCTCAGCACAAGAAACTGTATGAGATGGGACGGACGCGAACCCCAGCCCAGGCCGACCGCAGCTTAGCGACCGCAGCCAGTCCGTGGACTTCCCTGGCGCTTCCCTTCCCAAGCGACACGCTTCTGATCAAGACTGAGTCGGCTCGTGTCAGTTCCAGTAGCACTCCGCAAGAGCTCCGTCTCCATTGTCCATTCTCAACGGGGCCCTGTGTACTTTCGTGCCCAACTTTCGGTTTGCATGTTTGATGTGAAAAGGCAGAGAGTCAGGATAAATGAACAAGGAATACTTGGCATCATATTTTAATGATCAAGTTAGATAACTTTGTACATACTTGTATAAATGGTACAAACATTGTAGAAATTATTCTTAAAAACAAGAAAAATTGATTTCAGGTATACAAATTTTAAGCTACAAGTAACTCTGATAAATGGTTAAAACATAATTTTCGTTGGTACATGTTGAGCTTTGCTCATGTCCTAAGGATAAATAGACCTTTCTATAACAAGTTTACTAACAAAAAAAAGCAACAGTAGAAGAAATAGAGATGCTGCTTTAATTTTCCCCATCTACAAAACTTAAAAGAGAGAAAAAAACAAGAACAAGTAAAAATTTTGAGGAGACAGAGTCGTCTAGCTCCTTAATATTGCACGAATTTCAATAAAATTTCAATAAATGTTACAAATAAAACCTTCAGCAAAAACAAACTGAAGATGGGATTAACAGGACTTAATTTTCCAAAGCAAGATTCGAAAGCAACACTGCTTTAGCTCACATTTCTGCAGTATAAATATAACAACTAATTACTGGAATCTAAAAGCTACCCATCTTTAAAAAAAACTAAGCATTACACACAAGAAAATGGCTGTAGCGCAAGTACGTGATTTCTTAAGTACATAATGAAATGACACCATGTTGGCACATAAAATTAAAATTACTGCCTATTGCAGCTTTCACCATGCAGAATTTGCTAAACAGCTGGACATTCAGGCTTTATGTAGGTTTTAGATCTAATGGACAATTGGGAGAGGGGACATAAGACTAAAAACCCACTATAGGATGATCAGTCTTAAGTTGAACATAAGACCAAAATTGATAGGAAATAAGTTATCTTAATCTCCTAAATGTAAAGTTCCCTGATTTTAAACAGATTTTAGCAGACTAAAGGAGAAAAAATTCTCTAAACAGTGTAAAAAACCTCCTTACAAATTACTATAAACTTAGTGTACTGAATGGTTTCACATGAAATAGCACCATGATTCTTTTTTCTTCAGTGACCACAAAAGAATTGTCAACTCATCCATGATCGATCAAAATCAAAGCTTTGTTCCAAGCTTTGCTCAAAGTAAATAACTGCCTCAAGCTGATCTGACCTGACAAAAAACAGATCAAACCAATTTGGTCAGTCTCCTGATTGTATCTACGAGACAATGCCACTTTCAACACACCCAAAGCCCAGCCAGATTCCCAACTGGTGTCATCAAATTGGTGGAGCAGCTCTCTCAATAGAGGCATTCATGCATAGTGAAGCTAGGTATATCTGATTTAAAAAGAAACTTGTCACAGCTAAATATTTAATTGAGCCATTGGACACAAAATTCTGATTGATCTTACTTAGGTAAATTTGAAATAAAAGAAACATATTATGACTGATATCACACATGAATAAAGCATATAGGAAGACCAAATCATTCGGCCTTTTCACAAAGCTTCCTTCTTTACAAACACAACAAACACATTCTCTATTAATACATGTATAAAATTTCAATATAAATGCTGAACATTCACAGATGTTACTTTAACCCCCATGGTTAATCACAGTTCATACTTGTGGGAAAAGTATTTTCCATCTGGAATGCCTGTTTGGAAAATGAAGAAAGTGCCAATGACACATACGCATGAGACCAGAAGTAAATCGCATTACACCTAACACTCACAATGAAAGGCCTACACTCAAAATTAATACTGATAGCCCATTATTTCTGTACCCACCCCAGACAAGTCAAAACTGTACAAAGACAATAAATAGTAAGAAATGGTACATGTATCTGGATAGTGTGCGACTAGTAGCCTGTGTATACATAAATTGTTTAAAAGATTACATATATTTCAGTTTATACTTTGAATAAGTTGTCCAGCTCAGTTCACAAGCACTAAAGCGAATGCTCTCCATAAAATCTATCCTTCAGGTGCTAGCGTCACATTAGTTGATGAAAGAGAAGGAAGAAATGAATACCAAACTCCAATGTTACAGAGAGGGGATGTTGTAACCTTCCAGTGGGAATTTCTGATCAATAAACATAAAATTCTCACCCGAGCAACTACATATCACTATTTTTTTTAAAGGCTCACAATGCATAACTAGCAAAGAAGCAGTGGTTTCGATATAACTTATGGAAGAAAATTTCAGAGCATGAGGCTCTCTCTCTCTGATGCCCCCATAACAATTGATCAAATTCAATTTAAAATCGCAATGCATTTCCATGCTATTGCTAAATAAAAGAATTTTTTAAATAGAATTTCTGTTGATAAAGGTCCAAGAAGCACAATGTCAACTAAATAAAACTTATAAACATATCATAAAGTCAACAATACTAATGGGGAAACTATTAAATAAAATTTATAAAATTCCATAAGAGGAAAGAAAACACAGAGCGTAAGGCAAGTTAATGTGTGAGCAATTGGCCTCCCAACATTTCTGCATAAGAATCTGCTAAGTCAGTGTCAAGACTTCACAAATGACAACTTTCAACCTTAAAAAATTTCTTAAGAGTAATGGAATATTGGTAGAACAATTGCTGCAAACACAAACTGTCTGGAGCCATGTTATTGCACCATTCAAAAGGAAGACAATCTGTCATTCCCCTATGTTTAAAAATTTTGAGTAAGAAATTTATGTTGCCAATAAAACAAAATTATCACTATACACTTAAATTAAAATGACAATCAACAGGGCTCAACCCAAGAAAATAAAACATAGTGACACTAAACATGAAAACAAGTGCATGAAATGAAAACAATGAATGGCCAACAAGGATAGCGAATCCAAGTTGAAGAATGAGGCAGGTGGCACTCGATACAGCACTGGTTTGTGCAGTCTAGTCACAACAGAATTAAATTACTGATTGTTAAGCTTTGAGTCCATGTTTGGAATGTAGTCCATGGCCATGAGACAAGCGAACAGAGTCATGACCATCTTCGGTTTCACCTCAGCAATGTCTTCTGGAAGGGCGTAGACGCGAGCTCCCGTTTTCCTCGCCATGGAAATAGCATATTTGGCATTTGCTAAGTTATCCTGAAAAAAAAAAAAAATTAAAATGAATAAGTAAGCAAGCAAACGAAACAAGGTAGCCATGTGAGGCAAACTTAGTTCTTACCTCTTCAGAACCACTATCCTTGTAGACATCATAGTTGATAGCACCAGGCTTAATAGAATCAATTAAATCTAAAACTACTTTGCCGTCCTTGATTGCTGAATCCTAATACAGAAAAGAAAAATGTGTTAACTAACGTAGGTGAGGTAATGAAATGATCTATAAAAATGTAGACAAGTTATAAATAGTGCACCTGGAAGCTCTTGATTGAAGTAGTCTTATGAGCAGCAGCCAGCTTCTGATTCACCCATGTTACGATTTCTTTCTCAACGATGGGGCTTCCTGTATTGGCCAACTGGGTCAAGATGGACAGAGTGTACGCTCGCATCAACTGCCAGATGAGAGCTGTTCAGGCGAGAAAAAAAGCAGAAAGATGATGTCAACTTTTCTTTCTTAACACAGCTGTTGTATGTTTGTTCAAGAAGTAAAATATAATACTGTACCTAAGGTTAAAGTAGCATTCCCATCATTAAGATCTTGTCCTGCAATTCCAACAAGAGAGAAGCCTAGCTGTTTACCCAGCTCCACAGCATAGTTACAATTTTCAAGCTTCTCCATGAATTTACGAAGTTTGGAGAATTTCCTGCAAAGTTCAAAAATTTAGAGAGTTGATACAATAGTGGTAAATGAAAGAATCTTGACAGCAAATAAAATGCCTACCTATGAACTTTGGTCCAGTTGACAATTCCTGGTTTGATGATATCATACAACTGGAATATAATAAGGCCATCTGCCAAGTCAGAGTACAGCCAATTTACAGAGGGTGTCACTCCCATTGAATTCATCCAGTTACGGTAAGCTGAAAAAAAAAACAACAAAGAAATGTGAGAGGCACGTTGTGATTTAATGATCTCCAATCAGCCAATACTAATTGTTTCATTTACTTTTCTCTTCCCGATTTTCTTCAAGGTTCTCCAAGCCATCGATGACACCTTCAGGCCTGTCAAGACCTGGGTGGTTGTTGAAAAGATTGGCAACAAAAGCCAAGTTTAACTTGTAGATTCCATTCACAACATCACTGGGAGTAACGAAGCTCCGGCAACCAAGTTTAGCCGCTTGTTGCAACATCAGCTCAGCTCGCTGCATCATATCTGGCTCCTGAAGGGATTTGAATTTTAGTTAATTGGTTTTAGGACATGTGCATATGTGCGAGAAAAATAATTTGAGTAAACTACTGTAACTTGATGTAAAACTGCATCAGATCGCACTTACCATGACAGCCTCCATGGAAATGCCAGCATCGGCTGGTGCAATCTGCCGAATGAGATGAGAGTAAATCTCAGAATCCGTAATGTCTGAGGTAAAGTTGTGCGCCCTCCTAAAATCAAAAAGGTAACAGACAAATATTAGACTTCAAAATCCAAGAAAATGTACTTGCTGCTGAAATTAGCTGCAGAAATTTTACCTGGGAGTTCCAGCTCTTTCAAGGTGGTGGTTGACCCAGCGAAGCAGGATTGCTTCAGGCGACATCTTCATAAGATCTTCAATGCGTTCATCATGCATCAACAGAGTTGCCAAGCCTGGGCAATTTTCAAGAGTAATCTGGTTGAAAAGTCCTATCTGCAAAGTAAAGAGAAAAAAAATTGAAGAAAATGATGTAAATCAATACAGAAAAATAAGAGGATTTAAGCAGTAGACTTACCCTAATAATTTGCCAAAGCAATCCAAGAACAAGATGGGGTTTCCCTTTTGCTAGATCAAGAGCATCAATGTTGACAATGTTGCAGCCAATAGCCTGGGCTGATGTTTGTGCCAGGGTCAAGTTTTCATGTTTAGTATAGAGAGTGAGGTTTTTCTTGTTGATTGCTCTTTCATCAATGGTGTCAGGGACAGAGTGGTTGATAATCTTGCTGTAAAGAAAAACCATGAGATGAGGTTCAATTTTTCAAGAAGTTGATTTACTTGCGGAGTTCTTTTACTTAGTCTTACCAGAGCAATATTCCATCCTTGACTCTGTCGTAGAGGGCCTTCCCCTCAGCATCAATGGGCAGCAGGTGCTTGAGGTCCGGGTCATGAGACAGGTTCGAGTTGATCCAGTCTGAGAAGGCAAGCTGTTCCTCCAGGCGCACGGAGTGTGTCGTGCCCTCGCTGGAGGCCTCCGACATGCCGCCCAGCGTCTCCAGATTCTCCTTCTTCGAGACCACCTGTTTGAACGTACTGGCGACTTCATTGGCCTTCAGGTCGGTACACAACTGCAACAAACGAAAGGAAATGAGGCGTCGGCTGCAACTTGGGACACTGCGCTCGCACAGCAGTTCTCTCTCGCACTCATGGGGCGTCCTGCAGGGGGGCGACGAGGGCTTACCCGCTCGAACTCGTCGAAGGTGAGGCGGCCCTGGGTCTCGAACTTCCTCTTGTTGCGGTACTCGTCGATCATCTGGCGCACCTTCCAGCCCGGCAGCTTGAAGCCACAGCTGTCCAGCGCCGACTTGAGCTCGGACACGTCGATGGTGCCGTCGCCATTCTTGTCGATCTGCAACACCAAACGCCACACGGACGGGTCAGTCACTAAAATCTTCCACTCCAATTTTTTCTCCTCGTCCTCTCCTTCTGCCCTTAGAGCCCCATAAACCCACCCAAAAATTATTTTAAGTTTTAAGGGGGAGGGGCACACATTTTCACACACACAATCACACAACACAAAACGCTCACAGGCACACAGACACACTCATGACAACCTGCTGGAAACCCGCAAGCAGCTCGGGGGTCTTGGTCGTCTCCATGTCACAGTTGGCACTCGACTGAACCGGAGAAGTCTCTCTCTGGTGCCCACGGCGGTGCAGGCAGGCCAGGGGGGCAGGGCGGGACTGGGCATTGCAGGACCGGACCGGCCTGGACGCCACGCCACGCCACGCCACGCCGTCAACCAGCCATATACAGAAGCGTACTTCCTATCCTGGACGAACTAGTGCTCCGGCGCCAGCCGCGAGGCCTGCTGCGGAGAACGAGGGGAGGGGGGGGGGGGAGGGGGGGCGTGTACTTTCTTCCACTTGCATTTTCATTTTTCCTTGGGGTGACATGGACACGCAACAGGTCACCCAATGACGACACTTGACTGTCGATTTTCGGCAAGTGGAGCCTTTTTCAAGGGCGCAACGGGTCGATCCAGCCGGGGAAGGACACCGCACTCCCCCGAATTAAAACAAAACAGAAACCGGAGGCCGGCAAGGCGTTTCGGACTCGGCCTGGTCATCCACCCGCACGGCGCCTCGCGCTGCGCGGCGCCAAGAAGCGCCTGCGCTCCAGCCGCTCCAGCGGCGCGACGATGGGAACCGGGGAACCAGGGAACCGCCGGCAACTGGGAACTTGCCCTGCCTCGCCCTGCCTTCCCACAGCCGGCACACCGCGAAAGGGGAAAGGGGAGGGCTTGGCTTGGCGCTCTTTCCGGCCACTTTTAGCCAAAAACATTGAGACGCGTGGCTGCCCGCCAGAGGGAACCATGGCCACAGTGCAGGCGGCACCTCTAGAGTACTCCAGACGGGCTCACGCGCTCTACATAAGTCTGTCTCTTTCTGCCTGGACCGCGTGCCGGACCCTGGGGCCTCTGGAGCCGCGGCTGGCTGGCTGGCTGGCTGGCCGGGGGGTCCCAGCCAGTCCCAGCCAGTCCCGGCTGCAACGGAGTTTGTCCGATAAGGGCGGGGCATCTACTAGGTCAGGTCAGTGAGCCTTGGCAGCCTTGGCAGCCTGGCCCGGCGACAAAGGCTGGCCGAGGTATGCGGGTGCCCCGGGTGCCCCCACCCTCCCCTCTGCTGCAGAAGCTAGAGTGATAAATGTGTTGACCGGCCCGGTCGGCCCCGCGGCCACGACGGGATCGGCCGCCACCCACACCCACCGAGCGACACCGCGCCGCGCCAGGCACACATCACCCCATTTCCAGACAGACAGCGAGTCCAAGACCAAGGCGGACTTGGCTTCCCCTCGACCCGGTTTGCCTCCGCCGTGCGCAGTGTACGCGTTGCCATGGCGCCGGCGTCGGTCCGGGGGGCGACGGCGGCGACGGCGACGCGTGCGGCCGACGCGGGGCCTGGGGGCGGGAAGGGCCCCTCCCCAACGCACGCCGACATCCCGTAGTAAAAGATGACCGAGGCGCCTTCAAGCACAGCGTCACTGTCACCGGCCCGGCAAGCGGGTCGAGGTGAGTCGTCCGCTGCAAGGCACACTGCAAGGCAAGGCTCCGTTCGACGGAAGACAAACAAGGCGACGCCTAGACGCAGCATGCTCCGTCTCTCTCGCACTCGCGGGGCGTGCGGGGCGTGCCGTGTGGGTGCGAGGGAGACAGAGCGACATGGCGTCACGCCGTTCGAGCCGGACGCCGCCACTCCGCGGACGCAGATAGCGCGAGCCGAACCAATGGGACGCACTTTCCGGAGCCAGGACGCCAAGTCGCCGATCCACAGTGTGGCGGCCAAACCTCTAGACGCGCTTTGAGCTCCAGAGTCGCTAAATGGGACTCGAACCGAACGTGTGACCCCACCAATGGATTGCTCTCCGAACGAGGAATCCATTGGTGGGGTCACACGTTCGCTTCGAGTCCCATTTAGCGACTCTGGAGCTCAAAGCGCGTCTAGAATTTTGGCTGCCCCCACCAGTCTTCTGGCCCACTGTGGAGCGCGTTCAAGGGGTTGAAGCCCCACCCGCCACGCGGCCGGGCGCCTGGGTGACGTCACCCGACCGAGTCACCTCTCCAGGCTGAGTCACACGACGGGGGTTGGGGAAGACCGCTCCGTCCGTCTCTCTCGCACCCCTAGGGACGCCCACGAGTGCGAGAGAGACAGAGCGACGACGCCATCCGAGGGGGTATGCACTCGCGTAATAGTCGGTTCACTCTACCTGTAATAGCACGCGTAGTAATACTAGTAACACTAGTAATAATAGTAATAATAGTCGCGTAATAGCCGAAATTGTCAAAATTTTATCAATTTTGGTGTGTTTTAGGCCGTTTTTAGCTAAATTCCGATTTATTTGTGGCGTAATAGCGTAATAGTCGGTACACAGGTTCAGAGAGCGCATACCCCCTCGACGCCATCCTTCGGAATCGGTCTGCAGGCGCAAGCCGCGCAAGCCGGCTGCGGACGGATAGGCCACCGCCGCGAACGGCAGCGTGTTAATTCAAAGCACCGCAAGCCAGCGGTCGGGACGCGCACTGCCAAAAAGCAACAACAACAAAATGCAGTGGCTGCAGTCCGCCAGTGGCGCCGCCGCGCCTGGCCGCGCCCTGCGCAAGGACGTGCAAGGTCACTGGGCACGGCGGCACGGCGTGGTCCCAAAGAGCGGCGTCACGGACGCGGAGCGCGCGGCCTGGCGGGGCCCCGCTGGACGCGGCGACGCGACGACGCGGTGCTGGAGTGACGTAACGATGACCTATAAACGGCCTGCCCGGCCCGGCCCTGCCTGCAGTTAGGCCCCGGCACGGCAGAGTCTGCGCGCCGGCCTGGAATAGAGAGACTCTTAGAGAGAGCCCGGCCCACCGAGTGTCTCCAGTTTGGACTCGGAACGACGAGGAAACCGTTTGGCCGCGCGGCACGCGCCTCGGTTTACAACCCTGCAGTCGTTTGCTCGCGTTTAGCATCCCTTTTTGGGCCTGGCGACGGAGGAGGAGTAACTAGCACACGGCCCGCCGTGCCAGAGTGACTGAGTCTGCGCCGGGGAGGCTGGAGTTTGCCCGTCTGTTTCGCTTACGACGATGCAACCCCAAACCCGGCGCTGGGGCAGCACAACGCGGTGCTGCTGATCCGACAGGTCAGCAACATCGACGCCTACACGCAGGGCCGGGCCGGGCCCCTACCCCCTACCCAGCCAGTCGGTCCCACCTGGCCCTGGCGGTACCGAGCTATATATGGTGCCAGGCGGAGAGGGGGCACTGTCACATGTGTGTTTGGCAGAGGGGCCCGAGGGAAAGCCCCCTGGGTCCGCCGGGCCGCCGTCCCGCGCGCTGGGCCGCCCCGCGTGGGGGAGGAGGTTGCCCGTTGCCCAACCCGAGTCCCCCATTCCATGTCCAGCGTCCTTTTCCCGACGACGCCATCCTCACATCAGGCCTTCGCATTTTCACCAAAGTCCGCCACACGCGGCGCCGGCGCGCCGAATTCCACCCAAAGCGGCGCTCGCTCGCGAGGACGGCCCCGTTTTTGTGTTCGGCGCTTCTCTTCTCACGGTGTTGCCGTGCGGTCTGCCAGCCCCGCCAGCCCCGCCAGCCCGGCGTGCTGCCTGCTCGGGCTGCCCGGCCTGATACCATCAACGCGGGCGTGCACGTCCACCTGTGCACACGGGAGGGCCGCGGTGCCGCGAGGGCGCACACTGGCGCACACCTGCACGCCGCCCCGGCTTTCATCGCTCTCTCTCTCTCGCACTCACTGGGCGGCCCGCAGGGTGCGAGAGGGGCAGTGTGGTGGCTGGAGTGTACAACCGCAGCAGCAACGCCCGGGTCACGGGTTCGACCCTCGTCGCCCCCGCTGCACTTTCTTCACTGTCGACCCGGCGGCAGGCAGGCAGACACACCCGAAAAGGGCTGGCGGCTCCGCGTCCGTCACAGTGTGTGTCCAAGGCCGCGGCGCCGCGCCAATCGAGATAATTGAGTAGCCAGATAGTTGCAGTCAAATCGATTGGGCGTAATCCCCGGTGTGCCGGCGCCATGTGTCTGTTTGGCGACGCGGCCGGGGCGGCCTGGATGCCGTGACATCGCGCGACTCGCGGACGACCGCAGCGACCACAGCCAGCAGCGAGCAGGGGGCTTAGCGCCGCCCAGCCTGCCCGGCCTGCCCAGCAGACTGATGCCGAGTGTCGCTTTCGTCGCTCTGTCTCCCTCAACTCGTGGGGCGTCTCGTATGGGTGCGAGAGAGACAGCGCGACGGAAGCGACCCTCGGAATCAGTCTGCAGTGGAAGAGAAGGACCCAAGTGGGAGCAAAGGGTTCAAAATGGGGAGGAAAGGGTCCAAAATGGGAAGAAAAGGGTCCAAAATGAGAAGGGTCCAAAATGGGGAGGAAAGGGTCCAAAATGAGAAGAAAAGGGTCCAAAATGGGAAGAAAAGGGTCCAAAATGAGAAGGGTCCAAAATGGGGAGGAAAGGGTCCAAAATGAGAAGAAAAGGGTCCAAAATGGGAAGAAAAGGGTCCAAAATGGGAAGAAAAGGGTCCAAAATGAGAAGGGTCCAAAATGGGGAGGAAAGGGTCCAAAATAAGAAGAAAAGGGTCCAAAATGGGAAGAAAAGGGTCCAAAATGAGAAGGGTCCAAAATGGGGAGGAAAGGGTCCAAAATGAGAAGAAAAGGGTCCAAAATGGGAAGAAAAGGGTCCAAAATGAGAAGGGTCCAAAATGGGGAGGAAAGGGTCCAAAATGAGAAGAAAAGGGTCCAAAATGGGTAGAGGAGGTCCTTAGGTGCCTCAACTAAGTAAGAAAAAGCGGTCCTAAGGGCCCCCTAGTGGGAAGACACGTCCCAAAACGCGCTAGGCGAGGAGGAGGATCCTGGGAGAAGACGGTCCTAACCAAGTCACTGTGGGAGTGGGGAGACAAAGAGCTGACGGGGACCCAGGGCGAGAGGGTCCTGCCTGCACAATGCGACCAGGGTGGCCGGGCCATGCAGGGCCACGCGGCCACACTACTAAAACACACGGCGAAAGGAAAGTCGGGGCGCGGGGCCCCCAAGGCCCAGTGCGACTTCCACGTGCACGCGGTGCAAGCTTGCCGTCGGCTTGCCGCAGCAGAGTCGCTCTGTCTCTCTCGCACTCACGGCACGTCCCGCGTGGGTGCGAGAGAGACAGAGCGACGACAACGACTCTCAGTCTGCAGGCTGCGGCAGGCTGGCGCGCTGGCGCAGCCACAATGAGCCCCTTAACGCGATAATGGGGCGTCGTTGGCGTCGCCAAATCACCCCGCGGCAAGGCGCGGCAAGGCGCGGCAAGGCCCCGCGTCTTCCAGCCACTTTGTTTGAGCTATTCGCACGGCGCACCTGCCATGCCATGCCTGCCTACCGAGCTCGTTCTCCAGTGGGGGGGATTGACATAGTCCTTTCTCCGCGTCTCAAAGCGTCCAATTACCGCCGAGCCTGCCTCCAGCTTGCAGTGGCGTGGCAGCCGCACGCTGACTCAGGCCTGCCACCGCACTACGCATGCAGCCTTCACAGCTCCAAAAAACAAACAAACAAAAACAACACGTCGCAAAGTACTGTACGCTGTACACAGGGGACGCCCGAACTCGCTCACATCATTTTTTCCATCCGCGTTATGGGGGAACGCGAACGGTATGACTCACGATTGCCTCGCCGCTCGGTTCGGTTCGCTTGGCGCGGCGCCTTCACAGTGTGCCAGGCAGCTAGCGCCTTAAACACCGGTACAGTCCGTCAGTCGCTCGGCAGCGCGTAAACAGAACGGCCCATTACTTTCCAGCGGGACTGTACCCGAGTTTGCATACGTGCCGCGGCACCTGCTGCCTAGCCTGCTGCCTAGCCTGCTGCGCCTGAGGCGTCCGTCTCTCTCGCACTCGCGGGCCGTGCCTGGCCGTGTCGGAGGTGCGAGAGAGAGAGCGCCACGCCGTTACGACTTATGGAGCTCCCAATGTGCTGGCAGGGACGTCCAGCCGCGCGCGCCTCGCCCGTGTCACTTTCCGCGGGGCTTATGGGACGCCTCCGCCGCGGGGGCGGGGCGGGGCGGGGCGGGGCGGCGACGGCACGGCACTGGAATCACGCCAAAGGCCGTCGCCCTGCCTCCCTCGCACCCCCAACAGCAACGAAAGCTCTTAGAGAACGAGCCGGCGGCATTCAAGCAGGAACTCAACGCAGAATGCGGGTCAGAGAGACCGATTCCGAGAGTCGCTTTCGTCGCTCCGTCTCCCTCGCACCATGAGTGCGAGAGAGGCAGAGCGACGCCCAGTCTGCAGCGGCCAGTGTGAGGCGAGAAATAAATTAGATGACACACTGGTGCGGCGGGGCCGATCGGCAGGCCGCCCGGCTGACTCACTGGGCCTTGCCTTCCGTCCCGACATCCAGACGTCCAGACATCACCCACGACTCCAGCGACAGCCAGGGCGCGACGAGTCCACATCGACACACGATCAGGCCGCTCCCATTGGCCGGCCGTCGGGGCTCTGGGCGGCGCGCGGCCAACCCGCGAGCACGCCGGGCTCCGTGTCCGGGTCCGGTCGCAGCTTCCGGACCGGCCCGTCTCCCTCGCACTCGCGGGGCGTGGCGTGCGGGTGCGAGAGAGACAGCGCGACCAAAGCGGCGTTTGGAGGCAGCGCGCGCAACGGACAGGTGTGGAGCACGCCATCCATCCGTCCGCCGGCCGGGCAGGCCAGTGTCGTCCGTGACCGGCAGGAAGCTCCACGCCGCTCCACGCACGCCGCCGAGCCCACCGAGGCCGCAAGAGAGCCGCGCCGCGCGGCGGATCAAGAAGCAGCAGGGCTGCCTAGAGGCTGCCACACTGCCATCCGCACGGCCTAGAGGCGACGGCCACGCCCTCTATGCGGGTAAAAGCGGCGCACGCTTTGCAGCTTTGCACTTTCACGCCGGCAAAAACTCGTCCTGATGCACTGCACTGGGCCGCAGCGCTGCAGCTCCGCGGTGACAGGGACAGGGGCGGATCAGAGGCACTTGTTTGGGAAGGAAGCGAGGCGCCACCCCCCGGGCCGGGGCCGGGGGCACCTCGCCGTCGCGCACCTCTGTCACGCTTCGCGCACGGCGCACGGCGTGGCGCACTTTGTCGCCGGCCGCGTCCTTGACGGCGAGGTCGCGGCGGTCGCGCGCCCCCTCCAAGACGACACGTTTGCTTTTCCTCGGAGGCACGGGGAGGTGTTGGCGGTGCGCTACCGGCCGGGCCTCTAGGGCCGGGCCGCGCCTGGCGCCTCGCTCCAGGACTACAGACTCCAGCCGGCCGGCGTCCTGGAGTCCTGGAGCGGCACCGTTCCACTGTGCAAAAACATGCCAGCGCGAGTCACGCGTTCGAGTCAACTTCGAGAATGACGGATCAAAGCCGTCAAATCGGCGAGGTTCGGCTTATGGCCATTGACAGTGGCTGGGCGCCGGCTCTCGTTCTTGACCTTGGAGGCGGCAGCACCGCAGCCAGGTTCCGCCGTCACCTGGTCGGGCTGGTCGGTCGCCACGATCACCGCCTCGCCGGCCGATGACGCACCCGCGGCCAGCAGGCCAGCAGCGCTCGCTCCGAACCGAAAAGTGCGTTCGTCGTCACTGTCTCCCTCGCACTGGCGGGGCGCCCCGCGCGTCAGTAACGAGTGCGAGAGAGACAGGGCACGAGCCGGCCTGACCAGCCCGGCCCGGCCTTATCTGAACGCCACGCCCGGCCTCTAGCCCGAGGCGGCGCAAGGGCTCTCTCTGTCTCTCTCGCACCCCTCTGCAACGCCCCGCGAGTGCGAGAGAGACAGAGCGCCGGTCGGAATCCGCCTAGATCGTGACGCCGGGGCCGATCCAGGCAGGATCCAGGAGGGGGCGGTGATGGATCGCGCCTCGGCAGCAAAGCACGGCGGAGCGACGCAGCAGCCTCTGGGCTTTATGCTTTTTGCATTCCTCATCGGTGGGCGTAGCGTAGGGCCTGGCCGGCCCGGCTGGGCCCCCCGCGGGGTTCGCCAGACAGCTGCCGGGAGCCCCCGCGGGGCGGGGCGGGGCGGGGGGCAGGAAGAGGAAAGGGATCAGGGCCGGAAGCAGATGCAGTTGCCGCGCTTACTAGATTTATCGGCAGGGCCCAACAGTGCTTTCGTCGCTCCCTCTCTCTTTCTCTCTCTTGCACCCCTGCGGGGCTGCCCAGCCAATGCGGGAGAGACACGGAGTGTCCGCGAACGCGATTCACCTCACGTTCAAAAATTTATCAGACTTGCAGTCTTTTCGGAGACCCCAAGTCAAGTCAACAGGACTCGCGGGGTCTGGCGCGGCGAGGCGTGGGAGACCGACGAGCCGACAGAGACGGAAGGCATTTCGGACGTGACCCGAGGGAGGCCCAGGCGGCCCAAGCGACGGGACGTGGGCGTGTGCGGCGTGCGCGTAGTCGATGACCCCAGTGACTTACCCCCCTCCCTCCATCTCACTCCTTTTCCTCTCTTGACTCCCCCGCTGTGCCTGTGGCTGCCCCTTCTCTCTCTTTCTCACACAGGCTCCACTATCACGACGTATAGTATGAAGGTCAAGTGTACCTTGTCTTATCAAACCGCAGGATCAGCAAAGGTTTATTAGTCATTCGATTCGCTAAACAGGTAGCAAAATGAATTGTACCTTCCCGAAAAATAGCGGCATTCATTCATTCATTCATCGATGCATTCGATCATTCGTACATTCATTCATTCATTCATTCATTCATTCATTCATTCATTCATTCATTCATTCATTCATTCATGCATGCATTCATGCATGCATTCGATCATTCATTCATTCGGTCATTCATTTACTCGGACATTCATTCATTGGCTCATTGGGGCATGCATTCATTCATTCATTCAGTCAGTCATCCATTTATCAATCCGCCAACTCACACATGCATTTAGCACTCCTAAAAATAAAGGTGAGGAACGCCTCAGAGCTGTGACCTGGCAGCAGAACTCTGGCAACAATTACAGCAGGTTGTGTGAGAAAATGTATCATGCATAAGAGCAGAGCTTTCATCCATTGTTAATGGTTTAATGTGATGAGAAATTTTCACAACTAAGGACATTGTTTAAAACAGGAGCATCTCTCTTATCAGTATTCTGCTAACTTTTACCCAATTTTGAATTCACTCAAGCTACACATAGATGAAGGTTAAAATATGATTTCATCCAATGCAACAAAGAGTACATAGAAAATTTATGAAGTTAACTATGACATGCAGGAAGCAGTTCTTTAAGTTTCAGACAGTAGTCTCTCAGAGAAATAGCCACAATCAATAAAATTGATAACTCAGATGTTTACTTGGAAAACAACTGTCAGTTTTTGAGGTTAGGTGGAGATTGGGTTTAATGATCCCCTTCAGATAACTTTTAGGTGGACGGACTTTCGGCCCGATTCAGAGACCCTTGCCAATAGGGGATTTCAGTTCCGGGGACGAATGCAATCATCCCAACGCGCAGCGCTGGAGCACTGCCCTTCAAGGCCTGCAACGTCACAAATTTGGTTTAAATCCCCCAGGGCAGCCGGCCCATCCCACTTTGAGGGGATTTTTTTTTCTGACAGATCCGAAGCGCCCCTTGACGCGGGCGACAACGGCGTGGCTGGAACGCGGCAGAGGCGCGCCGTCTTGTCCAGGCCTCGGAGCGGAGGGCCGTACTTGCCGCAAAATGCGGGGCCGAGCAGAGTGTTTTGACGGTCGGTGTCTGTCGGCAGACATTCCAGGCCGCAAGGGGCTGCTGCTGCGACGCATAAACACGTCCCCGTTCCGGGCGAACCACGCCGAACCCGGACTTGCAACCACGCACAGCGACGCCCCGACCCAAGCCCCGTCCAAAGTCATCCATTTCGACTCACCGTGTTAAACTGTTCGTAAAGTTCGGCCTTTTCGTCCGGGCTCAGTCTTGAGGCTCCTCCCACCATGGTCGCCATCTTGGACTCGACTCGAGCCGTTGGCCCGTCCGCTGCTGCTGCTGCTGGCGGATGGTCACGTGGTACCGTCATGGAGCCCGCCAAGCACGAAGCGGCGCGGAGCGGAGCGGAGGAGCGCGAGGCACGCCGGCACACGAGAAATGCGGCGCGAAGCGCGAAGCGCGAGACGAACAGGCAAGCAGCCGTGTGCGTGGGAGAGGCGGGTCGCGGGGCGGGGCGGGGCGGGGCGCGACGGGGCTCCGGGGGCACGGCGCTTGACGCGCTTGACGCGGTACGCGGTTCACGCGGCGGTGGCGGCGAGGCGTGGATGGCGCTTGGGGCTCTCTCCCGCGGAGTGCTTCCCTCTTCCCTCCGGCCTCGACGGCAACCGACAGTGAAATGAGATTGCGCGCCACGCCGCTCGGCTTTATAGACTTGGCCGCGCCGCGCCGCGCCACGCCACGCCACGCCGGCCGGGCGTCCCGGCCCCTCCGGCGTGACTCACCCGCCACACGCGTCACCGTCACCGCCGTCACCAGGATGCGTTTTTGGGAAAAGGGGGTGGGGACGGGGAGGGGAGTTCGCTTTTGGAGACAGAAGTTGCCCGCAGTGGTGGCTATACGGACCGAGCAGATTTGCCCCGACGATGTCGAGAAGACTTGCATCGGGCCTGGCGCTCAGGCTCAGCTAGAGCTTAGGGAAAAATCTAGGACGGCAAAATTATGTTCACCCCTACGTCGTTGGACTTCAGTTCCCTCTCACGAAACATAAACTAACGTGGTGGTATTCAAATTTTCGAATTCCTTCATCATTCTCTGTTAAAGACTGATCTCTTACTGTCTATAAATTTCATTCATTCGTGTCGTGAAGCGCGCATCATTTGAACTTGACAGCCTGCCCTCTGCCAACCTTACCTTTCGGTGAATGTACAATCTGGTGTGCTGCGCCAAATCAATTTATGCACATCTTTCAATCAAATAAAAATAAAAATAAAATTTCGGTGCCTTGAGACTTAGCAAAAAAGAAAACTTCAAAAAGTGGGGCTGTCCGAAACGTCTCTTTTATGATTTCAGGTTGGCAAATTTGGAACCCCTGCTCTCCTCTCCTGTCAGCTGCCCTGTTTGTAAACACAGCACTTCGACGCGGATTCTTGTTTAATTTTTAAGAATTCCGTTCTAGGTTTGCTCTTTTAATTACTGACATTTAGCATGTTAATGACCAGTACTCAAAAGCTTGTACATATTGTTAGTTTATGCATTTATTTCATAAACCGGGTGACAGCACTAGGTTAGTGGTCCCTAGGTTTTGTATTTTGTTACTTTTCCCCCAATTTTGTCGTATTTATACGCTGTATTTCCTGTTTAAATCGTGATTTCTAACTTTGCTTTGAACTTTTCATTCATGGTATCACCCATAGTGCTTGCTCCTCCTGTGTTTCAGGCCTTCGTAATGAGCGATTATGATTATGACTTTGACCTGGAGGACCTCTACGATGATGAGATTTTACCCGGGTCCTCCAATGTTTGGTATGAAGACGATGAGTTGAGTGGATTAGAGGAATATGTAGAACGAGGCATTTGGGAGGAAATTGATATGTGTATGCTTCCTACAATGCGAGATGGTTTCTCACAAGTAGGAAATCTCTTATTGTGGTGTTTCATTTTTAGAATTACAACTCAAACAGGTACAGCTTTGTTTATAATCATTAATAAGGGTATCTTCAGGCTTAGTTGTGTATAGTGCTAATACGTCTTTTTTTTTCAATGTCACAGTTGCTGTTCCTTCTGGTGTTGGACATGCAATATCAGCATGCACTGGATTGTATATTTTATATGTATTTTTTCATTCAACTATGTTTCATATTCTGGCGTTTGCCTTTATTTTGTATTGTATCCTGTGGTCACTTTCACGATTCTTTGGATATCGTCGAGGGCCAATAATGGGCATTGTTTCCATAGTCTTTCTTATCATTAGGTAGGTAGATTACATCAAATGCTTGTATGATTTCTACCATGATTTTAATTGTTACCTTATAAACCCATTATTTTTCAGTGAATTATTTATTGTTAATGAAGTAGAGTGGCACAAAATTCGAGGTGCACAAATGATATTGGCCATGAAAGTGATATCCATTTCATTTGACTCTGACATTGGAACAATACAAGCTGTGCCTTCTCCGCTTCCATTTGCCGGATATGTTTTTAATGTTGGTACTTGTGTCTTTGGTCCTTGGGTTTCTTACAAAGATTACATTGCCATTTTTGACAGACCACTTTGGGTGAGATAAATTTGATTCAATCTTGTGCGCTCAAGCAAAATTAAGATTTCTGAAATGCAACTTCCTTATTTTCTCTTGTAGAATTGGCGTTGGGTTTTACGTATTTTTGTCAGTCTCGGCGTTGCGTTCCTTTTCCTGACTATTTCTACATGCTGGAGTCTTTGGCTTATACCAGATGATGCCTGGAGGTAATTGAATATATTATTATTATTCATTTGGAGCTTGTTAAATTTGTTAACTGTTGAACTCTTGTTTCAGGTGGTGGGTAGCTTATCGAGATGCCCTATCATTTCGTTCAAGCCATTACTTCGTATCTTTTGTATCAGAAGCTTCTGCATTAGTTTCCGGCTTTGGGCGTAATACCGAAGATGATTGGGGTGTCCCAGTAACTAAACCTCATCTGATTGAAATTCCTCGATCTTTGGTTCAAGTTGTCGTCTACTGGAATATGCCCATGCACCACTGGCTCAAAACTTGTGAGTGTTTTTGTCTTTTGAAATATGCTGATGTATCACCTCATGTTTATGTTTTTCTTTTTGTTGAAAGATGTTTTCCGCACAACTATATCCTACGGCAGCTTTATTGCTGTGCTTTCAACTTATGCCGCCAGCTCATTGCTTCATGGTTTGAACTTCCAACTCTCAGCTGTTCTATTGTCCCTTGGAGCATATACTTATGTTGAATACATGTTGAGACAGAAATTAGCAAATACATTCCGTGCCTGTATTTTGGTTAGTAATACATCCAAATCACGTCAAGTTCCTTTTCTTTTCATTTCTTCAAAAATGTTAATGCTTTCTTTTTCTTCTGAACACAGGTGCGGCCTTGTCGTAAGGATTGTTCACACCGTAACCATGACTCTCGTCTTGTTGTAACTATAACAAACGTAGCCTTTGGTCTCTTGGTAGTTTTCCACCTAGCTTACCTAGGCCTCATGTTTGATACATCCTCAAAAGAACAAGAAGTTGGATACTCGTACAGTCACACACTTGCCAAGTGGTCAAGTCTCAGCTATGCTTCTCACTGGGTAGTTCTTGGAACATACATATTTTACCTTCTTATTTAAATCCTTGACAATCAGATGCAGCTCAACTCTTGTGCTGTTCTACATACACGTTGACATTGTTGATTTTGAGCACTTTCTCTATTGTTTTCATTGCTTTCATGCAACTCGGGCTGTGTGCTATTTGTATCTTTTATTATTGCCTGTGCTTTTTGTCAATTCCTCTTTTTAACCTTCCAACATTTTCCTCATAGATTTAATTTATCGTGGTACTCTGTCCAATTTAGTTCCATCAAACCTTGATGGTTGTTGTTGTTTTCTAATTTTAGCTTGTTGTATGTTACAGATCATGCTTCTTGATTGTGATTTTTGCTCTCATTTTGTACATTGTTAACTTGTTGTATATCTCTGATCTGTGATAAGTGTAGGATGCTTTCTAAAAGCCTAATAATATTTATAATTTTTTTTTCAGTGATACAGTATTTCATATCATTTAGACTCCCCATTCATTGTGCAGACTACCACTTGCTTCCATTGTGTCAGTATTTGTGTTTGTTAATCATGTCATCATCATCATTCATGTCATTTTCCTTGTGGAAGCAAATTAATTGAGATTGGCCTGAGATATTTTTGACTTTGCGATCGAATCAATATTGTATCAACATGGTTCAACCCCTTTTGCCATCGCCTTTTTGTGAAAAATAAAGAACGAAAAACAACTTGTGTACCAAGTCCTTTTTTTTTTATTTGAGCAAAAAATCGTTCATCGGAAATATTTAGCACTACAATAAACAACAAAGATGTGTGTGCTGGTCAGATACAGTAGAAAGAACACAGTAAGAAACAATATTTCACATGCGTGTCAATCTTATACCTACTAGCTCTGCGTAGCAAACAATCTTTCAGATTATTAGAAAGACAAATTTTAGTACAAATAGGAATCTGCCATTCAGATAAATTTTACAACAAATGAAACACTTTCTATGAGGAGAGATTCTAAGGCATTCAAAGAGTTAATTAATTACATGTCTAGAATTCTACAGAATTGACGCTTCTGAACTCCTACTTAAAAGAAGACCAATAGCTTTCACCTTATGAGACTTGGAAAGGAAAGATTTTAATTGAGATTACACTTATTAAGGATACTGGACTTCAAAGACATTTTTAATTGATTACATTAATTGGTTTTCATATAGTTCGAATATGTCGGTTTGAATTATTCACTATGCAATGTCCACAGGAAGAGGCAATTCTTGTTTCACATATTTTCTAAAACATTCTAATAATGGATAATAATTATAAATTTCAATTAAGGTTCACAGGCGTACATTACATGGTCTGGTCATGGCTCATAAATTTCAGACTATGAATATGTCAAAAGACTTGTTTACCTACAAATTTATTGCCGGTAAAATCTATCAGCTCAAGCTAGATGGTCCTTAGCACTTGCACAGTCATTTAAAATGACTGGAAATTAACGCTTATAACATTATTATTCAAGACAAACAGACAATCATCGACTTTCTTTTTTTTTTCTCATCAACTTTTCCTCATAAATGTTTCATCACAACCGCAATAATTTTTTAAATAAAATTGTATTTGAACTATCACCTATCAAATGATCAAGTGTTTACACAAGAGCATTTCTTGTCTACTAACTCCATTTCTTGTATGCCATAATAATTAATTGCCTTGCTTTTAGAACAAGTTTCCATTCGATCTATTGTTCGTGCTTCCATTAATAAAAGCCCCCACCCCGTAGACAGACTTCACTAAGACAACACTTGAAAAAACAAAGAAAAATACACAACAGGACGTAAAAAATGTGCAAAATTTGTTACATGTGAATAAAAGAGAAAAGACGATACAAACTCACACACATGCTCACCAACAATTATACACAAAAGTATTTCAGTTCTGCAAGTGAAAAAATTTTGCTGAACATTCAAAGGACAATGAAAGGAATAGGTCTCTTCAGTCACTGAAATCAAATAGAGGGAGAGATTTTTCAAGAACCTCAAAGACCCTTTTAACACTATACTGGTTGACCTAATTTCCCTTCCTTTACAAGGTCTTTTGCCTTAATACAGTCTATTTGTCAAAAAGGACCATTAAACAAACCAGAAATCTGTACCATACGTATCACAGAAAAAGGGAGCACAAGATGGCCCAAACTGTTCGAGGACAAAAATGAATATATTACAAGAATAAGAACAACTGCACAGTTTCAAAGCACCTTAAGAAATCAGGACTGAGGAAAGTGAAATAGGACAGAAGTAACTTTCAAAGCCTTTTCAACAGATAACTCAAAAGAATGACGAAAGCATAGCGACAGCCACTACCAAGGGGAGATTCCAGTTGCCATAGAGGGTCTACTAAAACCATCACAGAGTGGGGAGAGGAGGGGAGGAGAGCAAAACGCAATACATTTATTATGGCACAGTCAGACTTAAAAAGAAACAAAGGAAAATGGAGGGAGCGGGAAAGATAGGGGGAAAATTTATAGGACTAGTTGCAAGAGTAACTATACAGTACAGTAGGTAAAAATCATAGCCACAGCCTCAATAACAAATGACAAGTTAGAAAGCCAAGTCGAAAAAAAATCAAAAGATTTTGGGGAAAATATCAACTTTGCCTGAGACAAAACAAAAATAACAAAACAATGTCTTTTTTTTTTTCAATAGATGTTAGAGATTCATTTTGACTAACAATATATAGAGGAACTTAGAAAATAACACAGATATAGTAGAAAGCAAATAAATCATAAACAAAGGAACACTATCACATTGATGGATTAAATCCAAAGAAACAACACCATGCTGGTAACAAAAACATGTTAAACAGAAATATAAAGGAGACTCGATAAGTAGCTACAGAAACAGAAATATAACACTGTTTAAACTTTTGGAGTAAACACTCTCAAAGAGTACTTACAACAAAATTGAAGAGTATTACACTGTAGACCATCACCCTCATTAACACTATTATATGCACTAGAAAAGTCTATATACTTACTAGTAATGTTACAGAACAGGAAAAGAATAGCCGTTACTTCAGCCCTGTACATTGTCTTGTTGCAATTACAATAAATATAACTATGTTAAATAAACCAAAATGAAGGTATCTTATAAACAGATAGAGATTAGGAATCCTGTCTTTGGTCATAACAGATGCAATTTCAAACCTGACTTCATACCTGGTCAGCAATTTTGCTTCAAGAAATTACCACTTTATCACTGGAATGTGTAAAATATAGTAGGTTGTATGGTAAAATCAGTCTTATAAATAAATGAGAAATGCGATTTGTTTGTGCTTTGTGACTAGGTAGATAAACTAACTTGCAGATCAAGCATTTGATCTAAAATCATTGTCATCAGAAAATTAATTCAGACATGAACAAAAAGTCAACTTACTTCTTACATTTGTTTTCCTCATCCTTTTTTTTTCTTTTCAGAAAATTGTATAACTATACGAAATATTTGTTACATAGCACTGCCCTAATCATCTGACTTTACCCTGACTTGTAGCACGAAGTTTTCATACGGACAATATTAAAGTGAGCCAAGGAAATCACATCACCTCTCATTTTGGCACTTCATAAACGGGTTTAAGCTGGAAAATTAGTTACATTAGGCCATACTCCTTAGAAGTTAAGCGCAGTGTCATTACTGAAATTGTGAAAGTATATCAGTACAGACTTGAAACAATTTCTAACATTTAGTTCAATACAGTATTTGGAGTTGCTCCCAAACTGAATCCATTGCTCTTCTTGATCAACATTGATGCCGCCCAGTTAGAGCTGTGTATTAGATGTTATTCGTAACTCTCCTTCACAAATCACAACAAAGGTAATCAACTGTGAGATGGTATTACACCAGGAGGCGAGTCTGCAACAGTAAATAAACATATTTTTAGTATTCGATAGAAAGTAAAGAGAAATCTATTTCGTAAATGAACCATGACTCACATTCCTCAGCTTCTCTACGTAACGGCAGTAAAAATACGATTGCGAGGGCCATTGCAGCATGCCATGCACTGTGGACAAACTTGTAGTTATGATCTGTCTCCAGAAAAGCATAACCCAATAAACCTCCAGCAGCCAAAGCCATGCCAAATGGGAGACACAAGAACCAGTATGTCTTCTGGGGATAGCAACCCTTTTTACGGCGCATGTGGGAGGCCTGGAAATAAAATTTCAGAGATTTTGTAAGTATAAGATAATTTTAGTTCACTAGTTATTTGATTTGGGGCTACCTACCCATGACAACATAATGATAAATATTCCAGACAGTGCAGGCACAAGGAAAACCCAAAGACCGGTCTGGTCATACACAACACCAAGGGCCACTCCCACTGCTCCACCCATGTGGAGAAGGGATGTAAGTGTGTGTCCGAGATCGGCCATTGATATCAATGTCAACCAGAAAGATAAAATTGCAGAATAAAAGTCACAGAACTGCATCACACTGAGTCTCATCAGACAGAATGAGTATCCTTCCTCATCACAGGCATGATAAAACTGAAAAGCAAAAAAAGACTCACATACAGAAAAACTGACCAGAAAAAAAGCAAACGCTTTTTGAGGCAACATCCTAAATTATAATTACCGTTGAGAAGAACATGGTGCAACAGTATAACAAAGCTTCAGTGAAAAATTTGCGGCGTAGAGCTACAATAATTGCAGGTATAAAGAAAAGATTGCTGAGCGTCAATAACAAGGAGCCCATAAGCAGTTCTGAACTTGAAAGAGCTTTCTTGTCATCCGTACAACCCCATCCTCGGTATCCTTTAAGTAAGGAAGATAGACATTTAAACACACTTCAGGAGGTAACTTCATACAAAAAGGAGTCTATGAAGACTTACCAACGGAACACACACAAGTCGAAAAAATAAAACCACTGCTTATATATTGGTGACATCGTCCATAACGGCCACATGAACCAAACACACATGATCCAGAGGCTAGGCCAAAGTATACAGCAGTTTTATTAGAAGGACAATCAATATATATCTGGGCACTATTAAAAAGGACAACAGAAATTTAGAAATCATACTTCAAATGTGAGGAAATTGCAAATAAAGTCAAAGAGAAACCAAATCTTACTGATTTAGAAGAGGATCACTGAGGTAGCAGAAAGCTTGCATAGTAATGTACCACAGCCCTGGCTCTGGATATGGTATGCTCACTCTGCTCACAGTCAGAGAGGACGATGAATTGACATGTAGTGATGCCCCTACAGTGCAGCGATCAGGAAGTACTTCCGACCGAACTCCATGAGTCAAGCAGGCAACAAGAGAAACATTGTGGTATGATGTATTCTGAAATGGAAATGGAAATTGAATTAAATGGTGGAAGAATTTTAAGACTACAATGCACTAACACACCATACAGGAACTTACCAAGAAGGGGTCCAGGCCAACTTCAAAGTTCAATGTTCCACCTATATCATGAGAAGGACGTATCTCAAAACTCATGAGGGTAGGGGATAATGTACTAACGTAGGCTTTCAATGGTGAAGAGCCATTTTCGAACGGAAGTTGATCAAACTCAAATAGAAAATTTCCTCCATAAGTTTTTCGCATAAGAGGAATCCTGAAAACATATACAATGGTTTACAAACAATTCTGTCAATATCTAAAAAATAAAGGTCAAAGACTTTTCTGATTTTTTTCAATTTGTTTTCAAAACTTTGCTATTGACTGTTGTACTGAGAAGGTACTTTTTTAAAAAGTATACTTCACCACAACTTTTTTCACACATTTACATTTAACAGACATGGTGAATCAATAGAAATATTTATATTTATTATTGTGGGCATTTACCTTGCAAAACAATTGGGAGGTGGAGGTATGCGTGACTGGTTGTTTGTATTACGGAAGATGACCCGTAATTTACTTGTTTTGTTGATAGAAGAACAAATGTGGCGAGTGTCCAGGTCATTGACTAGAAGGTATCTTGGTAAAGGATACTCAGGAGCACATGCTGTTAGCAAAGTTCACGAGTGAAGGGAATAAATATCACACACGACACACTGGTTAATTTACATAACAAAATAAATCATGCATAAAGTTAGGGGTTTTAAAAAAATGTTTTCACAAACAGAACATCATGCACTAGTCAAGAACTAAGCAATAAACTTACATTGGAAGAGCACTTTGAGGGTAAAGCCAACATGATGATTGGGAGCTGCAATTGTAAGATAGTGCCATTGTTCTTCCCAAGGAACCCACTCCTGTTGACAAGTAGCTACTGGTCCATTGTTACTACAGTTGGTTGTCCTAGTCAAGAAATTTTAAAAACAATTGTCAGTCTGTTAATCACAGAGAAATGAGTATAGAAAAGATAAATTAAAATTGTTTTCTCACGCAGTGCCTGGGTGGTCAGGATTAGGAAGAGAGCGTCCACTAGACATCACAACTAATGGACAACCAGCATCAGATTTACCATCCTTGGGCACGCCATGGGCTGAGCAGCGGGAGACATTAACTTGAACAGCCCAAGTGTCAGCAGGAACATAAAACCTACAATAAAGAGAAGAATAACACTCATTGTCCAAATATTATAATTGAAACTAGCAGTAACAAACAAGAAACTAACTTGTAGGTTTGACTAGCATTCTCTATTTCTTGATAAAGTTGAATTTCTTGGTGAGCTTGAACTTCTGGGAACACCACAATGACATCACTTATAATGGTGGCAGATAGAGATGACTCAAACCAAATAGTACAATTTGGGAAAAGTCCCTGAAAAATAAAAACAATGTAGAAGGTGTGAAGTAGTGAATTTAAAGAATGAGGTACAATGCTTTGAGCTTGGACTCACTTTTTGAGTAATTCTAGCTCTGGTGATTGGTAAGAATGCTACAGCGTACCAATCCCCTGGAGTTGGACTTGTGACAGTAATGGTGTGATGGCTACCATCACTAATAAAAATGGTGTCATAGATAGGGCTTTGATGGATGCGGAAATGCGAGGGATATTCAGCACCATCAGGATTAATGACAGGGTAGCTCCCATACTTCAGGTATCTGATGAAAAATAAAATTGATTGATAAAGCTGTATAAAAATAATTTAAAATGAAAAACATTAATCAAAACTACTATATTTACACTGATACATCTCGAACATCACATCGGTTCAGATTTGTTGGGAGTGCGCTGAAATTCCATGTAGCTTTCGAAACTTGTTCGGGTATATCGTAGTGGAAAATTTGAACATCTTTGTAGGCTCGATATTCGAAAACTTGACGGTTCATGAGATGAGAAAGCATTACTGTTTTTTCCCCTGCAACTGAAGACAGTTAACATGGCAATTAGTATCATTAGCAGCCGATAGTGAAGGCGGGTGTCAAAGAGTAAAAGTTCAACATCAGAAAGCTCAAATCAATGAAAATGGATATGAGGTGCTCTTCATTCAAAATTAAATGGTTATATTAAATACTGGGGTTGGCGTATTTGAAAAAGACACAAAATTTTATGTTTCTAATCAACAGAATACCACCGGCGCGTGGCTAGATTAACATTTTAATGGACGCAATTCGCACTCGAAATTTTCCAGTAGGTTTCCGCAACGGGGAGGCGTCATTTCCAGCAAAACGTCAATAATTGAGCTACTAATGAAAGGCTGACGGCGAAAGGCCACGGTGCTCGAGGCAAGTGGCGACAGTGGCGTGCCGCGCTTATTACCATTTTGCTCCGCGGAAGCCGACAAATATCCCACATTGGTGCAGAGCAGAATCACCAAGCCGATTCGCCACATTATTCTTGGGCTGCGAACTATACTTTCTCCATATTTGAGTCCACACCACAGTCAGTCAGTCAATAACGTTAATTCGGCTCACAAACAAGCAGAAAAGGCAGCAGAAGACGAGCAGACGCCCACACAAGGTCTTTTGAAGAGTATGGTCACACGCAGAATCTGGCCGTGGAGGAAACCACCAGCCACCAGTTTCAAGAAGACCACAAAGCTGCGCCGCTGCAAATTTCCAAGCAGAACACTTCTCAAGGGCGTCGCGTGTTCCACCGAACGAAAGTCAACATGGCGTCGTTGAGTCGTCTCCACAACATTTGCTCTTTAACAAGAATTTTATCAAATTCTGGTAGATTTAGCACTGTGACAGCGCGTCGTTGGATCTCCAAGTCCGAAGGCAAACAAGACTCTGCCCCGGCGAAGCATGGCTCGTCGGCTGCCAGCGGCAGCACCGTGCCCAAGATCTGGGTGTCATACGGGTTCAGCCAGACCAACTACTATGAAGATCGCCTTTTGACGCACTTATTCATGTTTCTGGGCATCTCCTGGGCCATAATGGGCTCGTGCTGGATCATTTACTACTACCCGGACATGAACAAGCACGAATGGTACCGTCGTGAGGCCTTCCTGGAACTGCGTAGGAGAGAGGCCGCTGGGCTGCCCCTTGTGGATCCCAACTATGTTCCTCCTAGCCAAATTAAACTGCCATCTGATGAAGAACTAGGACCTTATGAAATTATCATTTAGGCTGTTACATTATTAAGAAATTTTAATCATCAATTTGTAGTCTGAATGGATGCGGCTGCTTACGAACTTGTCATGACCATCTCACTGTAATACCTGCTGACCTGCGTTTCGTTGTACATGATGTTGGCCTGCTTTTAAAATGTAAGTGTCTCGCTGGGGTCTTTACTCTGACGAACAAATTTGAGACACCTCCTGTCTGAAAATCCCATGGAATTATAATGAGCTGTCATATTCAAAGACAAAGTTTCCTGGTAGTGCACAGTAGTTCCATTGCACACTGTTTTAATTACGTTCACAAAATACTAAGTTTGGTCTCAGCTGTGATTCAATTGAAGTTTCTGCCTAAAATGTTAAGTGTTAGTAATTTGAGTGGAAGACAACAACTTCAGGTGCTTAATGGAATTACTCTTATACTTCATGGTTTGTTTAATGCTGATTTACCATTCTTGTTATTGAAGTTATTTTGTTCTAGTAGAAATTTTGTACGAGATTCTTCAAGGAATATGATGTACCGGCCTTTTTTACCTCATTTTTGCAAACCAAGGTATTTGGAATTATGAGTGGTTTGCCGTTTCTGATGCAGCTTTTGTTAGAAGTTCCATGAGTTTTGTACAAGAGAAAATATTTCTCTTTTAAATACAAAGTGTTTGTTTTGGTTATTGTTTGTGGTGATGTCAGCATCAATGGCAGTTCAATTGAGTCAAAGAAAAAAACTTGTACATACAACTGTCAATAAAATGTACAAAATGTTTCAGACTTGTTGTTTGCCTGTAGTACTTAAGTTCTCAAACCCTAGAAAATTGCCCAACCTTGCACATCTTGCTAGATTGAAGAAAACTGAAACACATGAGTTTCTTTGGTTTTAATTACCAAAACAATATATTTGACAATATTTAGTTGTACATGCAAAGTCCATTCTAAAGCACAAGAGTATAATGATTGAAACAGAGTGATTAAAATGTGATGAGCATTTAAAAATAACAATGAGTAGAAATTAAAAAGGTCTGCTTCAACATGAATGAGAAAGCTCTGGATATTGTAGCAATCATTAATAATTGTAAGGGTGCATTCACACTCAATGATGCCTTAGTGGAGAAGCTCACTGAGCTAGCCCCAGCGTCTTGAATCCACCTTTACAATTGAAACAAATCATAACCAAAGAATAACAAAAGAAACAGAAACAATGCAACACAGGCAAAACAAAACCAAACAAAAAATTGGTTCTTCAAAACCACTCCCAAACCATCACACCAAGAAAAACATTTCTTCACGACCAAAAATTATGCAAGTATATTAGATAAAAGATAGGTCTGACACTTCATTTTTTGAGACCTCAGGAATATGCCAAAAAAAGTATTTACACAATTTTCTTCCTGATTAAAGACAAGATAGAACATTAAGACAAATTTCCACTGATTGACAGTTAAATGAAACAACAAAAATTCCTTAAACTTCCAATAGTAAAAAAGAAGAAATGAACAACAACTGAAGGTTGGTGGATAGACTTGATACAAATGGTTTTAGTAAAAACAATGCAACAACAGTCCATAATTATTATAGGCCCCATTACATCAACTTCAACTATAGTCAAGGGATATGATCAGGGGAAACTATTGTGTCATTACTGGCCGACAGAAACACTGAAAGGTGGTTGCTGCGGTTGAGGCTGCTGCGATGGCTGCTGCTGCTGTTGAGCTAAGTGCAAGCCTTCAAGAGTCGTGAACGGAACCGAGGCTGAGACTGTGATTGGTGGCATACCAGGCAAGCTCAGGGGTGTTGTCAGGGGCATACCAGGGATAGATGGTGGTTGGCTTACATTCACTGAAATGGAAATACATGCAATGAGCACAAACAACATGATAGCTAAAGACAAAATCATTCAGTGAAGCTTACTAGAACTGGCAGGCGATGATCGGTTGGGCAGCCCAGTGGAATCCATGACACCATGAGTGCTGGGGAAATACTGCCCTGGATTGCTAGATGAGCTGAAGGCAGGGTAACTCTGGTAGCCGTAACCTTGTGAAGATATGGGCTGGGAATAGCCAAGTGTTGTTGTGCCGCCTACAGTAGAAGGATGGGGCTGGGGCATTCCAACAACAGAGGTTGAAATGGACTGAGCTGGCACACTAGTCATGAATGTATCTTGGCCACTCACTGTCAAACCAGCCATTTGTGCGCTCATTCCAGTCTGAAAGACAGAAGTTCATAAGCACCATAAAATCATACCAACCTTGGCCACACAAAAGGACACAATTCAGATACAAACCATGGAAGTGGGTACTGCAGAACTGTAAGGCACTGGCATTGAGGGAACAGAAGATGGAAAAGCTTGAGAGGCGGGAGAGGGGGCTGTGGGATACATAGGAACTGAAGGTGGTGAGACTGACTGAGCTGGGAGACCAGGCTGCACCAAAGAACCATCAGGAACCACTTCTGATGTCGGAGGGACATAGGCATCGGTGCCCACTGATGCTGCAGGGGCATAGCTGCCTGCTGCAGCGGGCACATAAGTGCCTACTGTTGCTGGAGGAACATAAGCGCCCACTGCTGCTGGAGGCACATAGGCACTTCCAGTGGCGGGAGGAACATAAGCACCAGCTGCCACTGAAGTGGATTTGGATGAGGAAGCAGGAGTTTGAGCAGCTGCAGGTGGTTTCATCTGCTCCATATTGTTTCTGATTGGTATCCGATGAAGATAACCATATCCAATACCGCATCCCAGGCTGGAAAAGAAAATTAAGGTCGTATAACATGAAACATGCCTTGATCGCAGTGCTGCTTCATTCACTAATGGAAATTGGATACCAACCTGCCTTCACCCCCCCAGCTGGAATTGGGTGTGATTGTCACCTCCCTACATGAATCTTCATCGGTATTGTAAACATACAACTTCAGAGCTCTGCCTTCATGTGCCTCAATAAATGAAAATAGATCTTCACTTTCATGCAGGATGGAGTCAGCACCAATGATATAATCCGTGAATGGCCGTAGACCAGCTAAATCGGCGGGGGATGATGGATGGACTTCCTGGATAAATCATCAACAGTTAAGTTAGGACTTTGCATGCATGTTAGGAATGCAAATTTAATTTGCAGTTACAGCATGTACAAGAAACTAATATTTAGGAGACAGCATAAAGGATACATACCAGAATGTGCCAAATGTTTTCGTTAGAACCTTCGAAAGAGCAAAATCTTATAGACACACCAAGCAGACCCTGGCCTCCCCATGAGGTACTTGGAATTATGGTTACTTGACGAACTTGTTGTGTTTTGCTACTGTACACAGTTACTTGAACTTCCTTATCAACATTGGACTTCAGGAGTTCTTTAAGTGTGTCATTGTCTTGGTCCTTTGGCAAGAGAAAAGTAAATGGATTTATTAAATGATCAGTATGCTAATTTTAACCAAACCAAAAGATTGTATAAGATATAAAAATTGTCCAAACTTAAAAGTATGGGACCTTACCAGTCTTTGTTTATTAATGGCAACAATAAAATCGAAAAAAGCTTCTAACCCAGCTCTCTGTCCTGGTGAACCATCTTGTACCTAGAAACAGTATAAAACGTGGTATGAACAAAAGAAAAGAGTATGTGACAGTTGTTGAAGCTGATCAAATTTCTCATTAGTTAAAGGGATGGGCCGGTCGAGATGTGGGATGTATGAACTAATTATGACAATTGCAGGTTATAGTACCAACACTTAAAGACACGAACAGGGGACCAATTTAGCACTTGGGGGTTAAATAGTATAAGAGAGAACGAACCGGAGCATTCCTTTAAATAAGAAATATCAAAAATACACGAAGAATGACAAAATGACAAATGTTTCTGCTACATGACACAAAACACCGCCCGGAAAGAGGACAGGCAGTATGAAACAAGATTTTTACCCGTAGAACGTGATATCCTTCGGTGCCTCCACCTGGTATTTCTACGCTAGGCCCGTTACCCATTTCAACACTTCAAATTTGAAACAAGTTCACTAAAGTTTGTGTTTTCACGGCGAAAGCTGTAGACAGCAACAAATCCTCTACGTGGCGCATTTGTCTTCTTCTTTCCTTACGTCAGCTGTCAGCTGTCATTTTTCAATTCGATAGCTCGAACTCGAAGGACCTCGAACGTAACCCTTTCGCACCCCCTCGCCCTCACCCACCCCTTCACCCCCGCAGTTGCCCAGCGAGTGCATAGAAACAAGAGCAATTAAAGAAGCAGAAAGTCCGATGAGCTAACGTCTCGTTTCTCGTTTCGTTTGCACGCCAGTAAAGAGAAAAAAGTAACATGCGGGAATTAAGGCGCTAATGCGGTCGATAAACCATTGATACCATGGTAAGATCCTAAAACTGAGTCGTAGTTACCGATAGTTTGCGTCCTCAGCCTACCTCTCAGCCGTGCTTCCACAAGTGGCCATCTTCTGTGGTACAAGTGTGTCAGTATTCTGAAAATCAGTGTGACATTTCAGTGTTCTGGAGATTTATCCAACTGGTTTCCAACTTCACTGAAGAGCAAACCAAGTTTTTTGGGCTCGGGGACTCCGGGACGTGAGGTTATAGTGCACACTCTGGGGTTGCCACCAGTCCATGTTACCTCCTGATTCCTCATTGAAGACTGAAGATGGAGGAAGAACCCAATTTACAGGAACAAATTTTTCACAACACAGTGAGAGAAAACATAATATTTATGCTGTTGTTTCTTCTACTGTACTTGTCTAGTTACACCCTCATTGGAAGATTTCGACGAAGAGACAGGGAAGAATATTTGTCCTCCGATGAAGATGAAGCCATGGTTTACCGGATCAGTCTTTGGCTATGTACCTTCTCATTGGCTGTTTCAGTAGGAGCTGCCCTATTGCTTCCGATTTCTATTGCTAGTAATGAAGTCCTCATTATTTACCCTAATAGTTATTATGTTAAGTGGCTCAATAGCTCCCTTATTCAAGGACTTTGGAATCATGTATTCCTGTTTTCCAATCTGTCCCTTTTTGTGCTACTTCCATTTGCATATCTATTTACCGAATCTGAAGGTTTTGCTGGAAGCCGTAAGGGCTTGATGGGGAGAGTGTATGAGACTGTTGTTGTTTTATTTTTACTGGGTATTGTTGTGTTAGGCATTACCTATATCATATCAGCTCTACTTGATAAAGACAAGTCTAGTATTCAGACCCTACTGAACCTGTGGTCCTATTATCTCCCCTTCTTGTATTCATGTGTTTCTTTCTTGGGTGTCCTCATGTTGCTGATCTGTACTCCTCTTGGCTTTGGAAGGTTATTTGGAGTGGTAAGCTTGTTCCTTGTGAAACCTCAATTTCTCCGAGACTTGAATGAAGAGTTTTCAGTTGCACAACTGGAAGAAGAATGTCTGCGGCGGCGTCTGAAGCAAGTGAAGGAATCTGACAATGCCACTCTCTGCCCCCCTCCAATGGTAATGCCAGTAGACATGTCTGAGTCTTTCATTAATCAGTCTTCAGAAAGCAATATCAAGAAAAAAGATTTAGTGTCAGTTCTTGAGAAAAAAATAAGGACTGTGGAGGAGAAACGCAAACTTGTTGACAAGCAAAGAAGTACATCTTGGCTGCAGAGGAACTTGGTGTATCCTGTGGCAATGATACTGCTCATTGCATTAACTTGCATTGCTGTTCTAATGGTGGTACAGAACACCTTGGAACTTCTCATTGGTATGAAGGCTCTTCCCTTGAGCACTCGTCAGTTTACGCTGGGCATCACCTCTTTGTCAATGCTTGGGCCATTTGGTGCTGCGCTTGAGATTGTTTTGATACTGTACCTATTTGCTACATCTTCCATAGGTTTGTACACTTTGCCCTTGTTGTCTCGAGTGAGACCAAAGTTAAAGGAAACTACATTAACTCACGTCATAGCTAATTGCTGTATGCTGCTTGTGTTGAGTTCAGCTCTACCAGTGCTTTCAAGAATATTAGGAATTACAAACTTTGACTTATTGGGTGATTTTGGAAGAATTGAGTGGCTTGGAAATTTCAAGATTGTGTTATTATACAATATAGCCTTTGCTTCAGCAGCCACTTTGTGTCTAATGAACAAATTTACAATAACTGTAAGAAAGGAGTTGTATGCCAGATTCCGGAGCTTTTTTGCAACAATATTTGAAGCATCGGCCTCCAAGAAAGGTACCAAAGCTCAAACTTCACCCACTAAAGAAGATTAGAAGTCATGTATGTATTTAGGTTAAATTTTCAATTGTGTATCGGCTAATGAGTGAATTGCATATGTGGGCCATATTTCCCATCTTATGAATATTCACAAAGATCTAGTTCTTTTTTTGTCTTGTTCAGTTGTAAGCGACAAAGATCTAGTTATGAGTGCTGTACCGTTATATACTCTAGGTATGTTTTGATTTTGTTTCTGTGCTTTCAAAACAATTTGTAACTAATTCAGTATTAAATAACATCATAACCACTCTAGTTGTATAAATATGTACATTGTCCTTTGAAACACTGATGTTTGGTCTTGACTGTGTTTGTAACTTCTCCTGTGTTTGAGTCGATATACTTTATCTTTCACTTCCTCTAGGATACGTAACTTATTTTTCATCTCAGCATTTTTCTTTGTGTAAATTTCCCTTTTGTTTATTACTATATTGGTAACTACCTATGTTAACAGGAAATGCTCACGTAATTTTAGAGGTTCTAATCGAACTCATCTCTGCACAATGCCAGTTCAGTCTAGTCATTATGTTTCCTTCATTGCATATTCCCACCCTCTTATTTGTATTTAACAGGCTGTAGATTAGTGGCTATAATCTTATCAATTATATTTTGTGCAGTGATAAGGACTTTTCAGCAATATTTCTGAAGTTTTCCCTAAGAGCCATGTGCTATAAGTCACATTATTGCATTTACATGCAATGTAGTTTTCTGTTTTTGTACTAATATTTAATGTGACTTGGCATTTTCCTCTTTCCTTTGGAACATTGCTTGCACATTAGGGATTTTGACTTGTACTGATCAGATCACTACCTAGCATTGTATCAGCACAAATTTATGAGACTGATTTGATTTACCGGTTTATGCTTGATTTATGTTAAATTTCAGCATGGACCTGCTGATGACATAGCTGAAATGACCATCTCCCTTTTATTAAATTTCCCTTGACTTGCACGAATTGTACTATGTGATCACTATTTTCATTAATTTTGATAAGTAATGTGCTTGAGAATATTGTCAGAGTCTGAAAGTTGGACTTTGTGTTTTAGCTTTCCCCCTTGTGTTATTGTTAGTAAAGACAAAAAATCTTAATACATCAAAGCTGTGATAAAGAAGGTCATACTCTCATGTGTCACTATGTTGTCTTTAATACTTGATAGTGTTTTGCTAAAGAAGCATTTTCTTTTTAGTTTATTTGCATTGCATTTGTGTACCTAAAATTTAAGAGTTTATGATTTTCCTTGGACATTGCCCAGGGCACATTAGGATCCACTCAGAGTCCTACCCAAGATTCTTCTGTAACCCTTATTACAGGAAGAACCTGAACTTGCTATTCTTCAAATGGTCTGAAACCATTTCTTTATTGTATGATTTGCCACTGCTTTGCAAGCTATGCTTACGGTGGGAAGTCATGGAAGACATGCTAACTTTTGGAATTCAATGGTATTTGTTTTGAACTTGTTTTTATTGTAGACTGCAAGTGGGATGGATTTTGGTTCATGTAAATTTGATACCACCAAATCTTAGTTTATGGTAAACATGAGTCTTATGTATAATATTTGCAATAAAAGTCTGATGGAAAATTGTTGACCTTTCAACAATTCTTTTGTCATGACTTATGTTATTTTATTAGGAAAACTTGAGAGCCTTTCTGAAACACCTCCTAATTGATCGTGGAGTCCAGTCTCTCTCATCATTGCTTTCCATCAAAGACTGTATGTGATTTTGAATAAATTTTACACAGATCAAATTGATGCTTTGCATTTTTTCAACCCATTCTTCTTAAATTTTGATTTGCAAACATCATGGGAAATTAGAGTGTAAATGTAAAGGGCTAGGGATTTGTTGTCCCTGTTTCCTGTTTGATAAAATGTAGATTTAACCCATAACATTCATTCGCTAAATTACACAAATTCACAAAACATGCTGTTCTTGCTTTCAACAGACTGACTTAAAGAGTGTTAAAACTATGTAGCTCACTAGACAGTTTCAGAAAGGCCCTCAAAGAATTGAATATTGCATGGTTTTTTCCCTCTAAATTAAGTTTCAGATTTCTTATTAGTAAGCGGCCTTGTCTTAAAATTGTGACTGAGGACTACTGTGTCCTTCATTTTGCGCATTTGCCTTTCTTTGACGGCAAATGCTTTAAAGTTTTATCCTTGTCTGAGTTGACTTTGACCCCAATTAAGCAAGTTCTTCCGTGTTTTGTGCTGTTAAAGTTTTGGCCAAGGGATTGTCTTTTTCCTCTCTTATGCAAAAATTTTTCTTTTCTCACACTTTGAATTTGATCAGCTATTAATTTCTTTAACACATTTCAACCACAGAAACATCCTAATGTAATCAAAATCAAACTTTGATTGAGGGGGGAAAATGTTTTCTTATCTTTGCAAATAAGGAAAGACTTAAGTTTGATAACTTGTTTACGCTCGTCTCACTAAAGCATCACAAAACCATGTCATAAATATGTCATCTTAGTTATGCTTGGTATCTAACTCAGAATCATTACTTGATTGATTCTTGTAGGCGGGGGATGCCGCATCTCTGTCTGCCCTTGAAGGACTTATGAAAGAGTTTTTCTCAAATGAAACCAGTAACGGACGCAAACATGAAATTGAGCAAGTCCTCCACGCATTTAGCAGTCAGCATGGTTCATGGCAACACTGCTTGTACTTTTTGGCTCATTCAGCCGATCCATACGTCTGCATGTACTGTTTGACTACTATTGAGGTAAGGATAGTGGCGATAAGTGCTACTTTGCAGATTGCTTGAAATTGAAGCTCTTTAACACTACCAACTTTATTTTCTGCAGACTGTTATAAACAAACAATGGTCAGCTTTAGCCTGGGAAGAAAGAGCTCAACTAAGGACAGCACTCTACCAATTATTATTGCAAAGGCATACATCTGTTGCAACATTTGTTAGAAACAAACTAGTCAAGCTTGTGGTTGATGTTGCTCGATTAGATTGGCCACATTTTTATCCTGATTTTCTTACAAATATTATCCAAGTAAGTGCTAATCAAGGTAATGATGAAAAGTATTTGCCTAAGTTTTATCTACTACACATTTGTTTCACTATTTCAGCTGTTGCAAAATGCAGATACAGTTACATTAGGCCTCGTCTTTGTTCAAACCTCTTCTGAAGAGCTTATATCATCTAGGGAAGATTTAAGTGTTTCTCGAAGAGAAGAACTGCGTAGATTACTTCTTCAATATGTTCCTCAGCTCTTTGCCATCCTCACAGGTTGACTACCTTCAATTTTATTATCCCTTTTATTCTTGATGATAATCTCAACCCTGTTGTTTGCAAACCACATTTCCTCTTTATTTCGCAGGTGTTCTTGAGGAAGCCCAGCAGTCTGAGGGAAGTGCTAATCGCAGAGGTAGTTCAACTGGATCTGTTGGAGCCCCTGCTGTGACCGCTACACCTCCCCCAAGCCCTACCCACGGTCAGCCCCACTCAGCATCGCCTCCCGGCTCTTTGTTAAGCTGCATGCTATCTTCAGGTGGAAGAGGAAGCAGCACAGGGGTTGTTAGATTAGCTCTTGAGGCACTCTCACATCTTCTCTCATGGGCACCCCTAGGCGAACATGTTTCAACTGCCTTAACATCCGCAATATTCTACTGGATACATGCTCACCACTCTGTAAGGCCAAATTTTATCTTAGCCCTGTCTGACTGATACTTTTAAACTCTAATTAATTAGAATTGTTAATTGTTGGTTTTGTTTTGTTTTACAGGTTCATGCTAGTAATACAGACACAAGTTTAAGTGCCTTGGCAATGGCAACCATTAATGAAATATTTTACAAAAAGTGTGTCCCAAATGAATGGGAGGATAGTCTACTAGGACTTTGTGAACAAGCTCTGGCGTTAAGTCATGAGTTAATTAATCATATTGAGAATCTTTCGGAAGAGTGAGTTAAAATTAATTTGACTAATTCTGTTCTGTCATTTTTCTGTTTCTTAACAAACCTTGGAAACTTTTTTCTCTTATCTTCATTCCTGTCCCACAGCCTTATTGAGAAGCTGCTGGACTTCCTGAGATTAGTTGTAAGTCAGCATCTACATCGTTTGGAGAAAAGTCCGAAGTGGCTAGTGTCCCAGCTTTTGTCCCTGCTGTTGCGTTTCACTTTTCAACAGCCTCATTTAGATGGCTATTACCAGTGCCTTGAAATTTGGGAACAGCTTTTAGAATACCTTCAACAACGTCAGAACAGTCAACTCAATGCCAGGTTTAGTATCGAACTCAATACTGACTTAGGGTGATCAGTCATTCACTGTGCAAATGATTGCTCTAATGCTTCAATCACCCTTTCAGATACCAAGAGGCCCTAGTATTGCTGGTCGGCCAAGTTTTAAAGAAAATGCAATTTCGTCAAAATAGAAATGAACTTTTGAACCTTGATGATGAAACTCTGGATGATGATGTAAGTGCTTACTTCAAAGTTCATTAGAACCTAAATTCTCTTAATTTTTATTCTAATTGGAAAATTGGTCTTCCAGGGTGAGACAGAGTGGCAAAGGTTTCTGAGAGAGAGTATAGAAAGCATTGCCAAAGTAGCAGAGCTTGCACCTCTTCACATTTATGCTCTTGTGGTAAGCACATAAACTTCTTATTCAAGAGCTTTCTATTATTAACTTACGTAATTTTAACATGTTGATTAATATTTTCAGCTTGAACCATGGAAAGAAGTGTGCTCGGAATACACTCATTTATGCTCTGAAAAAGTTGTGACAAATGCTGACCTGCAGCATTCTGTTCGAGATTTGGCGTCATTAACTCAGGCGATTGGTCGGTTTTGCCCTCATTTCACCGGGGAGAGCTTCATGGCTGGTATTCAGCAAGCTCAGCAGCTGGTGCAGGGTCTAGTTGCCATGGCAGCACTAGCAACTAAGCTTCGACCTCATCATTGGTCTCTCTCTCCTTCCACCATCTCAAGAAATTTATTACTTGTGTAAGTAATTGAGGTTTAATCATTGTTTTTATGATAGTTATTTCACTCATGACCTATTTTTAACATTGTGGTTTTGCTTTGCTAGACATGCCCAAGTCCTTGCAGCCTTAAAAGCGTGGAGCCATTGGGTTGCTCAGATGCAAGCAAGCTCAGTTGATCATGCACTCGTTGATCGTCTAATAAATGATATGGTTCGAGCCACTGTGGCGTTACTCCAGGACCATAACGAGCCTTCAACTCTCAAACACGCTGCTGCCCATCTCCTCCTTACTCTGGCAGGGACTGTCAAGTCCAGTCAGCTGTGGAATATGGAGCAAGTACGAAGCCTCTACAGTGATCCTCTCTCTCACCTCCAATCGTCTGTGAGTGCTATCCATTTGTACGTCTGGTATAAAGCTGCCTTAATTTTGCCGTATTCTTTAACGAGAAAACATTTGTTTCAGACTCAAAGTGTTGTTCGCCAAGCACTCTGCAGTGCATTGGTTGTTGTTGGCAATGAGGATTGTTGGGAAGAGAGGCATAAACTGATGTCCATGCTCTTGGAAGCAATGACCTCTGATCTTCGTAGATTGGCAACTTCTGGAGCCCATAATGCACAGGAGGCTGCACCAGTGATATCACGAACATTCCGACAGTTAGGAGAACTTGTAGAAAACTCTCAAGCAGAAAATACATGGGGTAGGAAGTTACTGTGTTCATCTTTACAGGTATGATTGAATTTACTATATGGAGTTTGATGTACTTGTTGCCCTAGTGCTTTTCTGGAAACAACTTTCCTCTCTGCTTGTAGACATGTCTGGAGCAGTCCTTGATTTTATTCCCATCTTATGTGAGTGATGCTGAAGTTAGTGAACAAGTCTTACACTTTTTCCTGGCCTCATTTGGCACTCTTCAAGTCCAACTTGGTGCTACATTTACACAACAAGCAGTTCACACATTCTTAGAATGTTTCACCAGGTATTTAAATTTCTTAGTTGTGTCTCATAAATGGTAACAATTTATATTAATCTTGCCAATGCCTCACTATTTTAGGGAACAGCTCTCTGTTTGCTTGCTTCAAGAAAAATGTGGTGGTGTTGAAAAATTTCTTCATATTTTGCAACTCATTGTGACACAACCAGGTGTGGCATTTAAACACTTCATTCCATCCAGCATAACTCTTTGTATGGATCACATATACCCAGTTATTGTGGATCACCCAGCTCCTTCAATCAAGCCTGCTCTGTTCCAACTTCTATTTAGGTATTGACTTTTTTAAAAACTGTAAAATGCCTTTACTGTTTTGCAATTAAGGAGTTTACCAGCCTGCATTGTGTACGTTTTCAGCATTTTATTGCACAAGTGGCAATATTTTTACTCTGGTCAGTTACAAAATGCCAGTGTGAGGTCTGAGCACAAGTCAGAACTTCTTTCTATCCTGAATGCATTTGGCCAATCTCTGCTCCAGTCTGACATAAATGTTTTTCGTCAAAATCTGCATAATTTAGAAGTTTTAAATAATCGATGGAAACTCTACCATAAGGTATGTTTCTCCTATACAGGTTTATTGATTTGCATGTTGATATTTATGTTTTTATATTCACTCTAACATAATCATTGGAAATTTGTTCTTTAGGCTGAATTTTGTGAGGGACTGCTTCCAAGATTTTTGTCGGTGCTCTTAGAAACACTTGTGAACAAATCCCACGCTCTCTTAAGTGAAGACATTGCTGTTGCTGTGTTTAACATGGCGAGTGTCGATTTTAGTTTCTTTTTTTCATCCTTTCTGCCAGAGTTTCTACAAACATCTGAAGGATTAGATGACTCTCAAAGGGTTCTTTTACTTCGAAATTTCAACAATTCCACTGTAAGTCCTCCATAACATTTATGTGTGAATCAAATTTTATGCTTTTGCAATATGGTTGTTAATAGTAATTATGTTCCCCCCAGGATTTGCCATCATTTACACAAAATGTTTCTCGTTTGACTAATGATATGAGGTGTTACAAACTTTGCAACTCGTTTCTACCTGCGGGCAGTATTCAGCTTTGAAAAGCATCATCTCGACCGAGTTACTTGCAAGTTCAACAAGTCTGCTCAAAATTTTATTGTTTTTTTTTTTGTTTTTGTTTTTATTGGATCCAGTCAAAATCACTTTCAAGTGTGTGTTGGATCATTTCAATTAATGGAAGTGGGGCATATTTCCTGAACTGCTTAAAATGTAATTGTATGATACTGATTTCTGTGATTTTTGACTCTGTATTCGTTTTTTACTGTGCCATTTTATTGTATTACTACTGTACATTCTCTCGAGAGAATCTATCATGGTACTTCCATCAAAATTTACCAACTTTGCTATTAGACTCTCTTGATTTATGTCTTTGATGATTTTATTTTATGATTGTTGTTAAAGATAGAGCGATTTTTGGCAGTTCGTTGTATGAACTCTTCAACTGCCAAATGTTGCTTAACATGTTCTGTTAAAATCTTTCTTTAGAGGTTTAACTGCAGCTCTGCAGTCGTTAGTATTAATGAAATGAGCGGAGCTGCCAATGAACAGGAATATTCTTATTGCATATTATAAAATTAATGAGCTGTTCCAATCTCTTTGTATCTCATTAAATGACTACAGATCTTGACTCCAATTAACATATAGTCTGCCAGTGGTAAGTCTGCCATACACATATTTATTAATGAATTTTGGACCATGTTGCATAGTTTTAAATCCAAAGCTTCATAATTCAGGCTTATGCATTAGTGTGGTTTGAAAATGTTTGCCAGTTTGCCTCTCATTCTAAGGTCACAACAAGTTCTGATGGATTTAAGGCTGAACATTCAATATTCAGTGGTGTAAGGCAATACAAATTTAACCGGGAGTTTTGTACATGTATTTATTCATTAACTGAGACTGTTTGTAAAGAATCTTTGAGCGTTTTTATCATTTTCTTTTTAATGTAAGGTGAGACAATAATTTATTTAATTTTCTTGCCTTGATAGAAGGGACCACAACAATGGTGGCAAACTGGTAGTAGTCAGGTCACTGGAGGATTGAGAGCTTAGTTGGTTTTGATGAATTTTTTTCTCAGAATAAAAATACCTGTTTTTGGTTTGTTGTTACATGACTGTTATGATCAATAATGAATTCAGTATTAGTTTTAATGCTTCATTCAATTCCTAAGATTCTAACATCATTGTGAATGAAACCAGTCACTCCTAAAAGTTTTTTCTACTGAATGGAATCCATAGGAAATGATGTGGATTAGAATCTTAACTGTTTTTGTTGGGCAATAATTTATCAAATTCGTGTTTTGTAAATAATATGGTACAAAGGGAGAGAGTTTCCTATAAAATGTCCCTTGTGCTGTTTTCCTCTTTGGTAGATTTTTTTACTTTTGAACATTTTGTATGTTGTCTTGTAATAAAAATATATCGTCGAATCTAAAGTTTTAATTCTTCCACACTCTTCCACACACGCCTACCTTTCAATACCGAAAATTCGGTCCGAAAGTATGGCCGGCGGGAATCGCACATGAGTGTGCCGCGGGACGGAGGGTCTGCTAGACAGCCACTCCCGAGCCGAGAGCAAGGCGGGCAGATTTCGTGGACACTGGAAATGTATACCCGACCAGCAGCTTGCCGCAGAGTTCCTGGGTCGAAAAGGAGAATCTTTTCCCATCTTCTACTCAGCTGGAGCGGCGGCGCCTGACAGGGTAGGCCAGTGGTTCTCAACCTTAGGGTCGCGACCCCAAGCGGGGTCGCGAAATTTTTTTAAGGGGTCGCGGCGATGCTGGGGTCGTGTTTTAGGCCGATTTTAAGCAGCCACTGCGTCTGATCCGAGGCGGGCATTTTGCTCCCTCAACGGGCAATCGGTCTTTGGACCTTCCTTTAGCATGCCTTTGTTACGGAGTGCAATTATCAGTCTTAGTTTGGGAGCAGTATTGTCTCAAAGTTGGCCGAAACGCTCAGAAATGTCTATGAAAAATCGTGTTTTGGGCCGATTTTAAGCAGCCACTGCGTCTGATCCGAGGCGGGCATTTTGCTCCCTCAACGGGCAATCGGTCTTTGGACCTTCCTTTAGCATGCCTTTGTTACGGAGTGCAATTATCAGTCTTAGTTTGGGAGCAGTATTGTCTCAAAGTTGGCCGAAACGCTCAGAAATGTCTATGAAAAATCGTGTTTTGGGCCGATTTTAAGCAGCCACTGCGTCTGATCCGAGGCGGGCATTTTGCTCCCTCAACGGGCAATTGGTCTTTGGACCTTCCTTTAGCATGCCTTTGTTACGGAGTGCAATTATCAGTCTTAGTTTGGGAGCAGTATTGTCTCAAAGTTGGCCGAAACGCTCAGAAATGTCTATGAAAAATCGTGTTTTGGGCCGATTTTAAGCAGCCACTGCTTCTGATCCGAGGCGGGCATTTTGCTCCCTCAACGGGCAGTTGGTCTTTGGACCTTCCTTTAGCATGCCTTTGTTACGGAGTGCGATTGTCAGTCTTAGTTTGGGAGCAGTATTGTCTCAAAGTCGATCAAAACGGTCGCAAGTGTCTTTGAAAAATCGTTGTGACTATTTTGGTCAACTTTGAGACAATACTGCTCCCAAACTAAGACTGATAATCGCACTCCGTAACAAAGGCATGCTAAAGGAAGGTCCAAAGACCAATTGCCCGTTGAGGGAGCAAAATGCCCGCCTCGGATCAGAAGCAGTGGCTGCTTAAAATCGGCCCAAAACACGATTTTTCATAGACATTTCTGAGCGTTTCGGCCAACTTTGAGACAATACTGCTCTCAAACTAAGACTGATAATTGCACTCCGTAACAAAGGCATGCTAAAGGAAGGTCCAAAGACCAACTGCCCGTTGAGGGAGCAAAATGCCCGCCTCGGATCAGACGCAGTGGCTGCTTAAAATCAGCCCAAAACACGATTTTTCATAGACATTTCTGAGCGTTTTGGCCAACTTTGAGACAATACTGCTCCCAAACTAAGACTGATAATTGCACTCCGTAACAAAGGCATGCTAAAGGAAGGTCCAAAGACCAGTTGCCCGTTGAGGGAGCAAAATGCCCGCCTCGGATCAGACGCCGTGGCTGCTTAAAATCAGCCCAAAACACGATTTTTCATAGACATTTCTGAGCGTTTTGGCCAACTTTGAGACAATACTGCTCCCAAACTAAGACTGATAATTGCACTCCGTAACAAAGGCATGCTAAAGGAAGGTCCAAAGACCAACTGCCCGTTGAGGGATCAAAATGCCCGCCTCGGATCAGACGCCGTGGCATGTTAAAGGAGGGGTCCCGTGGGGTCGCGAAATTTTTCCTGGGGGTCGCGGAAATTTTTGGCTTCAAATTTGGGGTCGCGAGCCGAGAAAGGTTGAGAACCGCTGGGGTAGGCAACCCACCCGCCTTCAGCGGTAGGCGGCTGGCCCGCTCTCCGGGCTGCGTTGGGCTGAGCGGTTGAGTGGCGAAGCGACAGACAAGGAAGTGGCGGGGAGGGGGAAGGGGATAGAATGGGATGGAAGGCAAATAGTCTAGCGCGGCAAAACGGACAGTGGTTTGCGCGAGTTCTCTGCAACAGTCCGAGTTTCGTCTTCCACGCGCAATCCGCGAGCCTTCTGCGCGGCGCCACAAACTAGCAGCGATCACCCGTGGAACCAGGTGAGGCCACCAATCAATCATCACTCGGCCAGAAATCTACTCTCTACCCCGAAACACAAACCAAAGCAAATGTTTGACGGAAGATTGCAACCCACCGTTGAGTCGTCTGTATGTATTTTATTTAAATCGGGTGTTCCGAAGGGCCGGTCGCGCTTTACGGCGTAACTCAAGTCTTTGCTGGTATCAATGACTTATTTGAGTCTTGGGGTTTTGCATACGACATCAGGTAGTGGGTGTCGGGCATACGCAAGAGTATTCGGGGAGGAGAGGGGGGGGGGATGCGCTATGACCGCGAGCTGCGCCTAAAGTTACGCATGCCGCGTGATTTTCGAGTCGGAAAAGAGCAATTTACGGTGTTGTGACTCGAATCTAGGCCGCGCGAGGCGAGGCGGTCAGGGACTGGCTGCCCGCGACCTTCCCCTACCCTCTTCGGATATGAGGAATATCTTTGGCATCGGCTGGCGACGCGACACCAACGCACAGCGCGCCCTTGACCCGCAGAGGCGGCATAGCGGCATGTCACCGCGCGGCCCCCGATAAGGGACTTATTGAATGACACGCACACACACACGCACACACAAACGCACACACACACACCCGCGCGCGCGGATGTGATTGGCGTTTTTGAAGGTGCTGTTCGTAATTTAGTTTTTCCCCCTGGGCGCCACCCATTCTTTGCAGCTGCAGCCGGGCCGGTTACTCGACAACCATGAAGGTGCCCTGCGCTGTCGCGCTGCTTGTCGCGCTGGCCGTCTGCAGGGAGTCCGCCGCGGCCCCCGCCGTCATCACCACGGACGCCGACGGTGGGTACAGTACCCAGAGAGTGGGCGGGCACAGTGTGCCAGGAGACCGGTGGAGGCGGCCGAAACTCCAGACGCGTTTTGAGCTCCAGAGTCGCTAAATGGGGCTCGAACCGAACGTGTGACCCCACCAATGGATTGCTCGTTCGGAGAGCAATCCATTGGTGGGGCCACACGTTCGGTGCGAGCCCCATTTAGCGAGTCTGGAGCTCAAAACACGTCCGGGATTTTGACCGCCTCCACCGGTCTTCTGGCCCACTGCGCGTTGTGTTTTGACCAGCGACGACTGATGTCAAAGCCGCCATGCTGTCTTGCAGGTACGCTCAACTGCGACGGCATGAGGTGTCCTCCCGGAGACGGCCTGCTGTGCCTGGTCAGCACCAAGATGGCCAATGGCATGGCCACGGTGCAGCGCCAGTGCGTCAACGGGGCCGGTAGGTGGACGCGGTGGACGCGTCAGCCCGTCAGCGCGTCATCGTTCTTGTTGTCGCTCCGATCGAGATTCGAGAACCGACTGGCCGCTACACTGACCTCGCTTCCGTTCCAGGCGTCGTGGTCGCGGAGAACGTCAGCACGGCGCCGAGCCCCGGGATCGCCTTCGGCCAGCAGACCGCCAGGGCGCTGTACAAGAAGAACTAGTGACGCCGCCTCCGCCGCTCGCACCCGCCTCCCGCACGCCCCACTTACCACACGCCCACCATTAGACTAAGTTCAAGTTGAAATAAAACTACCTTTGAAATAATTTGTGTCTCCGTGGCTGGCGGCAGTGCATCCTGTACGCCAAATTTCCGAAGGCTGGGGGAGGGCGCCAGCGCGCCAGCAGCGTCAGCACTGCGTTCGCACCCAGGTGAGGCCTGGGCTGGTCTGATTGCGAGAGTCGTTTTCGTCGCTGTCTCTCTCGCACCTGCACGGGACACGCCATGAGTGCGAGAGCGACAGAGCGACGACGAAGACTCTCGCAATGAGCCTGCTGCTGGGGGCACACCTGGCCCATTAGCTGGGCCTGGGCCTGGGCCCTACTCCTCCCCGCGACAGTCCCGACAGTCGAGCCGCAGCGTTCCGCACTGGCCCACTGAGAGTGCCGAGAGTAAGCCTTACCAAGGGTCTGAGGTCTGCTCCCTACTCGGCCTGCGGTGGCCGGTAGCGCCCCGACGACGACAACAACACCAACAACACTAGAATGGCTCGCTCATGAGCCAGGCCCGTTGCCGGACATGGGGCGCACCGCACGGACCTCAATGGAAGCACCCGCCAGAAAGTGAGTTCTCCGAAAGAAACAAAAAAGCAAGTTTCGGCGGCAGCTTACGGCTTGTGGTTGGCCCGCTATGACGTTTCCGGCAAAGTTAATTCCCATTTCATTAAATTTCCCCCCTCGGTCGGACGTGTGAAACAGTGTCTTGTTTGACGACACCGACTCCGTTTATGCAGCGAAGCCGCTTGTGTACTCGTGATAATCCCCATAAATCCTTCTTGTGGTTCGCGGCCTGTTCTCGGAGCAAAGTTTACTTCTAAAAAAAATTCAACGTCCCATTTTTCAACAGACGTTCATAGAGCGACTTAAACCCATCGTTCAAGTCAGGAAGGCGCGTCTTTAAGAGCAAGCCGATTGAAGGTTTCTAGGCACGCGGGATTTGCTATTTGAATGTGTGCCAGGTGCCTGGGCTCACGCATGGGCTTGCGAGTGGTGCTCCTCGCGGTGCTGTCCGGAGGCTTTCGAGGACTGCCTCTGGCACTGGGCGAGGCCCAGCCCGTCGTGCGGTCGGGTCTGGGCCCCGGCCTGCTCGGCCTGCGCCAGCTGCCGTGGAGCGGCTTCGTCTCGGCTGCGGCCAGCGGCGAGGCCCTCGCCGTCGACGGCGACCTGCTCTCGGCCGCCACCGAGAACACGCCGGCGGAGTCGACGCGGACCTCGGCCGTCGAACGGACGTCACCGCCCGCCACCACTGACTGGGCGGGGCGGCAGACGGACGCCGGCGTGACGGTGACCAGGGTGACGAGCACGGCGGCGACGGTCGCCGTCACAGCCCCCGCCCCCGCCACCACAGTCCGCCTCGACGGCCACCCCGCCGGCAACACCTCCCACCCACCGCCCCACCAGCCGGGGCCGCCGGGGGGCCAGCACAACCCCTGCCGCCACGCCTACCACCGGCCGCCGCGCTGCGAGTCGAGCCTGCACGGCTACAAGATGGACGTCTTCTGCTCCGGCGGCGTGCACAAGGTGTCGCGGTCTCGGAGGTGAGCGCGGCCGCGGCGTGCTTGGAGGGGCACCGCGAGGCGTTAAGCCAGCCGGCCTGTTGCAGCCACAAGGTGAAGACGGCCAACGTGACGCTGGTGCTGTGCTTCTGGCCGGAGGACACCTTGGACCCGGCCTTGCTGACCAGCTTCCCGCGCCTGCACCGCCTCGAGGTGACGGAGAGCAACGTCACGGAGGTCCTGGACTTCCCCTACCACGACCACCTCGAGGCAGGTGCCGTCGCCAGTCGCCCTCGCCAGTCGCCCTGCCCACAATGCCGGTTCGCTCTATTCACGCGCACTCCTTTCCCAGGAGCTGGTGTTGTCCGGGCTGCGCTTGACGTGGCTGAGCGATGACGTGTTCTCCGGGCTGCGCCGCCTGCGCGTGCTGGACATCAGCCGGAACCAGTTGAGCGTGCTGGGGAGCGCCACGCTGCTGCGCCCGCCCAGCCTCAGGAGGGTCATGTTGGGAGGTAACGCTGCGAACGTCAACACGGCGCTACCCCGCGCGCGTTCTGGCGGTCTGGCGCGTGGGGTAGCGACCGCAGCGAGTACGGAAGTACGCACGCCCACGCGCGGCGCTCAGTCCCCGCGGCCCTGCCCTCGCAGGCAACCCCTGGCGCTGCACCTTGGCGTTGGCCTGGTTGACGGAGCTGCGGAGCGTCACGCTGGTGGACGAGGACGCCATGCAGTGCGGCGCGGCGCTGCACCCGAGGAGGCCCGTCATGACCGTCATGGCCCTGCTCAAGGTGAGGCAGGCCGGCTGGACGTTCGGCGGTCCAGCCCGCGGAAGGCGCCTGCGGGATGCAGGGTAGGCAGGCCCGCGAGACAGCGGCGTGGTGCGGGCCGGCCTCCTCGGCCAGCAGGCGCTTCCAGCCTGGCGGGTAGGCAGGCCCGCACCACGTCGATGTCTCGCGGGCCTGCCTACCCTGCATCCCGCAGGCGGCGTGGACCGGCTGACGCCCGGACGGCTCTGTGTCGGGCAGCGCGTGGCGGCCGAGTGCCCCGCGGACGACGCCTGCTCGTGCGAGCTGACACGCCTCGTCCGGGACGCCAGGAACGACGCCCCGGCCAAGGCCAGCGAGCTGGTGCCCATCATCACGGTCAACTGCAGCTACCGCGGCCTCGGCGCCATGCCGGGCTCGCTGCCGGCCAACACCACCACGCTCCTGCTGCGCGGCAACAAGGTGGGTCTCGCGGTGGCGGGGCTGCTGTCGGGCTTTTCTCTCCAGCTGCTCCCCCTTCTCGCAGATCAGCAGCGTGCGGCCTCTGGTGGACAGGCACGCCAGCGTGCTCGACGTGTACCTCGACAACAACGCGGTCGAGTCCATCGCCGACCTGGAGGGCTCCCCGTGGCTCACTAACTTCAGGGTGCTCAGCCTCCGGGCCAACAAGCTGCAGCAGGTGCGTAACCCGCATATTCCTCTAAAAAAAGGGTAGTGGAAAACAACGAAAAGGACTCCTTTTTATCTGCAGTTGCCGACGTACGCGCTGGACAACGCCCTGGAGAGGAACGAGCACGCCGTCAGGGTGTACCTGGGGCTGAACCCGTGGCTCTGCGACTGCCAGTTCATGCCGACGTTCCAGGTAGGCGAGGAGTTCTCCCGCCCCTCAAGTCACTAGTCACCGAGTCGTTTCCCCCTTCCGCAGGAACTCCTCGCCAAGTACAAGTCCCTCATCGCCGACTGGGACGACATTCGGTGCGCCGAGGTGGAGGGTGACGACAACTCAATGAAAAAGGTAACGCCAAAATTCTACACCCAACGCACATCTAAAACCATTAATTAATTTTTAAAAAAATGTCCCTATTATTTTGGACGCAGATCCACGGCTTGAGCCGCAGTGCAGTGTGCAGGGAGGAGCCCCAAGTGACTGCGCTGGACTTGCTGAACGGCGCTTTGGGGGCCTCGCTGTTCGCGGTGCTGGCCAAGCTGTCCTACGACTACTGGCAGTACCGCCAGTACGGCAGGCTGCCCTGGATCGCCACCAAGCTCCCTTAGGCCACACCGTGACACCGTGCAAGCGCATAAAAGTAAGACAGGCACTTTATTCAACTTGTTTTTCTTTTTTCAGTCGCGACACACTCAACATTACAAAACCATAAAACTTGTGTAAAGTAAATAAAATAAATAATTGTAAAAATAATAAATTAAATAAATAAACCACTACTTGTGGAAACAGACACAAAAACGAACTAACAGACAAAGTTTGAACTATGGATCCTGTTAAAAACAAGAAGTAAAATTCTAAGTTTAAGAGTCTTGCTTCAATGCAGCATTGTGAACTTGTCCAGCCAAAGAGAGCGGCGCCGTCTCTTCGTTGCATTCTGGCTGTTCTGAGATCGTAAACATGGTGGCATGCCATTCAGTTACTGAGCGCTGTCGCTGCCCCGTTCGTCTCTGAGGCCAAGTCCTACAGGCTCGTGGGTGCTCGGCGGGAACGGGAACGCGACCTGCGACTCGGCGCAGTCTCGGCGGCTCAAGCTTTCTTCACGGGGATCGTGGGGGAAGCGGGGGCGGCAGGTGCGGGGACGGCGGCAACCGCGGGGACGGTGACAACCGCGGGGGCGGGGACAGGCACGGGGGCGGGCACCTTGCCGGTCGGTTTGTTGGAAGCGGGCGGCGGCGTTCGGGGCTTGTTGTCGTCCTTGATGACGGTGATCTTGTGCGCGCTGTGCTGGCTGTGGTGGCTGTGGTGGTGGGCCACGGACACCTTGGCGGCCTCCTTGTCCTTGACGGCGGCCACCGGCGCCGGCTTGAGCGGCTGCTTGGCCTGCTGCTGCTTCAGCTGCTGCTGGCTGTGGCGGTGGAGCTGCGGCTTGACGGGCACCTTGACGGCGGGCTTCACGTCCGGCGTCTTGGCGGCCTCCTTGATGTTGGCCTTGTTGTTGAAGCTGGCCGCTATGCGGTCCTGGACGGAGATCGGCGTCTTCACCGCGACCACCTTGACGGCGTCCTTCGATGGCTCTTTGACGGCGGCGTGCTTGACGGGGTGGCCTTTGTGGGCGTGGACTGGCTCCTTCGAGGCCTCTTTGAGGGAGTCCTTGACGGCGTCCTTGGAGAGGGTCTTGACGGGCTCCTTGACGGGCTCCCTGGTAGCTGTCTTGACGGAGGACACAGACGGCGCGGGGATGGGCGCGGCAGCGGGCACGGCGTCCTCGCTAGCGGCCCCACTGATCGGGTCCTTGGAGGCTTCCTTGACGGCCTCCTTGACGGGAGCTTTGACGACGGCGTCCTTGGGAACGGGGTCCTTCGGCGCTGCTACCTTCACGGCTTCCTTGACGGCGGGCTCCTTGACCGCTACCTTGGCGGCGTCCTTGACGGCGTCCTTGGCCTGCTCTGGAGCCTGTGTCGGCGCGGGGGCCACAGCGGGGGCCACAGGCTTGACTGTCGGCCGGTGCTTCCTGGTGCCGTGGTGGTGATGGTGCTTGCGGGTGTTGGACCTGCGCAGAGCAGAAGTGGCAGTTTAACCGGGAGACCGGGCCGACGGGCCGCAGAGATTTGAACGCGGGGCTCGGCTAGCGGCAGCGAGCGGTACTCACGACTGGGGCCGGCGGGAGCGTCGGCAGCGTCCGCTCTGGTCGCGGTAGTAGCCCTGGCCGCAGTGCAGGTGCGCGACGGACACGGTGCCGACCGGCCGCACCCCCTGGCTCTGCGCCGGCCGCCCTGAGGGCCCCACCCCGGCCGACACGGGGGCAGTGGGGGCGGCGGGGGCAGGGGCGGCGCGTGCCTCCACGGCCGTCGTGGCCCTGGGTTCAAGCTCCTCGTCGCCGCCGTGCCCGTCGCCGTCGTGCTCCTCGTCACGGGGGGCAGCCGCGACCCACAGCGGCAAGTCCAGCGCCCTGCACAGCCGCAAGACTCGTTCGTACAGCTGACATCACGACACGAGTTGAGGTACTACAGGCTACAGTGTACTTACGACGCCGAGTCGCTGCGCTCGTGGGGCAGCAGCCCGCCCGTCTTGTGCTTGATGGAGGCCAGCTTGTCGTTGGGGCGGCGCGGCGCGTTGGCCGATGGGCTGTTCGCGGCGGCCGAGGCTGCCGGGGGCGGCGAAGGCGCGGCGTCGACCACGCCGCCAGCCCCCTTCAGGACCTCCAGGGACTCGACCACGGCCGCGTTGGGCCGCGGCCGGACCGTCTCAGCGGCCTGGGCCGCCTGGATCTGCAAACGGAGGTTCAAGACGGTGTCAGGGACCATAAGCGCAGCAATCCTTTTCACGCGGCGTCGCGCTTTGTCCGACTTGGAACCGCTGCCCGCTGAAGGCCCGCGGAAGTCAATCCGCGTGCCATGAGGTCGCACCGCCCCCACCAGCTGAGTGGGCTGCAGGTCCCGAAGGCCTACCGAAGGCCTACCGAGGGCAGAGCGCGGCGGGGCGGGGCGGAAAGGGCAACGTCCCTGCGAGTGCTTGGCGGCTTGGCGGCGCGGGGCGGCGCGGGGCACCGCACTGGCACAGCCTCAGCCTCCCTCCAGCGGGGCTCCGAGCAACGGACTCGGACACATCAACTGCCAACTCGTGTGAGGCCGGGGCCGGGCCGCCTGCTGACTGGCGACTGCTTGGCGGCGCCCTCAAGTGCCCCGCGTGGGCGGTTGGCGGCTCAACGGCATGCTAGCTGTTCGCCCTACATTTACTGCCGCCCTGTACGGCCGGTGTGGCCGGTACGGCGTGCATTCCAGGGCCGCGTCCGAGGCGCCCCGACCGCGCACCGCGACGGCGCGCCGCCCGGGCATTCCCTCTGCCGCCTGGGACTCGACTCGGACGCGTCGCGGTCCCGGTGCGGTCCTCGCGGGGGACTCGAGCCCCGGCCAGGCCGGCCAGGCAGTGGAGCTGTGGGCGAGGTGGTCGGCCAGGACCGCGGGGGCCATGGCCATGGGGCAGCGCGAAGCGACCGCAGCGCGACGCGCAGTCCATCCCACCCCCGGCTACGCCACTGGCTACGCCCCTGGCTCTTGGCGTGAAGGAAGACGCCGAAGACACGCAGCATGACACGACACTGCAATCAGCGCGGCACTCCAGCCGCCCAGCCCTTGGACGGCCTCCTAATGAGGAGAGGCAGCAGGCTGATTGCGAACAGTGCCGTCGTCGCCCTGTCTCTCTCGCACTCGCGGGCCGCCCAGTGGCGGTGCGAGAGAGACGCAGTGACTGTTCGGAATCAGACTACCGGCGGCCAGTGCGTATAATGAGCGAGAGCGAGAGAGACAGAGGAGGGCGCGGTTTTCAAACGGTGTCCCGCGCCTTGCCGCGCCTGGCCGCGCCGTGTCGTGACGATGGAGACTCCAGCGCTGGACCCTTGCTGATCATTATCCCGTCGAACGCTGCTTAGCGCTCGGCGCTACCGCGGGGGCCGCGGGGCCGTTACCCGGAGCTCCCCGGAGTTACCGCCGAACAAGGCCTGCTCGGAAGGCCCAAGTTCGAACCGCGGTGGCCGCCGCGATTGGAGGGAGGGCCGCCGCCTGGTCAACTTCGGGGGCATTCAGGGCGCAAGAATGAATCTGATCAGAGTCCACAAAGGGCTCCTCTTTCTACACCGAAACAAGCGAACCAAGGACTGGAAATGGGGATGTGCCTTCGAAATGAGTCGAACCCGTCGTGTACCCACCATGGCGCCCTCGAGCTGCTCGTCCTCCACGATGGCGTACACCTCGAGGTCCTTGAGGTCCACCTGCACGTTGAGGCTGCCGTTCTGCCGCTGGTCGAAGCGCACGGGCTTGGCGGCGCCGGGGGACGCCGCGGCCAGCACCACGGCCACGACGAGGGCGGCGCGGAGGGCGGCGTCGCGCCGGGGCAGCAGCAGCACCATCTCGACGAGCTCGGCCTAGGCGAGGGCGAGGGCGACGCGGAGCAGGGCTGGAGGTGGCGGAGTCGACCGGAGCGCCAGGCTGTCCCTGCACTACTGGATGCTGGAGCTGGAGCGGCTGGAGTCTGCTGGAGCACGGCCTGGCGGGGCGGCGGCGAGGCGCTCTGGCTGCTGCGCGCCGCGCACCGCAACGCCATGGCAACGCACATCACTGCGGCATGGCGGCACCGAGTCCCGCTATTTGAGTTGGCGGCACTGCCCGGCACAGCACAGCACTTGGGCCGAGCACTGCCAGGGCACTGCCAGGGCACTGCGGCCCGGCACTCGCACTAACAGCGCACGCCGCGCCGCGCCACGCCAATGCAACACAAGGGAATGCTCCCGTTTCCGAGCACCTCGCCACTGCTCGCCACCGTCACCGCAGTGCCGTGCGGCCCTGCCCTGCGCCGCCCGCGGTCCCTTGCGGGTCCCCAACCTTTTCTCGGAAACCTCTCCCGCGAGTGCCCCCATCGCCCCCATCCCCATGACGGAGTGGTTTCGGATAGTGGGTGGGACTGCGCTCGGTCATTCCCCACGGCCCTCATTTGTTTTAGTTTTCATGAAATTGAAATAATGTAGGGTCAAAGTAACAATTTCGGTAAAATTTATTAACAAATTTCATCAACAATTTAACAGTGGCTCTTGTTTAACTACACAAAGGCACATTTTGGTGAATTTTCAGAAGGTAAAGTGGAAAGAAAAACCTGTAGACTTCAAGACTAAACATTGTAAGGAGAAAATATTGATCTGCATGAGAGACAGCCTTTTGCCTGCGCGTCTTTGAGGAAATTCTTATGAAGAACAAATTGTGATCTTGGGTCTGAACGGCTTAAGACACCACACTGAAACACAAAAACACACATAAAGCCAAACGACTTAAATAGAATGTAGGATGGAAGAGAGTGTCCGACTAAAATTGCATGAAATGGGTTCAATGGGTTTACCTTGCAGGATTCCCGCAGTTTCAAAGCATCAGGAATCAGTTCATCGATAGCTTTTTGTCGAGATTCATGAGATGGGTGAGAGGATAACAGTTCCAGAGGTTTTTCCTCGCAACCAAGTTCCTCTCTCAAGGCCATTTTAGCCCAAAAGACACTGGCCTCGCGAACATCCAAGCAAGCCTACAAATAACATTAGAATTTTTTTTATTATTATTACTTATTATTTTGTGAGAAGGGAGTTTTGTCTAAAGCTTTTACTTTCATCTATTTTCATGAAAAGCCCACCTTTGCAGCAAGATTCAGACCTACTGCATCAGCTTCAGATTCCATAAGTCGACTGAAAGGCAGTTGTATGAATAATGATTTTGTCTGAGAGGCAAACATGTGGGAGAGGAAGGCTGCAAAATCTGGAAGCACCGCCCAGATGGCAGTGATCAGAAGAACAAACAACATACTGGAGATATGATCTTCACTAATGGTTTCACCCTGAAATTTAAAAAAAAAGGTATAAAATAAGTTTTTGAAAATAGTTAGCGACATCAGCTAGGGAAAAGTTTCGCATTACCTGATGGTTTAGTAGAACATGAGCAATTTCATGGGCAAGAATTGTTCCCAACTGATCATCACTTGAGCATGTGTCTATGATTCCTGTGAAAATGAACACTGTGCCATTCTGTGCGGAGAAAAATAAGATTTAATTTCAGACTTCTTTTGCTAAAGGAAAAAAAATAGCTTATTTTAATTTTCTACTTACTGGGAGCACCATGGCATTGTTGACATCAGGATCATCAATGACATAAATGTTCCAGGAAGAGACTCCACTATTTACTATTTCTTCTTTATTTGCCTGCATAAGACTATACATTACTTTGTAAATCCGTTGATACAGTGGATGGTTGTAAGGAAGATTGGCATCTTTGTAACTTTCCAAAATCTAAAAAAAAGAAAAATACAGTGAAAAACCAAGCTATACTGTCTCACTCTACTCAAAGTTACAAAAAGCTAAAGTCTCATTTTCATCCTTGATAATACCTCTTTTTGGACCTCCTCACATAGGTGTCGCATATCTTGACGAGAAAACAATATGAACCTACGTCGCTTTGTGTAAGGCACTTCTTCTATGTGAGCCAGCACATAGAGTAGTAATCCAAGTGAAAGTGTCCCAAAAATTCCTAAAATGTAGATTTGACAAAAAAAATAATTCAGGAGCATTTCAAACCTTAACAAAATAGATGGGAAAATGACAAGGACAATACCTAGAAGTGTCCGTCTGCGCTTTCTCAGACTTAAAATTATTCTGTCCCTTTTTTCTGGTGGAAGCCTCTGCCAAAACCTTCTAAAAAATCTACCAAATAAAGCAGCTGCTACATTTGCAAAAGGTCTCAACACCACCCACACTAAAGGAGGGATAGCCTTTTGAGGTGCGGTAGTGTGAAAAAGTTGACATCGCAGTGATTTAGAAGGACAAACTTTTAAAGTTAAATTCCCATGAAAAAGTGATGGCCGTAAGTAATGTGGGTGGATGGTTTTCAGTACTTCCTTTGGTCTTGGAGAATTATTTGCGATTAATTTAAGGTGGACATGTCTTGAGCGACCACCTATACTTAAATTAGATGGCGGCAGAGGCTTACACATGAGTTGGACCAACCCATTGTATACAGGTTTGCTTCGAAACACACAATGTGTCAACTTGGAAAAGGCCATTATCATCAGATGTCACAAAAATGTCACATCATAACAAGTTGTGCCAAGGTTGCATGAATCTGAAACAGATAGAAAACAATGATTATGAAACTAAAAGCTGTTTAGTTAAAAAATAGCACGAACTTGGGCAATGAGTGAAACTTCCGTCATCTATGCTGCATAATATTATTTCCTGACATTCTGCCGGTGTTGTGAAAAACGGTACCAAAACGGACATTTGTTTCGTGCAAGAAGACATGACATGACTGAAGCAGACGGATCTTGTAGTATCAGTTCCCTAGCACTACTCAAAAGCAATCTTCGAATACTTCAAAGGATGCATATCAGTCTCCACTCATAAGCAAAATATGCCGGTGAATTCAAACGGTTAAAAACTAGACAACAGAATATACTAACGTATGGCTACGTTGAATGAAACAACCTCTAACCTGCCGACAACATAAAATGTCAACAGTTGGCCACACAAACATTGTTTTCCTGCGAATAGTGTTTTGTGCTGCAGACCGCATATTCGCACGATTTTGTTCTTCGCAGGAACGTGTGGTTTGTTGTTGTGCACAAGTGTGAAGTCGTGAAGTCAAGACTCTTCTGTTATTTTTTGCCTTTCGTAAACCAGTAACAGAATGGAGGGAATGGAGGATACGATTAATGAAGTTGAAACCGAAACTGAAACTGTCACCTTCAAGGATTTGGTAAGGCTTCTTTGTTATGAGCTTAGTAACTGAGGCTTGACTTGTGCCATGCTGTCAGGCCAAAGATGCAAGTTTTCGTTTTAACTACACCTCTCGTTTTGAACGGATAAATTCCATCCTGAAGGCAACGTATAGCCCTGATAAATCTTATTGATAGTACACTATTGCCGTGTGTACAGCTTCGCGTGACGCCTTGCATCGGCCAAGAATGTTGTTCTAACCTCTCAATTAATGTGGCGTATGGATTTTTGTGTGTTCTTTTCTTACAGGGTGTTGTCGACGTGCTATGTGACGCCTGTGAGAAACTGAAATGGACCGCACCATCGAAAATTCAGAGAGAAGCTATTCCAGTCGCTCTTCAAGGTTGGATATGAGATCATTTATTACTTGTCGCACCTTAGTTCTTTTCACAAATTTCAAATAAAATTAATGATCCATCCATCTGCTCCTCAGGTAAAGATGTCATAGGTCTAGCAGAGACTGGCTCGGGTAAAACAGGCGCATTCGCTCTCCCCATTCTTCAAGCACTTCTCGAAAATCCTCAAAGATATTTTGCTCTAGTTCTGACTCCTACGAGAGAATTGGCTTTTCAAATTAGTGAACAGTTTGAGGCATTAGGTAAGTTTTTTTTTTTTCTTTTAAAGCTGTGGTATGCCTATGAGATGTTAATGATGGTTTTGTCATCTTGTCATTGACAGGTGCCAGCATTGGTGTCAAGTGTGCTGTAATTGTGGGTGGAATGGACATGATGGCACAGTCTTTAATGCTTGCAAAAAAGCCTCATATTTTGATTGCCACACCTGGACGACTTGTTGACCATCTAGAAAACACAAAAGGGTTTAATCTGCGAGCATTAAAGTTTTTAGTAAGTGTTGCTCTTAACTCTTGTTGCATTGCTTACAAACTCTTCTTTTTGTCACTCTTTCAGAATTTAATAATATGTTTTATATCTGTAATAATTTTTCTTAGGTCATGGATGAGGCAGATAGAATTTTGAATATGGACTTTGAAGTTGAAGTTGATAAGATCCTCAAGGTTATACCTAGAGAGCGCAGAACTTTCCTTTTCTCAGCAACCATGACTAAAAAAGTCCAAAAACTTCAAAGGGCGTCCTTGACCGATCCAGTGAAAGTTGAAGTTTCATCAAAATATCAAACAGTTGATAAACTCCAACAATCCTATTTATTTATTCCTGCTAGGTTCAAGGTAATCTTGCTCTTCAGTTAGTTTGCAGTATGTTTTCCATCTTCTGCTCTTCATATTATATAAATCTTGTCTTGTTTCCAGGATGTTTATCTTGTTCATATTCTCAATGAAATGGCTGGAAATTCATCTATGATATTCTGTTCAACATGTAGTAATACGATGAGAACAGCCCTTCTACTGAGGAGTTTAGGCATGATGGCTGTGCCTCTGCACGGACAAATGTCACAGAACAAGCGTCTTGCTGCGTTGACAAAGTTTAAGGCAAAATCCAGATCCATACTTATATCAACTGATGTTGCTAGCAGGTAAGCTTACTTCATTCATCTGTCTTCTCTGTAGTGTGATGTTGCTCATGAAATTGTCATATTAATTTTGTGCCATTCATTTACAGAGGTTTGGACATACCCCATGTAGATGTTGTTATCAATTTTGACATTCCCATGCACAGTAAGGACTACATCCACCGTGTGGGCAGAACAGCAAGAGCAGGTCGTGCTGGTAAAGCTGTAACCTTCGTCACTCAGGTTTGTGGTCATGGATTTGTGTTTAGCGGGGAACAAGTCAAAATCATTGTACTATTAATGTATATCATTTCAGTATGATGTAGAGCTTTATCAAAGAATAGAGCATCTGATTGGCAAGCAACTGCCTTTATACAAAACGGAGGAGGAAGAAGTGATGCTTCTGCAAGAAAGAGTAGCAGAAGCCCAGCGTGTAGCCAAAATGGTAAATAGCGTATTTCTGTTTTTGTGTCAGCTTTGTTCAGTTTTGCCTAATGGTACCTAATGTGCAACTGTTTTAATTGCAGGAAATGAAAGATCAAGATGAAAAGAAGGGAGGAAAACGGAAGAGAGGTGATGGAGAGGATGATGACATGGAAACATCAAGTGGAGTAAGAAAACGGTTGATGGGAAAGAAGGGTGGAAAGTTCGGGGGAGGGAAGGGTGGCAAGGGTGCGAGAGGTGGCAAGGGTGGGGGTGCAAAAGGGAAGCGTCACTGATTATTTTTAATGTGTTCTGTGAACCATAATTTTTTCCTTTTTTGTATTATGCAAATAGCACAAGGATGTAATTGAATAAATGTATAGGAATCCAGTTGCAGTATAAGTTCATTTGAAACAAATCATTAACTAATTAACTAATAAAATTTTATTTCAATAAAATAATTCTTACTTTGAACACTGAAACATGTAATAAAATATTATAAGAAAAAAAAACATGTTAAACAATAAAAGCAGACTATTCAGATAAAATTACAGTAAAATTGATATGACAAAATCATTTTTTGAGTTCCAATGAATCAATTTCTAGTGATGTGTCTTTTGTACTCTCGCATTCTAATGTACTTGATTCAATATCTAATTTTTTCAACAAAATAGTTTCTGACAAAAGACTGTCTGGTTCTATTAGTTTACCTGGTCTTTCATGATGCCCTTTCTGGTTGTTGGCAAATTCAGATTCATCTTCTGATAACATTTCCAAGTCACTATCAGTGTTCTGAGTAGTGAGTTGGTCCGTTGCTGAGTTGTTAGAATTTCCCAACATAACTGCACCTTCTGATGCAGAACCAGTAGATGGGTCATCTTCACTCTTATCAGATAAAACATCAGACTCCTCAACTATAGATACTAATGTCTTTGCCCCTCCTTCAAGTACTTCTGACTTCTTGAATTCTGAGGCCTCTAATGAGTCCATGTCTACCTCATCCAATTTTGGTAGTGATCTAACATTGGTAATAGCATCTGATGCAACCGAATCTGAGTTTAACTCTGATTTCTCACTGATATCTTCCAACGATAAAGACACGTCTAATTTCTTGCATATCTTTCCAATGCAAGTTGGTTGGCTTGAGGATTTGTGCAGGGTAGAACTGTGTTCACAGATAGCTGCTTCATAAGCTGAAAGCCTTTTAACTTGTTTCAGCTCATTTGCACTGCGATCTCTTTGGTTGTTACTAGTTTCAGTTTCATTTGAAGACAGCTCCATTGAGTTACGGCGTAAAAGAGGAATGTTAAAATTCAAGGCACATTCCACCGTCTGCTGTGTAATGGGCCCATTTAATGTTGCTCTTCTGCTTCTATCCTTTTTAATGCGAGGTTTCGGAAGATCTCGTGTGTCCAGCACATGTCCTAAGGTCACATTACTCATATCCCAATTCAATGAGTGTCTTGTTGGCATGAAAGGGAAGTCGAGGGAATCTGGTGACATGTGACCGCTACAGCTTTGGTCTCCCAAGATGCTCTGCCTGCACACATTCAAAAGGTATTGAAACAGATATTTGAAAACAATTTACTTTTTTTCTATTTAACTTACCTTGGTGACTCAGGCCTAGAAAAGAAATGGGTGGCTTTCATCCCTTCATCTGTGGCCTCGGGAAAAGGCCTGCCACTCTGAGGAAGAATTTGAAGTAACGAAGCATGAGGTCTTGGAATATCATAATCTGGTTCAGAGTCGTACATGTTACCAACCACTTCCAAAGATAGACTCTGCAAGTTCAATTAAAATGGACAGTTAGCAGTTGAGGGTGAGAGTAAATTCAAATGTATAATAAGCAGCAATATGTAGTACCTGTTTATGAGCTGTGGTGCTGGATGCACTCTCACCATCCGGACCCCTTGATCCAACCTGTAGACTACAAGTCGCTCCAACTGGAAGAAGTGGTGCTGTTGTCATGCCAGCCAGTTGAGCAAGTAAATCATTCAACTCATCTGAATGCCGGTTTGCACCACCCTCACTGCATGATGCAGCGAGCCCTTTGACTTTCTTGGTAGGAAGTGATGGAGGCAGCTCTGTTGTGAGCACACTGTCCTGGCTTTCAGTGCCACCTCTGTCATCACACTCTAATGAATTACTTACAGTATTCAAAGTTTCTTTAGTGGGAGAGAGAAGACATTGCACCTCAGCCACAGCTTTCTCTGACGATTCAATTACTTCATTTAATGCTAATTCATCTTTGTCAGCAAATTCTTCTGGGGGTTTTTGCAAGCATTCTGCAGCAAACTGAAAACGGTCTGCTTGAACAATATCCTCAGTTACAATGCTAGAGCTCTTCTGCCTGTCTCGTTTTTCCTGTTGTTTCTTAACTAAGTCTGTAGATGTTCTCTGTGCCTGCATCAACAGATTTAATTTCATGGCCTCTACATGCGAAAGACCCACTCTTCCGGATTCATCCAGCATTGGTAACATATCTGTGCTAATTGTGAGAGGCTCCATTGCAGATGGACTTGTAATATTTCCAAATGGATTTGGCTGGTCTTGGATACCAAACAAAAATTCTCCATCCCGAATATTTCTTCGTAACACCACATCTTCATGAAATTCCTCATCACTGGACTCGGAGCTAAGGTATATGGCTAAATGCTCATTAGAGCCGGCAGGTGAAGTGTCATCAGAAACAACTTCATATGCATGATGCTGAGAGTGATCGCTTGGATGAGGGTCACTCCAGTCATAGAAATCCATGCTGTGTGAAGTTCTAGTCCCAATCACTCTTCCGTACTTGGCTGCAGAGAGCAGCCTTTGCCTAGCATCGTTGTCCAGATCTATAACAGGAGAGTTGTTGGTTGGCACATCATGCCATGGAGATCGAGGCCTCTTCATTCTTCTAGGAGGAAGTTGTGGTGGTTCATCATTGGAGCTGTCACCTGCCCCGGCTACTGGCTCCACGCCAACTTCAACAGAAGAAAGAAAACAAACATCAGAAATAGCTTAGCAACTTCCCGGTCCAGCAATCCAGAAGGAAACTAAATACAAACTAAGTTACCAGAGTCATAATCAGGGGGTGGCTCCTCAGGTGCTTCACCAAACACAGGATTTGATGGACCAAGTTGAAAGTTTGGTCCACTTTCCTAAAAAAACATGCACCGAACAATCATACAAATATTCCCAAAGAACATGCGGTAATTTCTAAGCAACACAACCCTACTGATAAACAACTAGAACCTGCTACTTTTCAAAAGGTAAATACCATCACAGTACATAAATTACTGTTTACTCAGAAACGAACTACATACCAGCTGATAACAGAACTACAGAAAAGTGCCACTTAATCTGGAGTAGTACGTACCATTTTCTTCATATCTTCAAGCATGCGCGAGACAGGAGTTCTGCATTTTGACTGCAGGTCAGGATGTGGAGACAAAAATGCATCATCCGAAAATAATCCCTCTGTTTCTGGATGATCCATCACGTCTTCAGATTTGGTACGCCGTACATGTGACAAGACTCTCGTCAAAAAACTTAGACGACTGCGCACTGGCACTCTCTTTTTGTTGCTACTTTCAAAATTATCAGCCAGGCTGTAACTATCTTTGGCAGTTGAACCCTTTCGCTTCCTCAGGCGAAGTTTGCTTTTAGCTTTTACATCCTGAGCATGTGAATCAATAGTTGTGTTTAATGTGGAGTCTCTTTTATCACAATCTTCTGGTTCTGAATATTTGATGTATTCTCCATTTCCATGAATGAGCCGTTGGCAAAGTGACATTTTGGCCAATTTGTTCTTTTCAATGCCAACAGGCTCAGACCTACGAGACTCCAAAGTATGAGAGGCATTATCAATATCAGTAACTGAGAAGTACTGAGCATCTGGACCCATTTGATTAAACTTGCTGTGTTTTATATGAATGTCTTTGAAACTCTTCTTTGGAGGAGACCACAGCTCATCTGCCGAAGTGCATCGTACTGGCCTTGCAAACTCGTGTCCGTCCGGAGTTTGAAAACTCAGATCCACTCCAGGAGTAAGGAGAAGATCTCTTTCTGACCCAGAGTATTTTCTTCCAGAACTTGCCTTCCTTTGCTCAAATGAAGTGTCCTTAAACAATTGGTTTTGATTTTCATCAGAGTGAAATTTTGGAGTATCTTGATCTGGTTTCCACTTCAGCACATTTTCCTTGTCCTCTTCAAGCAATGGAGTGCTCACTTTTAGACAGTAACATTTTTCACCCTCAGATCTCAAGTTCCTGTGACAAAATTTACAACTTAATTTTTCATCAGCACTGCCATTAGAGGTCTTTAAATTCTCTTCCAATATCTGCGTGCTTTTGATGTCATTTTTGTTGTGAAGGGAATCCTTCTCACTTGAGGGGCTTGAAAAACTCAACTGCTTTTTCAAGACACTTTCAAAGTTCTTGAATCCTTTCGGTTTGTTCGCCATCTCTTGTCTTCCCTTACCACTTGCCATTTGCAACACACTAGATCCATTTGGTGTGGCATTCTCAGCTTTGCGGAAACCATGAAACGAGTATCGCTGATTTCCAAACGGAGATGGATCCTGCCCATGTAGAGCTCGTGGCGAGCCCGGGTGAGAGGGGTTCTCTTGCTTGCCAAGAATGGGGAGGATAGAGCCCTGGCGGGCTAGCTTAGCGTGAGCCCCCTTGCCGGCCAGCACCTTTCGGGGAACAATGTCCAACTCCGCGAGGAACCTCCCAGAATCTTCTGGAGTTTCGTGAACTTCTGACCCTGGCATCTTGTGAGGCTCCGAGGAGGGAGTTCGACCCCTCCAGTTGGGCAGGGTGCGGTGCTTCTCTCTCTGAGTGCCAGCGTCCCCATCATCACAAAGAGGCTGAAAAAAGAATCATCATTTTACAATTTCTGCCGCCACCCCAGATTGGTTCAAAGCAAACAATCAAGGTGTGGAAGAACTGACCGATTCGGCCTTGCTGAGGTTGTCCGCAGAGGGATACCGGAAGTGCAGAGGCCCTTTTCCGGCCTCCTTGGCGGGCTTCCCCGGCGCGGTGGTGGTGGACGCCGTCGCCATGGAGTCCAGCAGGGCTTTGAGCCACTGCTCTTGACTGGACCGCTCCTTCGCCCGCTGGAACAGGACACTGTTACCACCAACCACAACCACCCCCTGCCGACGACACCGGCACACAGTGGGCCAGAAGACCGCTCAAAATTCTAGACGCGTTTAGAGCTCCGAAACGAACGTGTGACCCCACCAATAGATTGCTCTTCGAACGAGGAATCCATTGGTGGGGACACTCGTTCGGTTCGAGTCCCAGTTAGCGACTCTGGAGCTCAAAATGCGTCTAGAATTTTGTCTACCAGTGCAACACTCACCAAGGACACGACGTGCGAGCGCAGCACCACCTCCAGCACGTGGTGGTCGGGGCCGGCGCCGGGCCGCACGCACGAGGCCAGGCCCATGTTGAGGGAGCCGCGACACGGCGACAGGCGCGCGTACTCCTGCTGCGACTTGTAGTACAGCAGCAGCCGCCCCTCCAGCACGAACCAGTACCTCTTCCACATGGCCACCACGCGCTGCGGGGGGAGAAACAGAATGAGATTACCGCGGATGAGATGAAATTCAATCTGGAAGGGGAGACACGAGCGCGACGAGCCCTAGCCTCGCAGCGTCGCGCATTTGCCTGACGACAGTCACTTACAGTGGCCGTGCTGGTTCGCTGGTTCGCCCCTAAGGCGCCGATAGGCAGACCCACCACACTGCGGTGCGTAACAGGCCGCACTACCATTACCATTAAGGGCTAGACCACACTACCGCCCCGCCCCGCCCCACCCCGCCGCTCCACGCGCCGCGTCCCATTTCCCCTCTCCGAATCAGCTCTACGTTTCTTGTTTCATTCTATTCTTGCTTTTTATTTCTGGAGCGCGCGCTCTTGGCGAAGGTGCTACTGAAGGGCGTGGCGTGGCGGGGCGCGGAGGGCGTGGCTCCCCATTTGTGTAATGAGACACGTCACATTTTTCCACGTAATTACCGCCCTTGCAGCCGCGCACCGCGCAGCCCTTGCACTGCGGCAATCTGGGCCGCGTCAAGGGGGCAGTGTAGGCAACCAGCCGCCACAAACTTGACATTTAAAAACGTACTTTTTTCAGCCTTTCCCACGCGACGCGCGCCCTCTCTGAACACGCGGCGCTGATGCCGGTGGAGATTTCGGGTATCCAACAGTGGGGGGGGACAGGGACAGTTCACGGGCCCGAAAAAAAGGAACAATCGCCCATTGTGGAGCAGCGCCAGCGGAGCCAGCGGTGGTGCATCAGAGAGAGAGATTCCGGCCGCCAAACACAGCGCCGTCTCTCTCGGACTCTGGTAGGAGTAAAGGTTCTTCGCCATGTCGCCATCAGTCCCCCCAACGACACTCGTACTCACCATCTTGCCCTTCTTCTCCAGGTAGCCCTCCATCTTGACGGTGGGCTTGTTGCTGGCGGCGGCGTCCAAGGGCGTGGAGGAGGCCAGCGGTGTCGCGGTGGACACGGACAGGCTGCTGGTGGAGGGCGGCTGCTCGGAGGCCTTCTCGGCCTTGGCGGCGACGCCGGGCGCCATGGCCGCTGGAGGGTCCGCCTCGCCCTGCCAGAACACGCCCAACACACGTTCGTTAGCGGAGCCATCAACAGAACAGCCAGAGCTAAGCACCGCGGTGGAGAAACCGAGCGGATAACAGCGAACTGCGTTTTTGTTTTTCGCAGCGTCCGCCCGCGTTTTGAAGGGGCAGCAAAAACAGCCCGGGTTGGCCAACACCTCCGCAGCGCAACCAGCCACCCCACGCTCGGGAGCAAACCGCGGTTCGAAAAAACAGGGATTACTTATACAGCCTCAATAGAGCAATTGAGATATGGCCAGACTCCGCAGACCACAACACGCGTCCTGCGGACCAGCAGCAGGCCTGCACAGACCGCAATCAAAACGAAAGCAAGGCCCCCGCGGGCCGCGGCCGGGCCGTGGGCCCCCTCGGGGGCGAGGGGCAGGGCGCTGCATCGCCGCAGCATCGCCACCTTGTGGCAGACGACCAGCCTCGCGACTCCGTGACTATGGCCACGCCGTCAAACCACCTCAAATTCAGTGTCCAAACGGCGTGACGTCATAGCCGTCGTGCATTTTCCGTTCCGCCGACTGGCGGCCCAGTGGCCAGGCGGCCGGCAGCAACAAGACCCTATCCAGTTAGCCCAGCGTGGTCGAACACCCTTCCACGCCCTGCACGCTCTGAAAGTCACGCCTCGAAAGGCCTCGCCTTGCCTCGCCTCGTGCATGTGTTGTCGACCAGCACGCGTGTCAGACAAAAACGGTGCTCCCTCCGCGTTTCCACACACACGCGCGCGCCAAAGACTTAAAGTGCGCCTTTACGGCGGTGCCTCGCGCGAGCCTCGCGGCCGGCACGCTCTGTCTCTCTCGCACTCGCGGTGCGGTGCGGGCGTGAGAGAGACAGCGCTCTTCGGCGTCGCTCTGGATGGCCAACGAGAGCGCCACGGGGGACACGGGGTGCCCGGCGAGCACTTTCACTGTGTCGTGGGTTCAAGGACAGGCAGCCTGCCAGACACACTGGCAGGGAAGCGGCAGCAGCCGCGTCGCGGAAACAATGCCGAGCGGCATCGGGTTCCCGTCGCCGCGCGCGAACGCGTCCGGGACCCGATGGTCACCGCCAAGTCAGATTACCTAATTAATGAAATGCACTGAGAGCGGCGATGCCGGCCGAGGCGGACTTTCTTGCCGTTCCCAACCTCATTTCCCTACACCAGCCATTATTTGGCGAACGGCGACGGCCAAAGCGCAGAGTCCACCGCTGGCTGGAGCCAGAAGACCGGTGGAGGCGGCCAAATCTCTAGACGCGGTTTGAGCTTTAGAGTCGCTAAATGGGACTCGAACTGAACGTGTGACCCCACCAATGGATTGCTCTCCGAACGAGGAATCCATTGGTGGGGTCACACGCTCGGTTCGAGTCCTGTTTAGCGACTCTGGAGCTCAAATCACGTCCAGCCCAGCGGTCTTCATCAGTCTTCTGGCCCACTGTGCGCTGGAGCCGTGCTGGAGCCGACGTCACTAGCGCGGCTACGCCACTGGCAATTAGGCACGGCCGCCTCCGAGATTTGTTTTCGTCATGTCGGGACAGCCGTCCAAACACCCACGTGAGCCCTCGCGAGGCCAGCCCGGCGCCCCCATGCGGTGCCCTGCGGTGTGGTGGCGCAGACATCGGCGTAGCCGGGACGGCGGGGCCTGAGTCATAGCCGCCCCGGGCCGGGGGCTGCCCCGGACCGCCCCCGGGGTGGCGTGCACTGGCGTGCGGGGCGCTACTACGCCGCCGTCAGAGGGTGTGGCCGCCGCGTCGCGGCCAGGCTACGCCGCTTCGCCAGGGCGGGGCACCTGTCCAGGACGAGGCACTCGGGGTGGGGGAAGGGAAGGCCTCGTTCGGGCAAGTGCATAGAATGCCATTGTCATAGCGGGCCGAGCAAAGTCCTGGCCGAGCTTCGAGAAGTGCCTGCACTCCGTCAACGTCACTCTGTCGAGCCATTTCGAGTAGTCGCTTTCCGTCTCTCTCGCACCCCTGCGGGGACCGCCACGAGTGCGACGGAGACAGAGCGAGTCAGCCAGTCGCCTGTTGCCGATCAGTTTTGCCTCGCCGCCGCCCCGCGTGGGGCTTCCCTGCTTCCCCGCCGCGAACTCATCAGCGCCCCCACCGCCAGGACCTTCAGGACCTGCAGGCAGGCAGCGCGGCCGGCATGCCGCGGCAGCAGGCAGGGGCAGAAAGCGGAACGGATGCAGGGGCTGGACACGAGTGCGAGAGAGACAGGCGCTCGCACTGCATTGCCCATTCATCAGCACAACAAACGCACAGCAGCGGAGCCAGGCTGCCCGCAGTTCCAGCCGACAGCCAGCTCGCAGTTCCCAGCCGACTCCAAAACCGAATTCCGCTCCGGGCGTGCGGCTCGGAAACTCAGCCGGGTCATTTCGGGCTTTTGTCGACTTTCGCGGGTCGCCTGCTCACGCGTGCGGAATCCGTCCCACGACCCGCGAAACACGGTCGCGACTGCGTATTCGAACCCGCGACCGCGGCCTCGCGGTGAAACGGGTGCGGCGGTCACCGGCCAGCTGGCGTGATTGACAGAAATGGAAAAAGCTCTTCGCGGTGTGTGGTTCCGTGGTTCCCTGGCCGTTGCCGCAGTCCGCCGGTTTCGTTACGTGTGGAGCCCTGACCGAGTGTGGCCACACTGCCATCTTCCAGACCACACCGCCAAAAAAAAAGTCCACATGTCTAACGCGCATGTAGAGCAACTAATTATTTATTTTTTTTCAAGGATTGGTGCGCCGAGTGCGTCACGTCGTGTAGGTACACTGCAAGGCGCGGCGGCAAGGTAGCGCACACCACGCACGAGGGGCAAAGAAACGGCAATCAAAAAGTAAAAGTGAAACGAAATCCCCCCCACTCCCGAAGACAATCAAACCGCGCCAAATGTTCCTCGAACACTGCACTGCACGGCAGACGCGCCGCGCGCCGGGAACGCGAGATGACCTTGCAATAAATGCCGCCGTAAATGACTTTCCAGCGAGTAATGAACCAGACGGCGCGAAAGCACTGCCAGGGCACCGCGAAAGCAGTGACACAGAGCGACATTCACCGGCTGCACGGCCGCGCTGGAACAGAAAACCCGTTTCCCCCAAAAAATAATAAATTAAAAACAGAATCGCAAATGTATTTTTTTTTCGTTCACCGCTGCAAACTGGAGCACGCAAGCTTACCGTGAAGTAACAGCGGGGAGTGGGGAGCACTTACGGCACGGAGGGCCCACGGGGACCGCGCCATGAGGGACGCCCCGCGTACGCGGCAGCGCACAGCGCACAGCGCACGGCGCGGCAGGAAGGACCAAATGATCGCTTGGCCACGCGTAGCGCTACGCCCCATATCGCCCCTCCCTCGGGGGAAACGACACGACACACTACAAAAACCACGCGCGGTGCGTGCACTTTTTGTGTCTTTCAAATTTCCTGTCGGTCGGAAACGCGGATGACTGCAAGACGGACGCGGCGCGGCGGACTGAGGCCCGCGGACCGCCACGCACAGTGGGCCAGAAGACGGGTGGAGGCGGCCAAAACTCAAGACGCGTTTTGAGCTCCAGAGTCGCTAAATAGCACTCGAAACGTTCGTGTGACCCCACCAATGGATTGCTCTCCGAACGAGGAATCCATTGGTGGGGTCACACGTTCGCTTCGAGTCCTGTTTAGCGACTCTGGAGCTCAAAACGCGTCTTGAGTTTTGGCCGCCTCCACCGGTCTTCTGGCCCACTGTGCCACGCCGAGTGCATAGCTCTCACCTCGAGTACCGCCAGTACCTCCAGTAACGCCAGTATGGACAGCGCCACTGCACGCCACGCCACACCGCGGCGTTGAGCGGCGCGGCCAGTCGCTACACTGCTGGGGCGTGCCGTCGGCGTGCCGCGTGCCCGGCGGTATGTCGTCGTCTCTCTCGCACCCCTTCGACTGCCCGACGGCCGGACGGACCCGCCCCGCGAGTGCGAGAGAGACGGCGGCGCCGTTGGGAAGCAGCCCACAGTGCAGCGCCGCCCGGCCGACAAGAACAAGAGAGTTAGTGCCGTCCCGTGCCGGCCGCGCAGCCGTCAATATTGGAGCCCCGCTGGAGCCTAGCCGGCTGGAGCGCCAAGCCAGAGCCAGGCCGCCAGGCCGCCAGGCGGGGCTTTCTCCAGCACAAACAGTGCTGCACACGGACGGAAGCACTTTTACGAAAACGCACTCACTCACTCACTGCGCGCACACGACTTGGCTTCGGAAATGTGCAATTTGGCGGCCACGCGGACGTGACCACCGCGACGCGGCCGGCCGCAGGAAGCGGACACAGGACGCGGCGGACTCGTTCCAGCGAGGACGCCGCCGAGGAAACGCCGACAAAGAAGCGCGCGTGCTGCAGGCACGGCAGGCACACTGCTGGAGGACGTGAAGCAGGGCAGCGGCATGGCATGGCGGCCGATGCACGCAAGCCGATGAGCCGGGCGGCCGGGCCTCTAGCCTCTAGCCGGGCCAGGCCCTGCCTCGCTGCTTCATTGCAATGCGCGAATGCGCGCCGTGGAGCCATGCAGCCATGGACGCGCAGATGCATTATCGCAATCTATTTATGCCGTAAGGAAACTTTCACACTTGGCGGGCCCCGCCCCGCCCCACGCGTGCTGCATAGTGCTGCACAACCTGCAGGCGGCGCAGAGCGAGGCGCGGCGGGGCATAGCGCACCGACTGCCTTTTAATCGGATCAAGCCGCCCATCCCATCCGCCTTCCCCCTCTCAGCATTCGCCCAATCAGCGCACAGTGGGCCAGACGACCGGTGGAGGCGGCCAAAACTCCAGACGCGCCCTAGAATGACGATCGGACACAAGTGTCACTGTCGATTCCGGTGCAGGCAGGCCGACCCACGCAAACTCGTCGCACCCAGGGGCCCTTTCCTCGAACTGGCCCGCGCGAGGGGGGGCACCGGAAATGGTCCAGCAGGTTCCGGTCCACGCGGCTGCGCCATTCACTTCCGGTGTCACATGCGTCACTGCGCGCACATACTCGTATCGCGTCGGCTGGAAACCGAAAGCGGCAAATTCGGCAGCTTGAGGCCTTGAACTTCCTCGCGCCGAGGCGGCAGCGGGAAGGACGCGGCCGTGGGTTCGACTACCGCCCCCGCCTCGCCTTTTCACGTTTCACGGTCCCCGACGGTCCCCCTCAATGGCGGCGCGTCAAAACGGCGGTGCGCCAACGGCGCCATCACTCCATTGTGTGCTTTGCGCGGCCCGGCGCGGCTTTGCGGCACTTCCATTCAATTTGCCCCGCGCTGCCTTCGGCCTGGCCCTTGGCCTGGCCCTTGGCCTGGCTGGCGGCCTGCTTGGCGTGCTTGAGGCCGCCGACGAGCACCGCCATCGGCAGCAACGGCTGTTCTGTTCCGCGCCCAGTTTCCGCCACCTGAGTGCAGAGGCATTGTTGGCCACGGCCACACTGCTCTCTTCGCTCTGTCCCTCTCGCACTCAAGGGGCGTTGCGTAGACGTGCGAGAGAGACGGCGCGGCGTGCCACGCCCTCGGCAGGCCGATTTTCCGGCGATTCGGGCAGCTGCACTACGCCGCGGCAGCCGACTTTCCTGCACCTGCAGATGACGGTGCCACGGCGGTGCACTGCCTGGGGTACACCTGTGCCGCCACTGCCGCCACTGCCGCCACTGCCGCCACTGTGCAACCATGTCAACTCTCGGCAGTTTCCTTTTTATATGTCACTTGCCGCGGCCCGAGGCCCGCCCCGCCCCGCCCCGCCCCGCCCCACACAGCCTCCGCCATGGAAACCGGAGACGCGGTAAGATGAGGATGGAATCCCACACGCGGCGGCGGGCCGGCGGCGGCGGCGCGGCAGGGAAGTCCCGCCCTGCCCGCCTTGCCGCAGCCCTCGGCCGGAAGGGCCCGACGACGGCGTCCTGACGTAACCTTGCGCACCACAACTAGAGCGGCTTCATCATCGCGGTCGCCGCCAAGCAGACGGCCAGTACGTGCATCGCGCCGCCCGAGTCCGCGGAAACAGAAGCGAACCCCGCCACTCGCGAGTTTACTCTGTCGCGCGCGCGAACCAGCGCGAACACGAACCCCCCGCGCCCCCTTGATTGGCCTCGTGCGCGGAATTATTGTTTCGACCTCCAGACTACACCGGCCTGGCATCCCAGAGGCAATCGTGGCGGCTTCCAGACTTCCAGACCACGAACACCCGAAAGCCCCACCAGGGCCCGCGTCGCAAGGGGGCGGGGACTCTTCCGCCGCATCTGGATCTCCGGATCTTGGTCGCGCGGTGCGCTTCGCGCTCCGGCCCCGCCCCCCACGACGCGGAGCCCGCGACGTCAACGGGCAGGTGCAGCACCGCGGCACCGCGGCGGCACCAGCGCGCCAGCGCGTGACCCCCATTCGAGCCGTCACACCAGCGCGGTTCCGAACAGTAGCTCTGCCCCTGTCGCGCTCGCGATGCGCGTGGGGGTGCGAGTGAGACAGCGCTGCAGGCCCGAGGGCCGCCAAAGCGCGCCGCGCGCGGTTCCTGCGCGGACTTCCCTTGGCCCCGGCCATGGGCGGCACCGCAAGGCGGCAACGGCCGAAACGGCGCGTGGAATGCCTCCACCTTCTCGTTCGCAGTGCAGGAGCATTCCCGACATCTGGCTGGCCTGGCCCAGCCTGGCCACCCCGCGGCCGCTTGGCGCCTCAGCCTTGGCTGCTGGCGTGCAACAAGACGGCCCTAATGCGCCGGGATGCGCCGCCATCTGCGGCTCCTCCATCCTCCCCGTTAGGGCCGACTAAGGACGCGGCGGTCCAGCCGAGCAGCCTAGCCGCCTCAATGTCGACATCGCGACGCGCAATTTACAATTACCCGCCCAGGCGAGACGCCGTGTCGGCCGGGGTATGTAGCGGGTGGGTACCAGTGTGGGTACGTCGGCGGCGCGGCGTAGCGGCGCAGCGTAGCAGGTCGCCAGTGCGTCCAATCATCGTATCGCATTGCCTGGCCGCCGCGCTGCCAGTGCCGCCGCCGGCCGAGTCAAGCCGCCACGACCTACGACAAGCCGATCGGGTCAAACCAAGTCAAACGAGGGAGCTGGCGGAGTGGTACTCACCCGAAACGCGGTCGTTGCCTCCAGGGGCTGCAGGTGGGCGCTCGACATGGGGCCGGCTTGGTTATCCGATCGCAGGGAATCGCGCCAGTCCATCGGGCTGCGGCACTCGCGGTGGAGAGGACTCGCGACTGAGCGGCACGCGGTACGTCGAGGGCGGACTGGAGCGGACTGGAGCTCCACGGACACACAGCTGACGCGCACCGAGCCTCGCGGGTGACTGGCGCTCTGGCTGCTGCTGCCTGCCTGCGCTGCGGCGGCGGACCCGGCACGGCAGACCGCCCAACAACAACACAGCCAGCCGCCAGCAACCCTTCCCTTCCCCTTTCCCTTTGCAGAATCCCCGCGCTCTGTCGTCTCTCTCGCACTCATGGGGTTTTGGGACGTCCTTTCCGAAAACCAAGGTGGAAAAATGGGGGATTTGGGGATTGGGGGGGGGGGGGGATGCCCAAGAGGAGGCCTCTGTTTCCACCCCTACAGAAAATAACTAAATAATCTAATTAAAATTGTGGCGCGACTTCTGTTGATGTCACTTGTTGAGATATCAGATTAGTTTCCGTATCAAATTCCCTGATCATACAAACCAGATTCAAATCTTCGCGCCACTGGAGGCAGAGATCACCCACCACATCTTGCTTTACTCTCTGCTTCATTGAAGAACAAATAAGAATCAAATTCAATTTTTCACTAGATTTTACGCTAGCCTTTACCTTGCAACAGCTTGAAACTGAATTAAAATTTAAATCTGGTCAGACACGCCCACGAGGACACGAACACACCCGAAGCTTTCTTTCTTTTCTTCTTCCCGCCTTTCGCTCTTCCTTTCCGGTTCGCCGCGAGTAAGGTTTACGTTGCTTTCGGCCGACGCCGTTAATATCTTTCCCCATCTTCCAAAATGAAGATCTATAAGGATATCATTACAGGTTTGTATAATTGACGATTTTTCGCACGATTTTTAAGATATTTAACTTCCATGGTCGCCCTTAATTTTGTCTGAAATTCGTTAACAGTGGTGCGACGGGCATGACCGTGGGCATGTCATGACGTCCACAGGTTGTCCGTTAATTTTGGTCCCGTTGAACTCTATACTTTCGTTCAAAAATGTTCCGTACATTCCTTTTATATTCTGTAGGAGTTGTATGTGGCAAGGTTAGATCCACTGATAACGTTTGTTTACATAACGTATGGTGACGTTAACACCCCTCTAATTATGCACCGGTGTTTTAAAATTAATCCCGTTTCAATCAGTACAAGTGAACAGTCTTATCACTTGGCGGTCTCACAATTTTAATGGACCTATTATTGTTCCTCACAATCAATGTTTGAGTCAAACATCTGTATCTCAGTAGAGGTTAGGGTTCCTATGTTGCTTGTTCATCTGTGTCAAACTGACCAGTGACTCATAGCGACACAGTAATGCCATATGTTTTTTGACGTCTTTTGAACTCGGACTGGTGACCTCACCTGTGCAGAGGAGAGACTGTTTCATTTAATGTCCCTTTTTGCACAGTACTACTTATTTGAAACTTCACTGTAAATTTTACTCCCCTAAGGATCTTGTTAGGTTTCTTCTTGTCATTCAGGACTGTGACCTTTTATGACAACCACTTGATTTTGATGTGGTTCTGTGAAACTTCTTTTACACGCTGGCCTGATAGATAAATTTGAGCTCTGACCGATTATGATGATCACTTGATGTAGAAGAGGTTCAAGAGAACCCCAATGTTAGTTTCCAAAAGGATACTGAGAGGTCAGATTTCTTCTTTGACAGGCGTGATAGATAATATTAAGCTCTGACAGAATATGATGATCACTTGATGTAGAAGAGGTTCTCAAGTGAACCTCAATGTTAGTTTCCAAAAGGATACTGAGAATTCTGGTTTCTTCTGTGTCACACAGGCGCGATAGGTAAATTTTAGCACTGACCGTTTATGATGATCACTTGATGTAGAAGAGGTTCAAGAGAACCCCAATGTAAGTTTCCAAAAGGATACTGAGAGGTCAGGTCATCTTTGAAACACTGGTTTGATGGATAAATTTTAGCTCTGACCGTCTATGATGATCACTTGATATAGAAGAGGTTCAAGAGAACTTCAATGTTAGTTTCCAAAAGGATACTGAGAGGTCAGATTACTTGGACCTGAAGGAGTGTTAATTGAAATGTAGATCTGGTAGAATTTTATAACCAATAGATATTGGATTGATTTATCATGTCCTTTGTTTTTGTGTTACAGGTGATGAGATGTTCTCAGACACCTACAAAATTAAGCTGGTTGATGAAGTCATGTATGAAGTCTATGGCAAGGTAAGTTTTGTCTGTTTGAAACTTAAACTTCAATATTGCTTTCTCTTTCAAGTTTACTTTGAGCAATTTGTGCTAGACTACCATCCATAATATTGTGTGAAGGTTATCTATGCTGACACTCGCTACTCTGTGATTAGAAAACGCCTTATAACTTAAATTGAATTATGGTTTTGCATACTCTAATACCGGGCATTCTCTTTAGTTTGCTTGGAGCAATGTATGCCAAAGTAATGTCCTTATTTGCGAGTGTGAATGGTCTCTCTTACCTCTTCACATGTAGATATGGATGAACACTCAATTAGATCTTTTGGTTTTAAAATTTTGTTAGTGAATGTGTGTTAATTAATGTCTCTGTTCAACAGCTGATTCAACGGAAGCAGGGAGATGTTCAAATCGACGGTGCCAACCCATCTGCTGAGGAAGCTGACGAAGGTACCGAGACTACTGTTGAGTCAGGAGTTGATATTGTTCTGAACCACCGACTTACCGAGTGCTTTGCCTTCGGTGACAAGAAGTCCTACACCCTCTACCTTAAGGACTACATGAAGAAGTAAGTGTCTTGTTTAAGGCTATGATTAGAAATGCCTTGTCATGCCTTGTTAAATGACAGAGCCTTAAGACTCCTAATTGTTTCAATCGCTTGAAGTGCACAGTTGCTTCACATGTTCAGGCTGTCAAGCTTGGGTACTAAGTGGTGTTTCTTTTGTTGCAGGCTCGTTGAAAAGCTCCAGGAGAGAGATCCTGAGCAGGTTGACGTCTTCAAAAACAACATCAACAAATACATGAAGGATGTCCTTGGCAGGTTTAAGGACCTCCAGTTCTTCACCGGTGAATCCATGGATGTTGATGGCATGGTTGCCATGGTTGAGTACCGTGACATCGACGGTGACAGTGTGCCAGTCTGTATGTTCTTCAAACACGGTCTGGAAGAGGAGAAGTTTTAATCATGGACTGCAAAGTGCTAAATGTAGGTATTACCACCATGCTTTTCTTCCATGTATCTGAATCAACATTACAGGATGCAGTAGTTTAATTCTTTGTATTTTTTTTCTCTTTCAGGTTTAACTAACAAAATAAAGAACTATTCAGTGTGGAAACATGTGGAGTGTATCTGCTGAAGCACTGCTTTTATGATTGTAAATAAGGCTCAGACCAGTTTTTGTATTTATTTTTACTGGAGGATGGGGAAAGACATTGCAAGAAACCAAAATATTTATACTAAACCTCATGTGGGTATGAAATTTTAGGAAAAATAAATTCAACCACCTTTTTCTATGTAATTGTTTGAAATCAAGTTTTATTATTTGATCCAATGTGTCCAATGAAGTGTCAGAGACAAGTAAATGTTCTCCCCTGTGAATCTTCTCTTCTTTTCTGGCGACCTATTCAACACATTGCTGCTTTACCAGTTAATGTCACTAAAATGAATCTAGCTATATTTGGCACATTTATCACAAGTCTTTCTACTAACTTAGGGTGAGTTCCTATGCTTGGGAACTGAAGAGATTCAGGTGTCGCTTCGTAGGAAGTTGTCTCGTTGGCTTGGTCGCGGCGTGGTTGACCCGCATCTTGGATGGCCCCCACTTATCTCAAAATGAATGGCCTAGTCAACGCGCCGCAGCCCACAGCCGCTGAGGGCTCGGCTGGTCTGTCACACACAGCCTCAGCCCCACACGGTTCCGGATCCGGTGGCTCTGTCCGATCCGATTCATTCACAAGTCCGAGCCCTTGAGTTCTGAAGAGCGTGGCCAGGCCAACGCCGCCACTGTCCGGTCCTAGATGAGGGCGAACTTGCCGAGGCCCCGCAGCATGAGCACCGCCCCGAGCACGGCCGCCATGACGGCACAGATGAGGGCGGCCACCACGGCCACCGACACCTCGCCGTCAGCGATGCCGCGCGTGCAGTGCTGCACCAGAGCGACCTGCGGACGGAAGAACAGAATTGTGAGAATCAGCCATTTCTCTGTCTGGCAAGCTACGCGCAAGCGCAGCGCGCACCGCGCACCGTACCCATCCTCCGTTGTCGGCGATCCAGGGCGCCAGGTCGTCCTCCAGCAGCTGGCCGACGGCCGCCACCAGAGCGTGGAGGTACTCGGGGTGCCCCTGCCGGACGCAGTCCACGGCCAGGGCGCCCGCCACGGCGTACAGGGCCACCACCTTGCCCCACGTCACGTCGTGCTTCAGCAGGTCCCTGAGAAGATAAGTTGCTCTGAGTTACGCGCGACCGAGGACCAAGGGGCGGGGACCGAAGCTGCCCGCTCCTAGCGAGCAACGGCTTGCTTGCGCGACTTTTAGCGACTGTGAGGTAGGCCATCGCCCAGGCCGGCAACACACCGGTGTGGAGACGGTGGCCTACCGCGCCCCTGTCAGGAGCGAGGTAGGCCTCCGTCTCCACACCGGTGTGTCGCTGGCCGAGGCCGTGGCCTACCTCACAGGCGCTGAAGGTGGACTAAATGGGAACCACCGTTTCATTCGCCCAGCAAAGCGACCGAGAGATGGCGTGGCGACTGGCGAACAGGGCGCCTGGCGGATAGGCATCCCAACGTCCTCGCTGCCCGCCGCCGGGTCGGCCCCACGTCCCCGACGTTGCCGAGGTCCTCACCTTCCCACGGCCGTGAGGGCGGTGGCGGCCGCCTTGTCCGACACGATGGGCCCCGGGGCGGCCTGGCGGGCCACGCCGGTGTACACCTTGGGGTGGCGCCGCTCCAGCTCCAGGCCCACCAAGTTGAGCTCCGAGAAGACCTCGCGCAGGGAGTGCATGGAGAGCAGGGAGTCCGCACCGGCCAGGCCCTGCGGCGCGTTGAGGGTCGCCGCCGACCGGAGTCGCTGCAGCCCGCATTTCCGGTCGAACAGGCCGGCCCGCTTGAGCCGCGACCGGATGTACTGGCCGCACAGCGCCTTGCCCTGCGACACGATCTCCTGGAACGGAAGAAGAAACGTACAAGTGCTTTATCTATTTCGCGCGCTGCGCAGCGCCGCCCCGCCCGTGGCCACCGCCACTCACCACTATCTTGGAGTGCGCCGGCGCCGTCCTCCAGCCGATGGTGCTGGACAGCTTCCTGGAGACCACGTCGCTCACGTTGCTGAACCTCCTCCGGGGCATCATGGCCGCCATCTGCGCCATGTGGGCGTGGTGGTCGCCCAGCAGCGCCGCCGGCGTGCTCATTTTCCGCCTCGACCTACACCGCAAAAAAGAAAATCACTTTCGCTTCGGTTTCTTGTTTCATTTTGGAATGCACCGGCCCGGCTGCTGCCCACCTGAGGACGTTGCCCGACGCCGGGGCCAGCCCCAGGCCGCCGAGGGCGTCGCTCGGCATGGCGCCGGGGTCGGGGGTCGCGTCCGGGGTCGCGTCGTCGCTCGCGGGCTCCTCCTCGACGTCCTCGCCGTCCTCGCCGTCCTCCCCGTCGTCTACCTCCTCCTCCTGCTGGCGCTGCTGCTGCCACTGCTCGGGGCCGTCATCTGTGGACACAGAGGGTTTATGTTGTTTTCGTTTCGCTTTCAAAGTCACCGGGGCAACCTGAAGACCCAACCTGTCTGTCACACTGCAAACACGGCCCGATGGCCCGATGGCCCGGCTCGATCGATGTTCCAATCAATCGCTTCGCGCTCCGTGTCATCCCATTTGTTCAAACCCGAGTCCGGCTAATCTGCTATCTGGCGGTGGCGGCCAGCCGGGCAGGGCGGCCAGGGCCTCGGGGAGGGCCTCGGGGAGGGCAGATGACGCGCTGCCTCCACCAGCAGGCGCCCTCGGCCACCATCGGCACTGTATGGAAGGGCTTATCGTGCTGATAACTTCCGACCGCGCATCACGCCCACACCTTCCCCTTTGTGTGTGTGAGTGTGTGAGTGTATATGTGTGTATAAAAAGCGGGGGAGGGGGACGTTCATCTAGAAAGGCAGAGAAACTGCGCGTAATGTTCCTCGCACCCGCATCTCTTTGCGGAAGGGAGCCGGACCGGACGTACTATCTTTGGCGTGATAAGGCTCCTGGACACTAATGAATTCACACACACGCACACACACCCTGCCTCTGCTTGCCCTGCCGTTGCCGCCTCGGCGATGTTTCGGGAGTGTAGCGTAATGGAGCTGGTTCGTGAGGTGGCTTGCCCGTTTTGCCCGCTTGCCGTCTGATTCCGAACACTGCTTCGTCGCTCTGTCTCTCTCGCACCCCAACGGACCGCCCCATGAGCGCGACAGAGACAGAGCGACGAAAGCAGTGCTCGGAATCAGACGGCTGGCCCGGAGCTGCCACTCTGGTGCCGATCGCCATCGAGCCGCTCTCTGTTCGAAGGGAAGGCCAGGCCCCAGAGAGCCTCACGACACCGCAGCAAGGCCCGGCCCGGCACGGCACGGCCCACGCAGCGCAGAAACGTGCGTGGCCAAAGTACACACTGTAAAAAGTGGAGCCGGAGGCGCAAGACGAAGAAGCAGCCAGTACCGGTGACGAAGACCCCTTGCTTTGCGCAGAACGTGTTTTCTTAAAAAATAATTTCTGTGTGTGTGGCGCGTCCCTCCTCCTGGTGAATCGAAGTTGACGCTGAGGAAACATGACACTTGCACACTGTAGAACCGTGTTCGGCAAAATCGTGGATGACAGTTTCATCAGTTGAAAATAATGACAATGTCTTCGCTCGCTGTCATTAAAGCTCCCATGACAACTCAGATGTTTGACAGTGTGTACTCGCTTCCTCACATTTATTGCCCTGTTTTGTTTTTTTTCCTTTCGGCAGGCCGGCAAGCGGTTGCCGCGAAGAGCACGTCGTGGCCGGGCATCGATCGCATATCATCGGCGTTGCAGCCTCGGACAAAACTCGTGCGTCCCTGTTACACGAGTGCGGCGTGCCAGTCACGACCGAGCGACCCGCGCATTAAAAAATAAAAAAAAAAAAGTAAGCGGTAGTGCACGCAAGCCGACAAAGACGAGCACGTAGCCGGCCGGCGCGCGCCGCGGGTCGGACTTCCCTTGCGCTGCGCCACCCCATTCCCTTTTCTTGATTGATCTATCCGCATCACCGACGTCTCAAAACAAACAGCCGTGGCCGGGATGCGGCCGATGCGGCCGGCCCGCCAAAGGCCTGCCTCTGGCGGCATTTCAAGAAAAACCTAAACGGCCGCTATCGCACGCACGGGCAGCCCGCCGCACGGCCCCCAGCCGCAAAGGCGAAAGTGAAAAAAGAAAAAAGGAAAAGAGTTGTTCAGATTTGAAAAGACAGGTTTCCAAAAAGAACTCGGCGGGAAAAAGGAAGGGAAAAAAGTCGGCGTGGTGTAGCGATATCGGCTGTCCGACGCGGAACCCTTGACCCGAATGATCCGGCGGCAGCGCGCGGCTAATGTCACCCGGCTGTATCAAGCGCTGCATCTCGCCGCCCCCTGGCCGCCCCCTGGCCGCCCCCTGGCCGCCCCCGCGCGATGCCTGCCGCCTGCCACTGCCTGCCTGTCCGCTGGCCGGACGCAGTCGGCAGGCCGCAGGCCGTCGCGTTGCCTACCTCGTGACGTCATGGCGCCGGAGGCACCGTCCTGGTGGTGGGTCGCGGCGGCGGCGGGTCGCGGTGACGCAGGGTCGCGGTGACGGCGGGTGACGGGTCGCCGGGGACGGCAAGAAGGTCGCGACGATACGGTGCGGCACGCGGCACGCCGGTGCCACTGACCGACTGCAGTGTGCCAATCGGCCGCGGCGCCCGCCGACACGCCGCGCCATCTTGCGGCCGAACCAGAAAACCTGAACCGAACCGAACCGCGCCACCGCGCCCGACGCGGACACGCGGAGGCGCGTAGTCTGTCGCGTCTGACCCGCCGTGGACCCGACCCGGCGGCGGACGGGCCCGCGCCAGCACTGCGGATGCCGCCTGCCCTGCCCTGCCCTGCCCTGCCCTGCCGCCCCCGCGCACCGCCCGGTGGCGGCACTGCCCGGACACTGCCCGGACACGGGGCAGCCAAGACCGTGTAATCTCTCCCCCGAGATAACAGCGAACGGAAACCAGCACGCCGAGGTAACGCTCCGTTAGGGAATTCCCTCCCGCGCGCAAAAAAAAATGTCGCCAGTCGCGTGCCGCCTCGCCGCCAGTGTAGTGGCCGCGAGGAGCGAGAAGTCGCCGTGCCGGTTGGGCTGCCTACCCTGGCGTCCGCGGGCGCGAGGCGCGGCGGAGGGCGGCCGGGCCCCGCCTCGGCGATGCTGCAGTGCAGACAGGAGGAAGGGGGCCGCTGCCGCTAGCTGGCACCGCTGACTGATCCCATCGCTCTGTCTCTCTCGCACCTAGAGGGGACGCCGTGAGTGCGAGAGAGACAGAGGCCCGCCGATGCCCCGCCCCTAATAGGCAGCCGATGTTATCGGCGCCGCCGTGCCTCCGCGAAAAAAGGAGAGGAGAGGAACTGCACAGTGTGGTGTCCTCATTAAGGACCCACACTGTCCTGTCCGGCGCGGGGCGCGAAGGGGGAGGAACGGAGGGGAGGGATTGTTGGCGAGGCCGAGGCAGGACTCGGGTTGACGTTGACGGCCCCTTCCCGGACAGTTACAGTGCTCGGCCTGCCGTCCCCGGAAGAGCCTTGGCAGCCTTGGCCGGCCAGCCTTGGGTCCGCCACGGCCACGGCGCCAAGATTAGCCGCTTTCTACAGTGACGCGGCGCAAGGTATTGGACAGAGGTGGCCCGGCGCCACACTGCGAGAAAAGGAGCTACACTGTCAACGAAAGGGTTGCGCAACGCGCGAATAAAACGAGGAGGACACGCCGCCGCGCCGCGGAGGCAGAGCGGGAGAGAGAGGGGGAGGGGGAGGGAACGCGTGCGGAATACCATTAGTTTGCAGGCCGTGCAGGGGAGGCGGTGGAGGCGGTGGGGGCCGCGGCGGACAACGACGTGAGGACGAGAGATGTCATTTCATAGTGCACCTCCTGGCCGCGCCGAGCCGAGCCGAGCAGCACCGCGACGGAAGGCTGCCGAGGACGGCCGAGGATTGCACGGGATTAATCTAGTCCGCAGCTGCAGACTCATTCCGAGCAGCGGTGCCGTCGCTCTGTCTCTCTCGCACTCGCGGGGCGTGCCGCGAAGAACCGCTGGCCGTAATCGGATGCAGTGCAGGCCCTGCAGGCCGCAGGATGCAGGCTGACGCGCTGGCGGCATGGAGCTGGCGAACCCTGCATTGCTAGGGATGGGATGCCCCGTCGCGAGTGGACATTGTGTCAACGTTGGACGCGCTCCAGCCCGGCCGCGGCGCGGCGTCTCGACGGCGACCCTTTGCCTCACGGCGCGGCAGTCTTGGCCTCCGTCGGCGTCCCGCCCGGATCCTGGATGGCTCCGCGGGGCGCCGCGGGTTGCCTACACTGTCGGCCGTGGCCGCTGTCGGCTCCAATCAGGCTCGGCGACGCAAATCTAGCGTCACCCGAGACGCCCCCGCGGCCCCAGCCCGCGGAGCAGGGCCGCAAGTCGCGGCTGGACGCCAGCAGGCCGCAGAGCGACAGAGAGGCGGAGCGGAGCACTGCCGGCCGGCCGCGCCGCACCGCCCCGCCCCGCCGAGGCGACCTGTTTAATAGGATGCAGCCAAACGGCAACTCGAGTGTGGGCCACCGCCATCTGATAGTCCACTGCACTGGAAAAATAACAAAAATGGCGGCGTGGAAAAGCGGCCATTCCGCTGCTCGTTTGACACGCGTATTCCGTAATCAAATTCAATGCCGAGCCGGCCGCCGGGGCCGCCGGGGCGGCCGGGGCAGCCAGGCAACGGGGCGGCAGGTAATTCGTCGCTGCGTATGCGCGGCCCGGCCCGGCGCGGCACGGCACGGCACGGCACGGCACGGCCCGCGTCTCGCCAGTCTCGCCTCGCGCTGCGATGCTCTGCGATTAAAATTCTAGTCGACAAGGCTCGGGCCTTGCCTTCCTCCCGCCTTCGGATAAACAAGCAGAAGTGCGAGCCATTCACTCTCGCAGTGTACGGTAGTTCAATTTCGGCGAGATCCCCATCTCCCCGGCGCCGAAAAATGGAGATTCCCTCGAGGGTGTCCCTCCTTTTCAGGGACTTGCTTCATTGACGCCATCCGAGTCCTTGAACGGAGAGCGCGGTTTGGCTGCCTCGAACGTCGCGCCGCCGATCGGCCGTTTTTCTGTGTTTTGCCGCCGCTCGTTTTGGTGTCATTTTTCAGCGCCGGTCGCGTGACGGCGAACAAAGCTGGGCCAAATTAAGGAGCTACTCATGCTAATGCCTCCAGTCAATCATAGAGCCATAATTGGAATCCTTCATCGTGTGTGCCGGCCGAAAAACACTCGCTAGGAGAACCCGCACGCGAGCCGAGCCGTGCCTAGAGTGGACTCGCTTGCAGTCATTTTTCAACGCAAGAAAAACGCTTCGATTAATTAATTACGGCGACTGCTGGCCCCGCCCCGATTGACACGACGAATCCGAACCGAACGCATTTTTGGCAGTGTCACGAACAACGACAGCGTCTTGATGGATGGTCGGATTGCTTGGCGTGGCTTGGCGTGGCTTGGCGTCGCTTTGCGTAGCTCTGTAGGTGGACCGCCACGGACACCGGCACACTGAGAGCGGTTTTCGTCGCCCTGTCTCTCTCGCACCTGCACGGCACGCCCCACGAGTGCGAGAGAGACAGAGCGCTCGGAATCAGTCAAACGGGGCGCGCCAGGGCGTGGCATGGCGAGCAGCCGGACTCACTCAGTCACTGTTATTGCAGTCGTTTGTTTCCACTGCGAAGCTCTCTCGGTTACTCCATCAACTTACAACTAGAATTTCAATGAATCTCTCCCCTACGTATTTTCACACGTGTTTTATTGAAATTTTTTTTGGTGTGTGTATAGTTTTTTTTTGGGTGTAGGAACTCTGTCCGAGCGCGGCCGTGGCACGCCCGAGCCTGGCCAGAGGCGGCCAGTGGCTCCGCCCGCTCCGCCCCGTGCCTCCGGGCCCTTGGCGCGCTTTGGCGCGCTGGCCAGACACTCAGCGCCGCCACCCGCACGGCACCGCACGGCCGGAAACCACGGAAACAGCAGTGTCGCCAACCGCGCGGCGCCTGCAGCACCAAACTGCGAACATCGCGCATCGCGGCTCCGGGCGACGCGAACACAAATTGCCGCAACCGAGAGGCCGAGAGCGAGCTTGGACGCGCGTCCGCTAATCGCCGGGCGCTCTTTTTGTTCCCTCCCGTGTTTTTCCGTTTTGTTTCTTCGTTCTCCCTGCAGGCTGGACGCAATTATGACGTCACGATGACGTCTCCGGAGCGGAGGAGTGATTAAACGCGGAGATCCGAATCATCGGGCATTAAAAAAAAAACAGAGACGGACCAAGGCGTCGACGGCGCCAGTTTCAAATCGGCGGGCTGGGGACATCATTACCGGCGTACGCAGGCTGGCAGGCCTGGCAGGCCGCTGTGATTGCCGGCCTGCGCGCCTCGCTCTGTCTCTCTCGCTCTCACGGGCCGTGCCTCGGCGTGCGAGAGAGACAGAGCCGGCCGGCGTGCTCCAGCTGGCTCTAGCCGGGATCAAGTCCAGGGGCACATTAATAGAAGGCGAGCGCGCCTTTCTGCGGCCTTTAACGACCCAAAATTGTCCGCACCGCGTCCGCAGTCCACAGTCCACAGCCCGCTAACGCAGCGCGCGGTGGCCACCGAAAAACAACAGGTGACTCCCGTCCCGCCCGGCGCGCGATCTTCTTTCCACACTTATCCTGCCCATTCCACTTATGCCAACGACGGCGGCCACGTCGGCGCGGCTCCCATAAGGAAATCCCCTAATGAATGGCTCCGGCTCGCACTTCCCCGTCGCAACCGACGCTCGCTTTGCGCTTTACGCTTTGCTTTACAGTGTGCACAACGAGTTTTATCAATGTGCAGCAGCGTTTTGGGTGTACGCGAAAGGCAAGGCGGCCGCGCAGCCTCGCCGTTTTATGCGACTTGCCATTCATCTTCGGAACTGACCATTGTTTCTGCACGGCTGGCCGGCCGCCGGGCCGTGCTGAAACGCGGGTCTCTCTCTCTCGCACTCGGGGCGTGGCGTCGGGGTGCGAGGGGGACGGCGGCGAGACCGCTGTTCGGAGCCAGCCTGAGTGGCCCGGAGCGGGGCGGGAAGACTCGCGCCGCTCCACGCCGCTCGCAGTCCGTTCAGTTAGCACCAACAGCAACAACCCGGACTCGACTTGCGAGCGAGTGCTGCGCGCTGCGTCTCCGCCGCGCCGAGCCGTGCCGCCCCCAACTCCTCCAGCTCCTCCACTCCTCCAACGAGGCCGGCGAGGAGTAATGCCGTCGTAAAGCCGCCTTCGTACTGCCTCACTGGCCGCCTCACGCCGAAGGATCGTCGCTCTGTCTCTCTCGCTCCCTTACTGGGACGTCCCTCGAGTGCGAGAGAGACAGCGCGCAGGCCGGCCGGACTCCCAATTACACGATATGCATGCAGTCCTCGATCCCCTCCGATCGCACTCCGATTCCGTCGTTTCGCAAGTTTGGCTTGGCGCGTTCGTTCTCCTCGTTTTCTGTCCTTTTCGCCGTGTAGGTCCTCGCAGTGCTTTCTCAACGTCGACAAACGAGAACTCCGCCCCGTTGCACAGTGGGCCAGAAGACCGGTGGAGGCGGCCAAAATTCTAGACGCCTTTTGAGCTCCAGAGTCACTATTAGTGAAACAGGGCTCGAACTGAACGTGTGTGACCGCACCATCGGATTCCTCGTTCGGACAGCAATCCATCGGTTTTTCGCCACCTCCACCGGTCTTCTGGCCCACTGTGCGTTGCCTTGGAAATCTCTTCCCGTTCGAGTGCGAGCGTCACCAGGGCGAAGCCGAAGCCCGCAGCGAGCGGTCGAAGTCGAAAACGAGATTTGGGTCAGGGCGGCGCGGTCCGGCCGGCCCAGCGGACTCGAGGTGGGCGAAGGCGAAGGAAGACCCGGGCCTCCTTATTTTGATCCGTGCGTATGATTCATTCATACCGCTTGACGAGGGTTCCCCGCGGCGTCGTCAGTCGTCACACAACTACTAGCGGCCCGACCGCCCCGGCCCGACCGGCCCCGACAGCGACACGGGGTCTTGATAGCACCACCTGACACGCGGCGGGAAGCCACGCCAGTCTCGACGCCAGTCATGCTGTCCAAACTTGGCCCGCGTTCAACGGCTGTGCGTTTCGCGGTGTACCTGCTGGTGCCCTCGGCCCGCCTCGGCCCGCCTCGGCCGGCACCACACCGTATTGTCTCCTGCTGTTTGCCTTTGATAACACCAGGACCGCACCGCAGCCGCGCGCCCGGCTGGCGGGACTGGCGGGACTGGCGCGCGCATGCCAAAATCTACACCGTTGGCAACACGCTGTTCGGCCTAACGGCGCTTATCTTTTCGAACGCCGCCGCGGTATCTTGGCTCAAATTCGCCCCCTGTTAGCGCACGCGCGCGTGTCCCGCGAGGGGGGGGGGGACCTCGAGGGGGACGGAAGGGCGTCATTGGGGTCGCGTCCCGCTCACTTTAAAGTGTAGCGTTCATCGGGGCCCTCGGGGCCGTCGGGGCCGCCGGGCCGCCAGCAACAATGAGAAGAAGGAGGGGAAAGGGGAGTGGGCTTGATTTACGAGTAAACCGACGTGCTCGAAATTTAAGGCCGCATCTCCGCGCTGCCGCGTTGCCGCCATGCCCCTCCCTGCAGCGCGCTGTCACCCCCAAGGCCCTTCCCTTCCCGCCCTTCGCGGACGTGCAGGCTGACTCCGGGCTGTCTCTCTCTCTCTCTCTCTCTCTCTCTCTCTCTCTCTCTCTCTCTCTCTCTCTCTCTCTCTCTCTCTCTCTCTCTCTCTCTCTCTCTCGCACTCGCGGGGCGTCGCGCATGAGTGCGAGCGAGGCAGGCGACGAAATGTTCGGAATGAGCCTAGCCCGCCACAGTGTCACGACGTGATACCGGTTTACAGCTCTGTAAGGGGAGCGCAGCGCATAGCGCAAAGTGGAGACTTTGTAAAGCTCCCGGGGGCCGCCGTGCCCGCACCCGTCTGCTCACCCGGTCTGCTGTCTCTCTCACGGCGCGCCTCATTGGGACGTGCGAGGGAGACAGACTCTTCGAATCAGCTGCTGCTTCCTAGATTCACGAGGCGAGCGGCTCCGCCTGCCTCGGCCGGCCTCGTTGTTTGAATGAGCGTGTTTTCTGTAGCTTCGCTGGCTGTAAATGTCAGCGGCGTGCTGCGAGTCATGGCGAGGGGGTCTTTACCGCGTGAGTGTTTTGCTGTCGATCTGTCTATTTGTCTTGCGTCTGTCTGTCTGTCTGTCTTGTCTGTCTGTCTGTCTGTCTGTCTGTCTGTCTGTCTGTCTGCGTGCTGTGTAGCGTCCCTTCGGAATGTATCCGAGTCCGCCGATAGAGTGGCCTAAATAAGTTACTCCAAGATTGATGGCGCCGCACAGCCGCACGGCCCACGGCGCGCGATCCGCCTTGAGATTGGCCGGCCATTGCCCTGGAGCGCCCTGGAGCGCCCTGGAGCGCCCTGGAGCGCCCTGGAGCGCCCTGGAGCGCCCTGGAGCGCCCTGGAGCGCCCTGGAGCGCCCTGGAGCGCCCTGGAGCGCCCTGGAGCGCCCTGGAGCGCCCTGGAGCGCCCTGGAGCGCCCTGGAGCGCCCTGGAGCGCCCTGGAGCGCCCTGGAGCGCCCTGGAGCGCCCTGGAGCGCCCTGGAGCGCCCTGGAGCGCCCTGGAGCGCCCTGGAGCGCCCTGGAGTCGGTTTGCTGTCGGTTCCCGGTCCGCCCGCGGTCCAACGAAGGCCCTTGTGACCCCGCGGCCGCGGCCGGCCCAACATCAATCTGCGGTAAGCAGGGCACTGCGCCTTCGCCGTCTCCCTCGCACTCATGGGGCGTCGCGTGCGGGTGCGAGAGAGACAAGCGATGCGAATGATTCCCCCCGCGCCCTGCTGCTCACCTTTGCTGCTCCGAGACGACTGGGACGGCTGGGACACTGCACTGGTAGTTTCCGGCGGCCGCGGCGTGCAGCGCCTCGCCGCGCCGCGGACAACATGTCGCAACGATGCACCTGCCACTTGGGCATTCAAGCAGCACGAGCGGAACGAAAACCAACAGCAGCGAAGCACAGCGAAGCCGGGCCGCTGCCAATGGCCACTTTTTCTGCCGGTCGCGGAGAGGTCCTCAGGCCCGGGCTGTATTGCCGCTCTGCCGTGCCGCGGCGACACGCACCGGACTTGGAGTCGTCGACACCGCGGGCCTCGTTGACGTCGGCTGTCGCGACGAGGCGCAACCCGTGGGGGTCGAACTGTCGAAGCAACTCCAGCCGCCGACGCGCCGGCCGGGCCAAGCCAGGCCGCGTCTACACACGTCCACTCGCGTCGCTCGCGCGGAACGCGCGGAACAGGGTCTGTGCACAGCGCCGCCAGACACGCTTCGCGCCTCGCCACAGACTGAGCTCCGCGGCGCGCGGCGCGCGGCCTAGCGCGGCCCACAGCCCGCCACACTGCCTCGCTCGGCCCGGCCCGGCCAGCGCCGCGCGGACTGGAGGGGCCACGGGGCAGGGAAGGCGGACCGCGGTCCGTCCCGTCGAGCGAGGCAGTGTGACGGGCTGCCCGCTTCGCCGGCGTCCTGGTCCTCTGGAGCTGGAGCCGAGCATGGTGCGGCCGCGGCGCGCGCGTTGCCTATCCCCAGTCCGGCGGGCGCTAGGCCAGTCGGCATGGCAGCTCTGCGGAGCTCTGTGCGGAGTTGTTGTCGCCGACGTTGCATGGCCGTTCGCGACTTGGAAGCGCCGAATCGGCTATCGGAAACCATTTGGCGGCGTTCCGACCGCGGACCAGCACCGCCAGGACCACGCCGGTGCGCGGCGCGGGATGGAGTGAGCGCCCCGCACCGGCCGGTCCTCGTGGTCCTCGCGGCGACACGTGCGGGTATCAAAATACAACCGCCGATAAGGGTCGTTTGCCGAAGACAACCACGGCGACGTACGCCCTTCCACGTGTCCAAACGCGACCCGGCGCTGCCTGATTGTACCTCACTGAAAATGAGAATCAGAAGGCGAGACTCTCCCCCTCTCAGGGGTCAATGCTTTTTCCCGAGGCGGGCAGTCTCCACGTGCGGCGAGGCAGGCCAAGAGGCAGGCCGCCGACGCCATCCTGCGGCGCGCAGTACGGCGCAGCCACGCGCAGCATCCCCGCCAAAGCGCAGCATGCCCGCCAATGATTACCAAAGCGGCGTTTGCGTGACGTTTGCGTGACGTTTGCTTGGCGGCCGGATTACCGAGTCACTATCAGGCTTTGAACCTACTGCCTTTGGGCCCGCTGCACGCGCCGCCGCATTCCAACGAGTCCCTTCTGGAGGTATAAAAGGCTCGGTGAGGAAGCGAAAGACGTCGAAGACAACCGCCGCCTCTCCAAGCATGAAGGTCCTGGTAGTCCTGATCGTGGCGCTGGCCGCTGGCTCCACCCTGGTCGAGGGTGACGGCCTGGTGTGCGGTGAGTACCTGCTGCTGCACACAGAGTGTCAGCGAGTGAAAGCAGATGTTGACGGTCATCTTTTTCCACGCAGACCTCTTGACCGTGACCACTTCGAAGTTGCCTGGGTGCTCGCCGCTCACCTGCAAACTCCTGTGCGGCCTTGGCTGCGTCACCTACGGCTGTGTGGGTCAGTTTTGCATCTGCGGCCCGCCCAGCACGACCTCCACGGCACCCACCACCAAACTCACGACTCCGCAGTCGACGTCAGTCACCCAGGCCACCTCGGCCTCCACAGCGGTGTCGACCTCCACCCAAGGCAATGGATTTGTGTGCCGTAAGTGACTCAACATTCTTGGGTTTACTAATGTACTATACAGATTAACATTCACCACGCATCCTTTTCACAGCTCTCCTGTCTTCCATCACCCTACCGCTCGCCGCAGAGTGCGACGGTCTCTGCCCCGCCGTCTGCAGGGCAATTGGCCTGGGTTGCGTCTCCAGCGACTGCGACCCTCTAGGCGGTTGTCTGTGTTCTCCACCAAGCTCCGGCGGCTCCACCACGCCATCTACGGGAACCACTCAGAACAATGGCTTTGTCTGCCGTAAGCATACAGACACTCAATTTATTTTCCTGCACCCGTCCAGTTAACAGTACTTAACACACGTAACTTTGCCCACAGCTCTACTCCAGTCGATCACGTTGCCTCTAAGCGGACTCTGCAAGGGAATCTGCCCAGCTGTGTGCAAATTGATTGGCTTAGGATGCGTTGCGAGTGGTTGTGATTCGGATGGGGGCTGCCTCTGCGGTCCTCAGCCGTCACAAACAACTATCGTGCCAACTCTCCCAACCTCGACATCGTCATCGGATACCGAAGGCACTTCAGCTTCTACGGCGGTGTCAACCTCCACTCAAAGCAACGGATTGGTGTGCCGTAAGTAATTAAAGATTCTTCAGGTGGCTGAATGACTTCTTGCGGTGAATTAATGACTATTTCGGATGACTGTAGTATTCTTCTGCTTAACAATTACCACGTATCTTTTTCACAGCTCTCCTGTCTTCCATCACCCTACCGCTCAGCGCAGAGTGCGACGGTCTCTGCCCCGCCGTCTGCAGTGCAATTGGCCTGGGTTGCGTCTCCAGCGACTGCGACCCTCTAGGCGGTTGTCTGTGTTCTCCACCAAGCTCCGGCGGCTCCACCACGCCATCAACGGGAACCACTCAGGACAATGGCTTTGTCTGCCGTAAGCATTCAGACACTAAATTTCTTTTCCTGCACCCGTCCAGTTAACAGTACTTAACACACGTAACTTTGCCCACAGCTCTACTCAAGTCGATCACGTTGCCCCTGGACGGACTTTGCAACGGAATCTGCCCGGCTGTGTGCAAATTGATTGGTTTAGGATGCGTTGCGAGTGGTTGTGATTCGGATGGGGGCTGCCTCTGCGGTCCTCAACCGTCACAGACAACTATCGAGACAACTGACGAGACAACTCTCTCAACCTCGTCATCAGGAACCCAAGGCACTTCAGCTTCAACAGCAGTGTCATCCTCCACCCCAAACAATGGATTGGTGTGCCGTAAGTAACAAAATACACTTCAAAATACTACCTCGGAGAAAAAAAAAATTCATCGCTATGCTCACTATTGCCTCTTTTCGCAGCTCTCCTGTCTTCCATCACCCTACCGCTCGCCGCAGAGTGCGACGGTCTCTGCCCCGCCGTCTGCAGTGCAATTGGCCTGGGTTGCGTCTCCAGCGACTGCGACCCTCTGGGCGGTTGTCTGTGTTCTCCACCAAGCTCCGGCGGTTCCACCACGCCATCAACGGGAACCACACAGAACAATGGATTTGTCTGCCGTAAGCATACAGACACTAAATTTCTTTTCCTGCACCCGTCCAGTTAACAGTACTTAACACACGTAACTTTGCCCACAGCTCTACTCCAGTCGATCACGTTGCCCCTGGACGGACTTTGCAACGGAATCTGCCCGGCTGTGTGCAAATTGATTGGTTTAGGATGCGTTGCGAGCGGTTGTGATTCGGATGGGGGCTGCCTCTGCGGTCCTCAGCCCACACAGCCCACTACGCCTGCATCAACTTCGCCAGCCACGCCCTCCACCACCCCGTCTACACCATCTACCACGCCTTCTTGCCCCACCTCACCTAGCACCACCCCGTCTACACCATCCACCACTCCCTCGACTCCCTCTACCACTCCGTCAACACCATCTACTACCCCTTCTACACCATCTACGACGCCGTCGTGCGCCACCTCACCTAGCACTACTCCGTCAACGCCATCTACCACTCCCTCCACTCCCTCTACCACTCCGTCAACACCATCTACCACTCCCTCGACGCCCTCTACCACTCCGTCAACACCATCTACTACCCCGTCAACACCATCTACCACTCCGTCGACACCCTCCACCACTCCTTCAACACCGTCTACTACCCCATCTACGCCATCTACGACGCCTTCTTGCCCCACATCACCTAGCACAACTCCATCAACACCGTCTACCACTCCATCAACACCGTCTACCACTCCGTCAACACCATCTACCACTCCTTCAACACCATCTACTACGCCATCTACTACTCCATCAACACCGTCTACCACTCCGTCAACACCATCTACCACTCCGTCAACACCATCTACCACGCCGTCTACACCGTCTACTACCCCATCTACCCCATCTACGACACCGTCTTGCCCCACATCCCGTAGCACCACACCTACACGCACGACGCCGTCGACGCCATCTTCAACCCCATCAACACGATACACGACTCTTTCCACGCGTTCCACCGAGCCGTCCTGCGACACCGAGCCTACCAAGACACCCAGACCCACGACGCCGTCTACGCCAAATTCAACCCCGTCAACACGTACGACTCCGTCCACTCGTTCCACCGAGCCATCCTGCGACACCGAGCCTACCAGGACACCCAGACCCACGACGCCGTCTACGCCAAATTCAACGCCGTCAACACGTACTACTCCGTCCACTCGTTCCACCGAGCCATCCTGCGACACCGAGCCTACCAGGACAACCAGACCAACGACGCCATCTACGCCACCCACAACGCCGTCAACACGTACGACTCCGTCCACTCGTTCCACCGAGCCGTCCTGCGACACCGAGCCTACCAGGACAACCAGACCTACGACGCCATCTACGCCACCCACAACGCCGTCATGCGCGACCTCGCCTGTCACAACGCCTAAGCCCACATCTACCACGCCGTCTTGCAACATCTACACCTAGGCCAGCCACCGCACACCCAAGTCTTCGACGTGCACCGTTGGCTAGAGCGGCCACATTCAAGTGGCGCAGTGATAATTGCCTGACCCTTGTTGAAAGGATTGGAATAAAATGACTTCAACAAATGAGGAAGTGTTTATGATCTCTGACTGGCTAGCTCCCCGACTAACGTTCTACTCCGCATGGAGATTCCGAACACTGCTTTCGTCGCTCTGTCTCTCTCTCCCAAACGGGCCGGAGAGGGTGCGGGAGCGAGAGCCGTGCAACCTTCTCGAGTGCACCCGCGGTCGATATTTTCCAGAAGCGGAAGGTGGGGATCCTGTCAGATTGTTTACTTTTTCACTTTGCATGCGTACGAAGAAAAGAACGAAAGTTCCAGAAGCCATTACACTTCCTAAGTGAACTCGACTGCTCAGTATGTAAAATCTGCGACATTTCTCTTGTGCCGCAAACCCACCCTGTGGTGCTCCCCGCCTCGCACCCCCACCCCACCCTCCCGACCAATCACATCGCCGAGGGCTTCCCAGTGTGCCTGCTCGGCTCGAGGATCGGGGCGTCGCCATACTTGCCGACTGCTGGGACTTGGATAATTTGAGCTTTGTTGCGTTCTGGAATGCTTCTCCGAACTCTGGGTTTGGCCGAAAGGTGTGTATGTTGCGCCCAGCCTTCGTGTTGTGCTTACTGGACTCCCTCGCCTCACCCCGGGCGCGAGATACCGCCTCCGGCCCGTGACACACCCGTGTCTTGCGGGCTTGTCTAACCTATGCATGACAGGCGCCATCTGCGGCTTTAAAATGAGCTCCTCTCTCTCTCTCGCTTGTGGCTTTAATCACTTCTTGGTGGAGGAATTTAATCTGACATAAGCTGCAGTTTCATTTTTAGGGACATTTGAGTTGCAGTAAGCTCTGCCAAGATCCTCGTCGGTTCGCCATAACCACTACTGCTGCTCTTGTGGTAATTTGGAATTTTATTTTTCGACAGCACCTACTGACATCTTTAAGCGCAGCGAAACCTGAAGTGAAAATAAATAAAAATTCTTCGAACGAACGCAGCAGAGCATCATGGCGTCCAAAGTGCTAGTAAAAATTCCAGTAAATTTTGGGACTCAGGTAACGTCTCTGAAGCTCTCTGAACTTAGGAATGTAAAGGAAACAATTATTTAAAATGTGTTCTTTTTCTACAGGTTGGTAAATGTACCACTGCTGATATTATTAGTGCCAGTGTTAGTGGAGCAAATGCTCGAGCTGCTGCCACAGTGGTTACCACAGAAAATGCACATTCACCCGCAAACAGTCCTAGTGATTCATTCAATACAAGTTCTAACTACGATCCCACTCTTCGTGTCATACAATTGGAACAAAACATAAAATTTTTGAAAGACCAACATCATCTAATGCTTACTTCTTTACATCATGAAGTTGAGACTTTGCGTCAAAGGAATCGAGGTAAGACCAGACCTCAAGTAATTTGAGTTAAGAGCCTTAAGGGCTTACATAAATAGTCGATTATATTCTGCTTGCAGATCTCCAATTCCAGCTCGTTTTCAGCAAGGGTTCCCTCGCTCTTCTGAAAAGCACCCCGTCATCTCCGGAAGATGACTCAAAACCACAGGTAGAGTAAGGAGTACACTATTGGATTCATGTGTGTATTGGTTTATGTTCAACGTCACACATTTAAAATCCTTTTAGGTGGTGCTCAGTCCAAAACAAGTGAATGTGACTCCGCTTCAAGTTGAATTATTGGAACGAGATATAGCTGAGTTACGTAGCTCCCTTTGTGAACAAAAAGACCGCAATTCTTCTTTGGAAAACATAATTGATGAGCAGAAAAAGTAACTTAAAATTAAGTACTTGTTTGTTTTATTAACATCACTCCATATTTGTTTGAGTCAAGAGAAAAATTATACCTCTTTTACAGGGTTATAGAAAATAGTTCTAAACAGACCGCAACAGCTGATCGTGCAGATGAAAGTCAAGCTCCTGATCCTGATCTTGCTTTTAAACTTGAAGAGGCTGAAAAAGTGATTCGCCGACTACGCCGTGAAAATGATGAACAGAGGAGAGAGGTATTATTTATTTGAAATATCAATTTAAAAAATTCCACGACCTTTTGAAATTTCAAATTTAAATTCTCATTTCATAGCTGGCAATGATAAAAGCGAACCAAAATAAGATGCAGACACCTGGAGGATCTGGAGCACATCAAAGACCTAGCGGTCACTGGTCTCAGCAGCAGTATCATGAACAGCGAGAATATCAAGATCAGCCTCGTGAACAGTATAGAGAACTGCGAGATCAGCGTCGTGAAGTACCACAGGACTTGCACTTTGACCAACATGAACAGCCTCGAGAAGGAAGTCGTTTTCCCCCTCTCTCAGGTCAAAAATACTGGCACAACAATGGTCAAAGAGGTCGTTGGAACAATTCGTAAGTGATTCAGTTAAGCATTATAATTTCAAAAACTTAAAATGAGGGTGTTTATGAAATGATTTGTTCACAGGTGGGAGTCTGGTCGGGGTGCTGGAGGATCAAGAATGCTGAATCAATCTCTTCCTTCACTTCCTGGTTTACCAATGGGAAACAGTACTCCAAACGAAATGCCAAATCCAAATGGAAATCCCAGCAGTGCACCTTTTGCTCTTCTCAGCCATGGAGGAGGGGGTCGAAGGGGACATCGAGGCAATTTTAGGGGAGATCGAAGTGGGAATGGTCGTGGTGCGGGGGCGGGCCAGTCAGGCAGTCGCGGGCACTGGGACCAAAACAGGGAACATAGAGGAAGGGATCGTGATAGAAACAGGGACCAGGGATTCAATGATTAAGGTGTAAATTCCTGAGAGCAGTTCTGATTTATGTTGCCATCTCTACTCTTTTAGAGAGCTTGCTGCCGCATGCTTCTGATTCGATACTTCATTCTTTCATTTAAAATCCAGTCCATGCCATCAGGAATTTTATTGATCACTGTCACGAGGTTTTAGAAGGTTTCCTGATATTTGGTATAAGTATTGTGAGTGCTAGCCAGAAATCAGAAAGCAGCTTTCATAGGCCCCTTCAGTTTGCGCAGACAAGCCACAGTCAAAGTGTTACTGATATCTGAGTGCTTTTAAATTAAGTGTTGTTGTGTTGTTTTTGTCAACAAGTAGAGAGATGGCAGCAAATACAAAGCTTGCTTTATTATACTCTCTCATGGTATAAGCCTTTTGCTGACTTATAAATTGACTTTGTGATATATTCCCATAAAATAATTATTTAAAAAAGTATTAAATTTTAAAAAAAGTTTCTTTTGTTTCTAGAAAATTGTTATTGTTGTTTGTTGTAATAAACTAGTGAAGGTTTTGAAGATCTTTTAACTCTTGGTAGTGATTTTTGCTCTCAAAGTGTCCCCTTTCTCAGGAGAAATTGTCTCAAAAATCCTTCTCATAATTTTGGAATGACTGACATGCCTTATTTGAGTACAAATACAGTGCTTGTGCAAACTGGCAAAATAACTGTAACATTATCCTAAAATGAGCCCATTGTGTGTCATAAAATTCATTTTGCCAACTTCCTTATTTGTTTTATCTGTGTAATCCCCATTACATTGTCTTTCTAGTTTTTTGTATTTTGAATCATTGTTCTTCTTAGAACCAAGTAATGTATTCTATGTATCATACCTTCAATCGATTAAGTATACTGTATGTATATAAGACTCAGTTCTGGAGAGGCAAAGTTTGCAGACCCATCCAAGTTGAGTCACTCACAAGTTGTGTTTTATTTATTGGTGCTTTGATCACTGTTTGGTAACATTTACTGACTATTCCTAAACAAGTAATGTTTTTCCTGATATTTTTTATCAGTTTACAACCACTAACAACTTAATACTTTTAAGGACCTTGTTCACTGTTACGCACCTGCATGTTTTTCTGTATAAATTGGATGATTCCTAGACTGTCTTTACCCTGCACTCTGCACACAGTTTTTAGTTGCAATGAAACATACCATTTTATTTTTGAACATCTGTGGCAGATAAAGCTTGGTTCTTTCATGTGGGCTATGTCTGATAATGTTTTTTCTGTGACTTAGTGTGCGTTCAGAACTAATCTGGTGCTACGAGTCTTTTTTCCTGAAGAAACTGCATTGATATGTTCATTTTTTAAAATTTTGGGGATGAAAACTGACATAATGCATAGCTGTGATAATTTATTTATGAATTTTAACCTTTAATCATGCCCTATTTAAAAGTAATTTACCCTTAGGTACTTGGGTAAGTTGGGTAGACAAGCCCTGTCTCTCTTTTTAGGGCTTTATTTTGGCAGATGCTGAGCTGTTTTGAAAGCTTAAAACCTTATTTGTAAGTACTAGTGCTTTCACAGTTTATTGTGACAAATATGCCAAAAGTTTGGGGTCAAATATGAGCTAATCCGGGGTTTTCAGTTTTTATTCATTAGCTGTCTACATTCTACATGGCCAAATTAAGATGTATAATTTACCGCGTGGATAAATTTGAGAGCTTTCTGTTAGGATGAAGGTTTTATTTGTAACACTCTTCTAAAAACAAACTCATCTTCTTAATAAAAGAAAGATTGTAACGTGTGTTGGAGATACTGTTATAGAAGCACTTGCTGACCAAATTTGATAGCTACTGATAGTTAGTCAGTCACCCATCAGAGATGTCAGATGGTTGACAAATTGCCTGTCAGTAGACACATGGTCATCAAGGGGACACTTTAACAGTGTTGACTTTACTCCTTAAGTGTCAATGCTGAATCAATCTTCTTTAAATTGATTCAGTGATTCCTGTTCCTTATTACTCCAATCTACTCTACTTGTAACTGTCTCCCTTTCCCTGTGTTCTTTACAGATGTAGTACTTAAAATTCTGTCAAGTCTTAGCTTACTGAACTTGGCATGTAGTAATGCTTCAATGCAATTTACAATCAAAATTATATCCCTGGTAATTTGTAGAATAGTGTGGATTTTGGTGTACACAATTTTAACATGACATGTATCTTTTATGTATTACAAGTGTATGTGGGCATACCGACCAAACTGATGGCTGAAAATTGTTTGAGCAAAAGTTTGCCTTATATTGAAGCAATATCTATGTATACTACAGACATTAATTAAAATTAACATCCATAGGAAAATTGGTGCTTAATATTCTGTAACTGCAGAAATTTGAAAAGTACATTCATGTCCAGTACCTTTGAATGTTCACTGAAAGATTTAAATAACAAGGCTATTGGCTAGTGAGAATAACCAGACATTTTTAGTAAGTACATTATTTAATAAAGGTATGTGAGACCATAAAAGTCAAATTAAATTGATCTTTCCTGATGTTACCATGGCATGACTTCCGTTTTTAAGATTAACATAGAGTGAACAAGGAGAGTAAATTTAATGCTCTAATTCCTTTGAAAAATTAAGTTCTAATAATATATTTCCACAATACAGTAAAATGCACAAACAGTGGCACACTGCTTTTTTCTTTTGAAGAACTAGATATGAATTTTAACATGTCCCATTGTAAATTTGAAGAGGATCCAATAGACTTTCTATGACGGTGTGCCTCACATTTTCTGATCTTAAAAGAGCAGAATTTAAATTTTCTAATCACAGATTATTTATCTATATATTACTACATTGCAATGCCTGGAACAGAATCAAATGACTGAATTAGCTCCAGAGCAACACGGGCCCATAAAACCCAGTTATTCATTGTGAAGCTACTTACGATTGTTTTGTTTGCATTGGCGGAGTGCTTCATTAAATCCTTCGCATAATGAGAGGTCAGTTTGGCCCTGAGCGCACTGTAGGAACTGCTTTATTTCCCAAGCACACGGTCCACTGGGCTCTGAACCACCACCACCAGCTTGGGCATACTGTTGGTTGTATTGGGGCTGAGCTGCAGGGGCAGGCTGGGCTTGTTGAGAATCACTTCCTCCACTGAACATGCCAGTGAGTGCATGACCAGCAACATGACCCTGTGAGAAGAAAACAAACAAGAACCAGCTAAGTGATGAATACATATCCTCGTAAATAGTAGTTCTTAAAGAAAAAGCACAAAACCACACGACAACACATCTTTGCAAAGTGACAAATGCCACCATAAGTGTGTTGTAGAGTCAATGTTGGAATTCGTTTAAGTAACAGCTAAGTAATACTCACAATGGCAGAGCCAACAGCAACACCGCCTGCAGTTGCAGCCATCTGTCCCATGAGCGATGGTCCGCCAGAAGTGGCAGCGCCTGCTCCGGCTCCTGCTCCAGTGCCTGCCCCTGCCCCTGGCGGAGGCGGCGCGGGGGCAGCAGGCCTAGCTGGAGGCGGTGGAGGAGGAGCCCTTGTGGGGGACCTAAAAATCATCACAAGCAATGATGCAATTTCTATGGGATGACAATTGAGGATGCAATAGGGGACAGGCATTGTGAAACTATGAGGAAAAGTTGTGATTAAAAAAAAACACACCTTTGCCTTAACATAATCATTACAGATGAATATACAAAGTGAATCAAGGTCAGGCTTTTAATTGTGTTTTAAAATAAGTCATTCTGGAACTTTTTGAGGTTATCTTGGAATGCAGGAGATGGTTCTTACCTCCTCATGGGTGACGCTGACCCCCTTCTTGGCATTCTAAATTATTGATGTGCGACCTAAGTGGTGCAATCAAGATATATCAAAGTTTACCAATCGAATGGTTCTGTTGCACGGAGTACACTGCACGAGAGAGACGGCACTTCGATCACCGGACGATATTTTTTTTCTCCTCTCCGAATCGGAGGTGACGTCATGAGCAGACGACACAGTCATACGGCCTACCAACCTCCAGCGAAAAAAGTCCTTTCTTCCACCCGGGATGCCAACCTATGAACTGAATATTCGGTTGCCTTCCCCGCCGGCTCATAATGAAAAAAAAAACAACAATAAGGAACACTTTTTATACTGTTTAATTCACGCAATTACAATGTTACAGGGCAGTTTAAGGCTGTCAGCAAATAGAAGTGCTATGAATAGAATTATATATCAGAACAAGACATTCTCTAGATACCTTAATAGCACGAAAGTATTTTTACAAGAAAAATATAAAATTAAATAAAGCTTACAAGTAAAATGTAGTATGTTTACAGGGTATGACACACATACAAAATAATACTGTTAGTCACAATATTTAGCCACCTTTTCAGGTAAAATGTTCCTTATCCTGAAAATTAGACTAAAAATATAAGAAGATCATTCGGGATTCACCCCAGGATCTTAGATCCAGAGTGTTACCTCAGTCTGAAAAAACCTCATGTAACTTTCTACATGGGAGCACATAAAAGATTGGTATAAATTTGACATGAGACAGAGGAAAGTTCAATAGAAAGAACATAAGTTTATGTTGCTTCATTCATCAAAACCCTTTTCTTCAGAAGATATCCACAACTTGAAAATAGATGTAGTGTTGATACATCACAGGATGGAAATCACAGATCAATCTGCACTGTTACACAATATCAAAAAGAAATCTCAATGGCAAGATTATTATTGTTTAAAACTACATATTATGCATCAAATTAAACAAAGTGTTTATGCATTGGAGCTTGGAGCCATAAAACTTCATGAAACAACAGCAGGAATAAAACCTTTCTACAAGGTAGAAAAGTAAGAAAGACAGGAAACCAGGGAAACTGAAATAGTGAACAAGGTATATAAAACTGTAGAAATAACTGCTGATACAATCGGCTATCATACATCATTCATGTGTTACCACATTATTGAATGATAAACTGGTTCAGAATGGTGATGAAGATCCTTTCTCCCTCATCCAACTGGAGCTGTATGGACTTGACCTCTGTCGCAGGCTGTAAAGTACAAATTAACATTTACAATGTGACATGGGATAACATGCAAATAATTTCAAAATATGGTACCTATGTCGAGATTATCTTACCTTCGTCGTGGTGTGAGGACCTTGCCTCCCCAACACTGGTTCTCTTTGTTAGAAAGAGATTTTGATTCACTCTGCGGCGTTTCAATTCCAAAAGGACTATAGAGCTTTGTTGGAGTCCGTCCCAACATACACCTGGTCCTTGTGCGGGGTGTCACTGTTTGAGGAGATTCATTTTCAAGGCGGTAGCGGCGCCTAGTCGAAGTTCGGAACCGCTGAGAAGAAAAGTTTAGTTAGACCCTTGACATAAACGTGGCTTTTCCACACTGATTGAAACCAACAAATGAGATGAAGGTACAGGTCTTACTTGAGACAATGTATCAAAAGAATTCCGCACGGTGGCAAATGTTTTGGAAATTTTGTCTGCCCCAGACCGTAGCATCCTCCTGGGCTGGACAGACGGCAGAGAAATATTGAAGTCTGACCAGTTGCGGGGGTTAGAGCGGTTGCTCCTATTCTGAGAATGAGAGGATTGATTTTGGTCACGGCTCAAAGAATAAGGACACTCTTGGTCGAAACGGTCTTGTAGACGTTGACGCGTTGAGGTCTGAAGTATCTTCCTTGAAGAAGACCCACTCGAGGCCTCTTTCCCAGACGGCTTTCGCTCCACACCACCCTCATTCGGATTCTTGTGAAACGTGAACGACACACTGCGAACATTGCTGGACCTCATAGTCACGCACTAAGAATGATCCGACTCCGACACGAAGTTACTTTCCTAAGATTTCTCTCCACATGCACATGAAACGTCGACTGCTAAGAAATAACGGATTGTTTTTGTATTTGAAACCGAGCCATGAGTTCTGCAGCCAACCTTGAACCAAAAAATAGTTACGCCACGGGAGGATCGCAAGTCACTTCCAAGCGAAATTACAGAAAAAAAAAATTTACGCGTAAAGTCCTGTACAAACAGTCCGACAAATATAAGATAATAGATACGAGATAACATCATTTGTATTTTCCCTTCCCTGCAGCAGTTGGCACAAAATTCGAGTTCATTCACGTGTTTATGAAAAATTTCGAGAAGGTGGGAAGGTGGGGGGTGGGGGTAGCGGGGGTAGTGAGGGATGTTTGAATGGTTTTGAAAGAAATTGAGGATGGTTATGAATAACTTTATTATGGAAATAACTTCAAACTAGTTGAAAGTTTTTCTCGAGGGTGTATGTGCCTGAAGAGCTTTGGACCAGTCCCCAGTATTCTTGACATCCAAGAGAATGTCAAAACACTACAAAAAAAAAGACAAAAATGGACATAGGATTTTTTTGAAAAGTGAAGAATAAAACGAATGGCAAATAAAGAAAATAGCAAATATCAGACTCACTTGATTAATGCACAGGGATTTGGTTCCCTTCCTCCATTTCAGATACCTATCTATAGGCAGGGCAGCATGTCGTATGTTCTCTTTAGCCGCCTTCTTTGCGGATAATCTCAAAGGGTGAGATGTATCGAAATCAACAAATGCACCAATGATGTATGTATCTTCTGTATTATATTTCAACTCATTGTCAGAATGAGGAGAAAGATAAACTAAATTTTTCCTGAAAAGCATACATACGGTATTAAGAAGATAACTGTCAACGAAATTACAGGCAGGTAATTTTATTATCAAATACCTGTCAAACAGCTCCAAATAAGATCCTGAGTGAATGTCAATGGGAACACTGGTATCAAATCCTGGATGGCTTTTCTGTAGATAATATAGTACTCTGCTATCAACATCAAGATTACAAATATGCAGGGAGAATGGTCTTCTACTTTTACGAGAACTGTAGTAACATTTTAATATCTGTAAAGCTGCCCTCTTCATTGCAATTTCATCCATATTTGCATCATATGAGCAATCTATTATAACTTTCTGGCCAAATTGCAAACCCTGAAATAAAAGGTAAATGATTGAATATGAATAGGAAAATATACTGCACATTAAGGAAGTTCAAAAATTACAGACCCTCAATGCATTTAAGTTGTAGAGCTGATTTCGATCTTGTTTAAAAAAACGCATGAAGAGGCAATTTTCATGCACTCTGTATTCTAGCCAAGGATGCTCTGATGTTGATATAGGTCTCTGAAATCTCTCCTTTCGTGGTTCCTTTGCTTTCTCTTTTTTTAACACCTCTATGTTACACAAGTAATTCAAAAATGCTTTGCGGCGTGAGACAGAAAGGCCTAACATGATCCTAAGGTTGTCAAGTGAGACTGTTTCAGGTAATCTACCTCCTTTCTCTCTTTTAACATACAGTTCAAGTGTTAGCGCGTGCAACTTTTGATTTAATTCAGGATCTCCTTGCGTGATATGTTCTTCCTGCTCCTTGGTTAAAAGGTAAGGCGAGTTATCAATCTCAGGATTTAAAGTAACATTTTTGACTGCCTGCCCTGCAGACTGAGAGCTGAGCCAATTCTGTTGAATCCGTGAAATACACAATCTGTTACTCAAACCATGACAATATACATTACTGTAGCCTTTAAGCTGGTTTGACCCAAGTTTAACAATTTGCTTCAGAACAACCCACATATTTGAGTTTGCTAATGCCTTGAATATCTGAGTCCCTTTTCTCTCTGATTCTGTTCTGCTCGTTCTGCTCTCGTTGCCTTGTACAAGAAAACCTAACCTACATTATAACTTGCAAGTGAGTCAGAACTAAATGGCTGGTTGCTTCTAAAGGTTATTTTTGAGACAAAGAGGGTCTTCTTTTCCAAGTATTCGTCCGCACTGATCCTTAGTGAGGACGACAGACAAAAGTCAAAGTTACTGTTCGAAAGAGCCGACTAGGTCTGCTGTGCTCTGAGCAGACGGCACAAAAACACAACACGTGCAGGGTCGCAGCTGATGCAGCGCAGTGTAAATATTCTCATAGCCGGTGTACCAGACGGTTAGAGGCCTCCAGTGGGATGGGTTGCCTACCCATCAGGATGAAGACAAGCAGACTTCATCGAGAACTGGGGCCAAATCCATCGTGTATTCCGAGAGGGGACGAAAACAGAGGAAGTCAATGAGGTTTCGTCACAGATAAAAAGTGGAAAAAAGCGGATTTATTTGGAAGAAAGGACACGTTGCTAGTGAATGCGCGCGAGAGCATCGTCGAAGAGCGCGGCCACGTCCCTGGCAGCCACCTTCCCGTTCGGCGTCTTGGGTATTCTCTCGACGAACAGGAGCAGGAGGCCGCCTCGATGCCCCTTGCTGCCAGCCTTGCTGCTCTGCAGACGAGGCAGGCGGCCTGGAACAGAGCGCCGCGTGACGGTGTGGGTGTACACTATGCTCGTGACAGTGACACGAAACAAGTGTCCCATTTATCTGCCTTTGACATCCACCAGGGAGGTCTGTACGGCCTACGGTGTGTACCTGCCACCTGCTGCTTGAGCTCGGCCTCGGTGACGCTGCAGCCGGGCCGGAGCACCACACAGGCCGCGGGGACGTCCCCGAGGGTGGCGTGGGGGCGGCCGATGACGCAAGCCTCGGCGACGGCGGGGTGGGATCGCAGAACGGCCTCAAACTCGCCTGGGGCGACCTGCCGCCGAACGGCCACAAATGTCAGTTGCTATATGAAGAAAAAGGTGATACGACACGCCAGGTCGACAAACTTTGGACGCACTTTGACGCCATTGCAGTTGAGCAGTTCCTTGACGCGCCCCAAGATGAAGACGTAGCCGTCCTGGTCTCGGTAGCCGAAGTCGCCGGTGCGGAAGTACCGCTGCTCGTCGAAGCTGACCGCCGACGCCACCGGCCGGTCCTTGTAGCCCTTCATGATGGCGGGGGTGTGCACCCGAAACTCGCCGGGGACGCCGGGCGTCTCGATGTCAAGACCCGAGTCCACGTCCACGATCTGGCCGCACCACCATCAGGCAGGAGTTAGGATTGGGAGCCAGTCACGTCGCTACCCTCACGGCGGCGGACTTACCCTCAAGCGCACCCCGGGCACGGCCTTGCCGACGGAGCCCGGCCTCAGGGGCTTCCGGCCCGCCGTGATGGTGAGGCACTCCGTGGAGGCGTAGGCCTGCTGGATGTCGCAGTGCAGGACCCGGGCCGCCATCTGCTCCACCTCGGCGGCGAGGGTCGTGCCCCCCGCCACCACGGCGCGCAGGCTGGGGCACGGCGCGGCCTGGGTCTGGGCCTCCTTGGCCTCGGCCTTGGCCTCGGCCCGCACCGCCTCCACCACCATCAGCAGCAGCGGCGCCGCCGTGAACCAACAGTTCGCCTGCAGCAGCGCCAGCAGCGCCCGGAGGCGAGAACATGAGCATAGCGGCAGCATGGCGCGTCCCGTTGCGGTGCGAGAGAGACAGAGCGACGAAACCGCACTTCGGCATCACAGTCTTTCATCTCTATCGCACCCCTACGAAAGGAACAGAAGCGCCTTGAGTGCATGGGGCACAGGACACAGAGCAGAACGCACGGCCTAGCCGCGCCGCGTCGACTCTTGGCTATACCACCGACTCAGCACCCAAAGTCCACCCGGCTGAAGATGGTCGCGGACTCGCGGACACTTTCCCGAAATAGCGAACGTGTTCCGCGAACGAAAGCGCGCGTCAGCCCGTCAGAGAGGATCGCGCCACGAGTAAACATCTGGCATACGCTGGGCGCGCGCGGCGTCTTATCGCGCGGCGGTACAGTAATTAAGGGCCGGATAACGGAATGGCCGGGGAACCGCGGAACCGCCAAGGCGCCAAGGGAAAGGGCCGCAAGCCGCAAACGTCAACGTCATCGGGCACACTTGGCAAACGCGTCTCGCGACTCCGCACTGCACCTGGTGGCGGCGCAGCGAGGCGAGCAGCGCGCCGGGCGTGGTGAAGGTGTCGCAGACCCTGGTGGTGGCCGTGGCGGTGCAGGACAGCAGCAGCCCCAGGCCCGACACCCAGGACATGAGCGAGGTGCACAGCAGCCGCTCGCCGCGCACGCAGCGCAGCGCCAGGCTGGACAGTGGAGGCACCAAAATGAAAACAAAAACAAAGCGCACCAGTCGAGCCGCTCCGCGTTCGCATCCTGCAGGAGCGCGTACTTGGAGTAGAGCACCCCGGTGAGCAGGCCGTAGTTGCTGATGACGATGTTCTTGGGCTGCGCCGTGGTGCCCGAGGAGAAGTAGATGGCGGCCACGTGGTCGTGGAGGTCGCCGACGTCCGCGGCGCTGTATGTGCCCACGTCGGGGGCGCCCGCCGCCAGGAACACGTCCTGCAGTGTCCTGGTGCTGTCGCCGCTGTCGCCGTCCGTCGCCACCGTGAAGCAGCTCTGGGGGGCGACCCTCGCGCCCACGCGCGCCGCCAGGTCGGCGTTGGAGGAGTCGCACAGGATGGCGTCCGGGCTCAGCTTCGCCAGCCGGGACTCCAAGTCCTCTGGAAAGGCAACGAGTCAGAAGATCTCGTCTGCGGACTGCACGCCGTGCCCAATGCGGCGAGTGTTTGGCCTGCGCGGACGCACCAGGACGCACCTTCGCTGCACGTGGGCACGATGCCGCTGACGGCGACGCCCTGGAGGATGGCGCCCAGCACGGCGGGGAACAGCATCTCGCTGTTCCTGCAGAAGACGGCCAGCGTGGAGCCCGAGGCCAGCCCCAGGGCGCGCCAGCCCTCCGCCGCGCGCACGGACAGCTCCAGCAGGGTGGCGAAGCTCATGGACTTCCCCGTGCTCGCCTCCACCTGGAACAACACGGCGTCGTGACAACCTCACACCTCACAAACCTTACAAACTATTTAAGACCAGTTTCCTCCTATGACCAAAATCCTTGGTGCGCTTTCGCCGTGATTTTAACTTTTACCTGAGCGGGAAAGTCGGCCTCCCTGGCGTGCTGCTTCAAGAGGTCCAGGAGGTAGGCGCCGACGGAGACCCCCGGGTGGGGGTTGGGGTCCGGGACCGCGGCGGGCATGGCGTGGCCGCGGTGGTGTCTTCTCGGGCTGTCAGAGTCCGGGGCGCCCTGCGTGCCTCCCTGCCCTGACGCGGTGCCCTGACGCGGTGCCGGCGTGCCGCTGATGCTGGCCACGGCTGGCCACTGCTTGCGAATGGCGCGGCGCGGCGCGGCGACGGACTGCCGACACTGATTTCGGCGGTAGATTCGCTTGCCGCTGTCAGCCCGTCAGCCCGTCAGGCCGCTGAAGTGCCGGCGGCCGACCGCCGCCTCCACCGCGAAGCGCCGAAGCACGCGGGCCGCCAGCGCCAGCCTTGCCGCCGGCAGATAAAACACTCGGCTGCCATGCGCGCCTACCGATCTGCCGGCCGCCGCACGCTCTGTGAGGACGCCAAGTGCACCGGGAAGCACAACCACACCGAGAGGGTGGCCGAACGGGTGGCTCTCAGTGAGACGGGAGTTCGACTTTCGAACCCTCCTGAAAGAGCCGAAAGGAAACCAAGCCTCATTCAGCCCGATTTTCGACCCCAGAAAGCTTCGCTTTACAAGCACTGAATGCGAGAGAGAGAGACAGAGCGACGACAGGGCGAGCGGGGTGCAGTCACGCTTGTCCCGCGGCAGCTCAATGGGAATGGAAACGGCGCTTCCGCTGCTGTTGTTGTCACTTTAAGGCCTTTAGGGTCAGTGGCTGTTGAGCGATTCCGCTACCCGTGCGAGAGAGACAGAGCGACGTTCGCGCTGGAATCTGCAAGGTTTATCCGGCGCGTCCACAGCCTGTCTCTCTCCCGCTCGGAATCAGTCGGGCGCCACGCGGGTTGCCTGTATTGTCCGTCGTCACGCTACGAGAACACACACAGGGCGACGGGGAACTCGCGTTCACAGTGTATTCTTTGACAAAACCGAGGCGCGGCTAGGAGTAGCTGAGCTTCATGTTGAGGCAGGCGAACTCCTTGGACTGCTCGTCCCACGCCTCCAGCTTGCCTGACCAGATGGCCTCCCGGTTGATGGTGGAGCTGGTCGCGCTGAACAGGGAGAGGAAGTGCGACATCTCCACCGACGCGTTCCGGAAGTGGTACAGCTTCTGCGAGAGGAGACTCTGCTTGGAGCACGCTGGCGCACAGTGGATTTGCCAGAAGACCGGTGGAGGCGGCCAAAATCCCGGACGCGTTTTGAGCTCCAGAGTCGCTAAATGGGACTCGAACCGAACGTGTAACCCCACCAATGGATTGCTCTCCGAACGAGGAATCCATTGATGGGGGTCACACGCTCGATTCGAGTCCCGTTTAGCGACTCTGGAGCTCAAAACGCGTCCGGGATTTTGGCCGCCTCCACCGGTCTTCTGGCTGAAACCCTCACACTGTCCCGGCTCGGCTTCCACTTCCGACCTTGTCGAGCGGGCACTGGAACGGGGGCTGCGCCCCTGAGAACAGCGGCGACCAGAAGGCGAAGCGGTCCGCCACGATGGCGCACACGCCCGCCGTGAAGCGCATCGTGTAGAAGTGCTTGCAGGGCTTGCCGGCCAGGCACTGCACCAGCTTCAGCGACGCCTGCAACCGCCAAACCAACAGCAAAGCTTCTCATTTGCACCCGACTCGAGTGGCGAGGGTTGGCAGTCTTAGCGAGTCCCAACCTTGGATATGGTGGCCACGGGCTTGGGCATCACGACGTCGAACCAAGCCTGGTAGTTGTTCCCCCAGCGGACGATGCTGAAGTTGTGCACGCTGACGGACTCCTGCTGCACCACCTCGGGGCAGACCTTGAGCTCCAGCGGCTTTATCTCAAAGACGTGCGCCTGCTTCTCGGGTCCCTGGGCAGAGCAGAGTGCAGTGGATGAGACAGCGCCGAGCCGTGCATCAAACTGACGTCACCTCGGCGTAGCAATTTTTTCTGAAATCGGTCATTTTGTTCAGGTCGAGCTGACGTCATTTTGACTTTCCCGGCGCTGGACACACTGGCAAACGGAAAGCCCTTTACTTGGGTGCCACACGCCGATCCGAACAGGGCGGCCAGGAGCGTCCAGAGCGCGGCCACCATGTGCAGGCGGTGCAGGCGGTGTGGGCCGTCTTCGGTCGCTGCAGGCGTTCGACCAGGTCGACGAGGTCCTGGTGGAGGCCGAGGTTCGGGCCGAGGCCCCGCATGCCGTGGTGGTGGCCCTGGTGGCGCTGGCGGCCTCGGTGGCGTCGGTGGCACTGGTGGCCGTGGTGGCGAGGCGCGCGCCCACCTCGGCGGCTGCTGCTGCTGGAGGTGGTGAGCTCGCCAGGACTGGCGGTGTGGCATGCTCCACTGCACCGCTCCATCTGTCTGGACCGCGGCAACGCCCGCCAGCCCCGCCAGCCCCGCCAGCCCCGCCAGCCCGCCAGCCCACAGTGCCCGCAATGCTCGCACGCAAACTCCTCTGATGACTGGAGAGGAGAAGGAACGCCGAAAATCGCCGCCCACAAAATTTTAAACAGTTTGAACACTAAGGCGTAAAAAACAACAACAACAAAAACAACCAAGCCTGTAGGTGCAGATTTGACATCCGCTGTGATGGGGGAATCACTGTCCGATAGTGGAACGTAGTGAGGTGGACCCACTATGAGGAGACCAGTAGAAGATCTTCTATGTTTACTATCAGATAACAGATTCCCCATATCGTTCAGAGGATCTTTTTTTTCTCTCAAAAGGTCCACTACGGTCTACTATCAGACATTGGATTCGTAATCACACATCCTGCGTCATAGAGGATTCGAAATCTGCGTCGACATCCGTAGTTTTTTTTTTCATCTGGGGCCTCTTTACGTTTGTTTGACTCATCGTGGGAGCGAACTTTGACAAACCGGGCAGCTGATTTTGATTTCAGTAAGTGCCCCGACGCTTTCGACTCTTTCTCTCCTCACTCGTTCGAGTTCTGGACAGTGTGCCTAATATCCGACTTGGCCGGGCCGCGGGCCGTCCGTGCCGACCGCTTGGGCGGCTTGGGCGTTGTCGGCGATCTCGGTGTCTTTGTCGCTCCCGAGGGCCGCGTCGCCAGAGAGTGCGAGGGAGAAGGCGGATCAGATCTGGTCGCTAGCGCCGCTAGCGCCGCTAGCGTGCGGCACCGTCATTTCGCCGTGCACGTTCGCGTTTGCATGAGCGATTCCCTCGACGAGATGTGTGCCCAACGACAACAGCTTCAATGATTGAACAAAAAATGTCTCGGGAATAAAAAAAGAAGAGCGAACGAAGCGAGGGGCGCGCCCTCGTGCGCCGTGACAAACAGCTCGATGATTTTTGTAGAATCGCATTGATTTTACTAAAAAAAAGTTTTCTTTAAAATCTCTAAAAAAAAAAGTCAACACGTCCAAAATCGTTGTGACTTAAATTTTTTTCTTTAGGTTTGACCCGCTGCGGTGGTTCCGGGTTTTCGAGGCCCCTGCCGTACTTGTGCACGCACACGCACGAGCTGGCCGACGCCCGCCACGGCCTGCCACGTGCCTCAACACGTGCCCCTCGACAAGGGTGGCGTGCGCGGCGAGACGAGACGGCCACCTGTTCAGGCTTGACCCTGACGAGGGCTGGGCCAGGCTAGGCCCTTGAAGGCCGTGAAGGCCAGGGCGCGGGCCGGGCCACCTTGCATACGCCTGCACGGCCTGCACCCCGTCTCGGGAGGAGGGCGGAGGGGGCGGCGGAGATTTGGCGGAGTGCTGGGTGCGGCCGGTCGGCCTGCCGCTTGCCGCGGCGCTTGGCTGACGTGACGTCCTGCGGGGGCGGCCGGGCGGCCGGGCGATGAGGTCCGCGACGGCCGGCAACGCGTCACCCGCGCTAACAGACTTACAGGAAGCCCTGCAGGGGCGCGCTACGCCACGCCGGGGCACCGCCACCGACCCGGGGACCCGCAGGGGCTGAAGCGGGCCGAAGTGGCCGCGCTACGTGGCTGCGGCCTGAATGGCGACCAGGACGGCCGGGCACAGGCGCGGGCAGGGTGGGCGGCGCGGGGGCAGCGAAGCCCATATAAGGGGGCGGCGCCACCTGCGGAGGCCAGTCCGTCGGAGTGTGTTGTGCAACGGGGAACGGCAGTGACAGTGCCAACATGGTGGTCAACTTCAAGGTGTTCAAGAAGTGCTCCCCGAACGGCAAGGTGACGCTGTACCTGGGCAAGCGCGACTTCGTCGACCACATCTCGGGCGTCGAACCCATAGGTAAACACGGACCGTCTCCGCGAGCGCGGGTCGCGGGTCCTTGAGCGCGTCGTGTGGCTGCCGCAGATGGCGTGGTGACGGTGGACCCGGAGTACCTGCAGGGCCGCAAGGTGTTCGGCCAGGTGGTGTGCTCCTTCCGCTACGGCCGCGAGCAGGACGAGGTCATGGGGCTCAACTTCCAGAAGGACCTGTTCCTCGCGTCCGAGCAGGTGTACCCGCCGCCCGAGAAGCTGGACAGGAACAACACGCGACTGCAGGTGGGTGGAGGGAGGTGGAGTGGAGCGCCTGACGAACGCAGCGTAGGCCAGCCCGCCGAACACGCGTGGCGTGGCAATGCCTACCTCCCAGGCGCTTCTCACGCTTCCCCTCTTACCGCCGCAGGAGCGACTGCTGAAGAAGCTGGGCCCCAACGCCGTGCCCTTCGCCTTCAACGTCCCCGCCAGCGCGCCGGCCTCGGTGATGCTGCAGCCGGGCGCGGAGGACGAGGGCGAGCCGTGCGGCGTGCAGTACTACGTCAAGATCTTCGTCGGCGAGACGGAGACGGACCGCAGCCATCGAAGGTGCGCTCTCTCTCTCTCTCGCTGTCTTTCGAGCGCGTGGGACACTGCAGTCCGCGTCACCGCTGGGTTTCTGTGAGTGCAGGAGCAGCGTGGCCATGGGCATCAGGAAGGTGCAGTACGCCCCCTCCAAGCAGGGCCGGCAGCCCTGCACCGTGGTGCGCAAGGACTTCATGATGAGCCCCGGCGAGATGGAGCTCGAGGTGACCCTGGACAAGCAGCTGTACCACCACGGCGAGAAGATCGCCGTCAACATCTGCATCCGCAACAACAGCAACAAGGTCGTGAAGAAGATCAAGGCCATGGTGCAGCAGGGCGTCGATGTGGTGCTGTTCCAGAACGGCCAGTACCGCTCGTCCATCGCGTCCATGGAGACTCAGTCAGTGTTTCAAGTTCGCCCTTAACCAGTTTTAGCGTGTGTCGGACGATGACGCCTTGGTTGTTCTGCAGGGAGGGCTGCCCCATCCAGCCTGGGTCGTGCCTGCAGAAGGTCCTCTACCTCACCCCCACGCTCAGCTCCAACAAGGACCGGCGCGGCATCGCCCTGGACGGACAGATCAAGAGGGAGGACACCAACCTCGCGTCCTCCACACTGTAAGTCGTTGAAACACGTTCGGCAAATGTCCGGTCCGGAAGGAGGGACTTTCAAATTTGTTCGTTCCGACTCAGGCTCGCCTCGCCGGACCAACGCGATGCGTTCGGCATAGTCGTGTCGTACTCCGTCAAGGTGAAGCTGTTCCTTGGCGCTCTGGGAGGAGAGCTCACCGCAGAGTTGCCATTCGTGCTCATGCACCCCAAGGTAAGTTATTCCACGATTTTTTTCAATTCTCCAGCTCCAATTTACGCTAAAACTTCATGCTACGTGGCTGTTCTTGAGCCATAAATTGATGGTGCTGTCTCATTTTCCTTTCCAGCCCTCGAAGGTGAGACTGGTGCACGCGGACAGCCAAGCCGACGTCGAGTGTTTCCGCCAAGACACCGTCGACTGCGCGGATGTGGAATTTGCGGTTCAGGCGTGTTAATGTTTAAATCTCATCATTTATGGCCTCGATTGACTTACTCCAATTGCAAAGAGTGCCACAAAATTGAATTCACACTTTATATTTTTGCTACATGTACAATGTAAGGTAATGCATCTTTGAATTTTGGAGGAATTTTGAAAATAATGGATAGGGTTTGTATTTTAATATGTATTTTTGGCAGACTGTGCATTGAAGAGTTCCGCAATGTGGGATTGAAATAAAAATATTAAGTAAAATTGTTTTGGCAAAATCAAATTTATTTGATTTCATGTTAATGTACCTATAAATTATCACAATATGTTCCAAAATGAGCCATTATGAACTACTTGAAGCCAAAAGGCAATCATCTAACAGCTTCATTTTGTCTTTGCTGACAATGTCAAACTTAAAACAAGTTATTCAGAAACAGTGTTCAGGTCTTCTTTAACATATCCATCTCCCACTTCACTGGCCGGACCACTGGTGGAAAGCGGTACAGGGGCTCTGAAAAAGAAGGAAACAAATAAAACAAGAGGAATTGTATGCAAAGAAATAAGACTAATTTTTGGTTGGAAACATACCCAGTAAGGTCATATCTAATTGATTTGTTGAATTGGAGCTGATACTTGATGCGAGCATGTTAGATGTTGCATTGGGTCCAAATGCCTGCTGAGAATTGTAGCCAAGACTCAAAGAAGGCAACCAAATTTTATTGAAGCTTGATTCCATAGCTTTCAGAGTTTTGGATAGTGAGTTTTGAAGATCTTCTGCAGTACTATCATCTCCAAAATCCACAAGAGTATTGCTCAAGGAACTAACCTCCTCTTTAGGACAGAAAGAAAATCACTTGGTATCATTCAAATAATCCTTGTGAGAGTTACTGGGAGTACTTCAGTTTCTTATCATACCTCTCAAAGAAAATGATGAGGAAATACATTGATGTAAAGCATACAAAAGAGCCAACTCTTCATGAGGGTTTCCCTTCTTCAGACTCAGGATTTTACGTTCATGCTTTCTGCGGTTTTTGCTTGATCTGTTACTTCCAGATGACAGGCTAGGGCAGGAGGAATAAAATCAATAAGTGGCACTGATATATTCAGAAATTCCTCCTTAAAACCTGTGTTACAGGGCTCTTAAAATTTGCTTACCTTGAAGAGCCTTTAGACGACAGAGAACTGCCTGTCACACTACTTGTGTCAGACAGCAAATCACTTTCACCATAGCCATCAACATCACCATCTGAAAATGCCAATTTATATTAGTTCAGAAAATTGAGCAAAAATTAAAATTTAACAAGCAGCACACAGAATGTCACCTTGAGCCTCCAGTCTCTCGCGGGCAAGCTGTTTCTCTCTCCTCAATTCCACAAGTCTGGAGTAGTGGGTATTAAACAGATCAGCAGCGTTTTTAACTTGGGTAGAAAGTGTCTCCGCGTACTCCAAAGCTGACGGATGGATGACAGTTTCTGTAAGATAGATTAAATATTAGGTACTTCATAGAACAGAAAAGAAAAAAAGAAAAAAGAAAAAAAGAACTCAAAACAGAGCATACCCAAGCAACTCAGTTGGAATGTGGTTGCAATTCTTTGAGCTTCAGGCCAGAGATGGCCAAGGCAAAGTGCTTTCACAGCCTCCAATGGTTGCTGTAAATATGTATGATAAATAATTGCTGCCTCTTCAAACTGGCAAGCTCCTTGAAGAGCAGTTGCGAGATCACCGAGTAGCTCTTTAAGGTCTTCATCACTAAAACAAATTATACAATGAAAGGATATAAATTACTTTTGTATTTAAGGTCAAAAACGGGAAAAAAATACAATTTTTTGACAAACATGATTTTAGCGGCAGTAGCATCTTGAATACAATTTCTCCAAGCTAAGGCCTTCTGATGTGACAACATAGCATTGAAGAAATCACCAGCTCTTCGGTACATGACTGCTGCCTCTTTGTACAGACGTTGAGATGCTAGCTTATCTGCATAAGCTGATGCAATCATTTTAAACCTGTTTTACAATCAAGGAATGTAATTTTAGAAGAAGAAATGTAAGCAAGTAAATGAAAATGAAGTAATAAATTGACAAACATTATACCTTTCATCTGAATTTGGCAAAGCTCGTAGTGCTTCTCTGAACAATCCTTGGTTCACAACAAATTGAAGCAACTCATCAGTATGATCATCTGGACATTGAATGAGATTTAATAAGGCTGATCCCCATTTTCGCAGGTGTTTGTCTACGCTGTAGCGTTGATAATTAGGTTCCATTTCACGTAATTTGTTGAGAAAGGCCAAATATTCCTTGGGATCCTTCTGAGACTTTGAAGCAACAAGGACAACCAGATTGAAGTCATACATGCCCAAGGCTGCATCCATCAACTGGTTCACATCCCGCAGATACAACAAATGTCGTAATGCTGAAGTCCAAGGCACAGCTCCCTCAGCTTTATCCTCTGACTCTTTCAAGGTCTTAATTAATGTCAAAGCTGATTCTAGTCCACCAGGCGTACTTTTCAGGACTAATGCAGTAAGAATCGGGAGAGTCAACTTGGCTGATTCTGAATCATCCATTTTTTTTACAGATGCCAGGAATGCATCACAAACTGTGTTGATTTTATCAGGAAGTGATGCTGATCGAACATCAGGATAATGAGCTTTGTACATTGTAGTTGTACAGTCTTCGTCCTGCAGCTCAGCAAGGAAGAGACACAGCCATTGAGGATTGGTGACACGTTTAACAAACATATCAATATTTTGAAGGAATAGATCTGCATCATGATCGACAAATAAATTCAAATTGATTCTTTGTTTGCGGGCCAAGTCAAAGGCTTCAAAATAGGATTGGGAGTTTAACAAAATGGCTAATTGGCAAAGAGACAGTGCTCTTGGTTCAATGCACTCAAGATTACCACGAGGCATCTGCAGAATAACTCGATTTCCATCAGGAACAACAACAACTAAACGTGATCCTCTCTCAACTTTCCTTTCAGCAACACCGTAACTGTAATATAAATACAAAAAAGAAAGCTTTAATTTATAACTGTAGATATTTTTTTTAAAAGCTCTAAATTTAGAGTTAAATAATCAACTATTTACCTCACTATCTCTGCACTTGATTTTGACAAAGATAAAATTGATGCTCTTTTTAGAGGGCAGCAAAACAGTTGTTGCTGAGATGTGGTGAGGAGCAGGAACTGAGAATGCAAGTCGACAGAGGTAACGTTGCTCATCACTAAGTCAGTGTTGGCATAGAGTCGATTATGGTTGGCAAGACCAAGGATAATCTCCTGACCACCATTGGTCTCCTTATCCACTCTACACGCCACCATTTTCACAACAGGATGAGGAAAAGTGAACATTTCCACCAGTGCATCTGAATCGATGGAGTAGCTTAAAACTTTACCGTCTGACAACTGGATGTATGCAATGTTGGTGTCCACACCCATTGCTATTGATTCAACATTGCTCAAGAGAGCAATTTTCTTCCTATTAAATTCAAAGACAAAGTTTCAAAAATTAATCATTTGGGTTTCAGTGATTTTTCAAGTTGGTTAATTATATATTTACACTGTTTACGTACTTCAGAGAAATTCGACCAAACTCTACAGCCCCCAAAGGATCCATTTCAAAAACACACAAATGTGACTGATTATCAAGTGTGGTGCTGCAAAGCATTGAATCACGGGACACCCAAGTCCAATGGTGGAAACAATGACTGGGAATGGTTTGATCACCCTCCCACTCTATCTGGTATGTTCCTAAAAAACAAAACAAAAATAGAAATTAGCCATATGCAAATGCAATGTTAAATTATTCAAATCTATTATTTAAACTTGCCAGCCAGTGTGTGACTTGGGTTTGGTGCTCGAGGTCCCCCAACATAAGAATAGGCAGCAAACAAGCCATTACTCAAGAGGACGCAGAAGTTGTTTGGATTTGAACTTAAGGATTCAACAACTTCTCCAAACCTAAATGTGAAGAAATTGATCAATAGAAACATTTTTCATCACCTTTTAATAATATTCAAAATGTAATATTGAAATACCCTGAGTCTTCTGTGGAGCTTGTATTGAGGTACCGGCATTCAAGTTCTTTTGCAGACGGTACGTGTTGGGGAGCAAATACTACTTCCAAAGCTGGGGCAGCAAGTTTCAGTGTTGTACCACACATGGGAGGTGGTATCACATTATAGCGAAAAGATGTTAGTAACAGAGAATCTGCCAAAAAAAAAAAAAAAAAAAAAAAAAGTTTATATGCAGACAGTTGTACAGCAGAAGAAAAGCTACAGAGTTTGCTAACCAACCTCCATCAATCACTCCAACAAAAGCACCATCAGTGTTGGTCATTCCATTGCTGTGGTCTACTCGCCAAGAGAATTCATAACTAATATATTTGGCTCCCGTGCAAATAATATGTAATCTGTTTCCCGAATCCATATCCCAACGAGCAGCGACAGGGCTGAGCTCAGACTTCAAATCTATTCTTTGCTTCAAGTACCAGTGATAATTGTTAACAGTCCACAGCAGAAGGGTATTCTGCCCAGCTACCAACTGCAAAAGGGAATTATTTCGTGAATTTATACAAAAGATATCATGAGAGACAATGAATGGCATTTGATGCTTACCCCTGCTGGTGGAGGAACTCCCTCTAAAACCTGACACCACACTAGAAGAATGCTCGATTCTGCATTCCATAAAAGTTGGCGAACACGTACAGTGTCCAAAGCAAAGGGAAGAGTGAAATCTCCATGTCTTAAACCATTTTTTTCCAAGAAGCAGACCACATGCTTGTTTGGCATTCTTTGGGTACAAGCCATAAGGTTACCCGAAGGCCTCCAAGATACCACTCCTTCCAAGCCTGCAAAGAAATATGCAACAAATGAAAAATTGAACAAACAAATAAAGAATTATAAAGAGAAAAAAAGATTTTGTTCTAACTGGGGGCTTACCAGGAATGCGCTCACTAGTGTACATCAAATCTCCTTTCCTATCAAATACACGGACAAAGCGCTCGCCCGTCTCTTGATTTACAGAGTTGACAGCAAACAATGAACCATCTCCTCTCCACGTTATTTGAGGAAGTCCTGAGTCAAATTTTGATATTGGCGCAGCTTGGGTCGTTGATTTGGCTAGAGCTGCAGCTTTTCCTTCAGAGCCATGAAACTGGGTCTCCTTCTTCCCCCATCCAACTGTTATAAATCTGTTTTCTCCAAACTCTTTTTGCTGCAAATCTGTTTCATTGATAGGATCGAATGAAGCTGTCATAGTTATAACAGTGTTCTGGGCTGTCACCAGTACCAATACATCTTCGTCTGGACTAGGCTCCATGAGCTGCAGTCCTGATTCAACGAAACCAACACATTCTACTTCCCCAAGTGTCGATGCACTGAGGCTCAACAAGTCTCCTTTGTCGACTGCCAGACAGATGGTATCTGTCACTTGAAAATAACACATTCCCACGATTGTGGGAACAGGTTCTTCATTACTGTAGTACTCAGTTGAGCTGAACAGTTCCACAAGAGTTTCACCCTCGGGTGAATATCTGTACACAGTGCCACAACTTTCCACAAAAACAGCATTCTTAATGTGGTCTATAACTAGCAGTTTCTGGGAGTCTTCGGCAGTGGCGAGCTTCAGCCCAGGGATGGAATACTCCCTATGATTGCTCACAAATAAATTCCTCATCTTGGGTTGAAACAATCAAGTCTTCTTGAATAAACAAGCAAAATAAACTTGAGTTCTAACCCCCGTGAGTCAGGTGTGTTGTGCGGCAGAACAACACCTCGGAGTGCTCCAGGTTTGCGAACGCAGCGGCAAGACACACAACATTTCAGGATCGATTTAAAAAGGTTATTTGCCCTACAAAACAGAGAATAAATCACCATTTTTCCGATGTTGCTTTGGTGAAAACAGTCAGAGAACTTTGCTGTCGCTTGCATCTTTTGATAATTTCCAGAAGTTTGAAAGAAATTTACATTACGCCAAGACACAACATGGACAAACTGATAAATTTTGGTGCTATATCCGGTCGATTTCTCAAAGATTGAGAAGGCGCCGACCGGGTGTTCAAGAAGTTCAGCTGTTTAGTGGGTCTTGTCCTCTGCAGTAAAATGGCTGCTCTAGCACTCGGTTTTAGAAGATCTTTGGCACTTAGTGCCCGAGCTTTCCTAACAGTCGCTCCCAAAGCGGCTGCTAGCTCTATTTCCAACAATCACCTGCACACGAAGCAATGGAATGGCCCACAAACATCTTCCCTTCTCGTGTCAAAGCAGGTGGGTCCATGTCTGCCTCTATTTCCTAACTTTTCGCCTTTATCGGCGTTGTTTTGTATCTTGCTTCAACTCTCTAAGCGTTTACTTATCTTTCTTAGTTGCCATATCTCTCTAGAAATTCGTGCCATTGGCTGGCAAATCTTTTCTTGTCGTATCTTGTGTATTGAAGGTTAGGGATGCTTTGGCACCTTGATGCGGTGCCGTTTACAAAGTTATCAAGTTTCTCATCGCGAGCTGTTGTTTCATTCATTTCTACTTCCTTCTTTATAGAATTTTAAAACGCGAACCACTCAATGTCGTCTATTTTACGCCACTGACGAATTTTGTCTTTGTTTCCCTGCAAGCTCAAGGTACAGCTACTTCAAAATTATTCATCGAAACCCATCTCTATTGATGATCTTCAAGAGAGAGTTTTGACTCTGCTGCGCGCGTTTGACAAGGTCACTGCGGAAAAGGTACACACATAATTTTGTTAATGTCTTTATTTTCATTTGCAGACAACGGCTCTGACTCGATTTTATTCTGGAGCACCACCTTTGACACTGGACCTCATCCGGGATAGAACACTTCTTGTGCTTAAACTTTTTGACAAGATCAATCCTGAAAAGGTAGAGAAATTCTGTATGACGAGCTCGTTGTTTGTTTAATCAATAAGTTTTAAAACATTGATTGATGTGTAAATCTTTAAATGCTTCACGTTTTTTGTTTGTTACAGCTGACTGTGGACTCTCACTTCATTAATGATTTGGGTTTAGACTCCCTGGATCATGTTGAAATTATCATGGCAATTGAGGATGAATTTGGTTTGTATTCAATCAACCCCTTTGAAAATAAATCAATGTAGTGCCACATTGTTAGACCATTTTTTTAACAAATCCTTTTTTCTTTATTTGTAGGTTTTGAAATCCCAGATGGTGATGCCGAGAGGTTAGCCAAACCAGCAGACATTATTCGCTACGTTGCCGATAGAGAAGATATTTATGAATAATGTGTGGTTTTCTCTTAGCATGTTATTGTTAATTGTGTACATAAGTAGTGCTGTTGTGGTGCAATGTTAATGCCTTTGTACATCCCAAAAGTGATGCACTATCAATTGTGGACAAAATGTGATTTTCAAAAGGTCTAGTTCTGTTCAAAAAGAGTAAGTACCCTGTTCACCTTCATTGATTCCTAGCAGACACACATGTTGTAATAAAGATTTCTTTGGAAGTGTATTTTGTTCCTTGGCTTCTACCTGGCATGTCCATACGGTACAGTACTAAGTAAAAACATGTAAAACTTATGTGCTACTCACATTTTGTCTTTATCCGGTCTGCCTTTTTTTTTATATCTATAAAAATTTACCAATAAAATTTGAAAAGAATTGATGAAGTCTTTTTAGCACCTGAACCTTGTATGAATAAAGTAGAACCATGAAGTTTGAAAGCATTTATACAAAGAAACAATCACAGATTAGACAATAAAATTAACAATGATTGGATTGGAATGTCTTTCCAATACTGGGAAACAAAATAAAATTGATATACATACATATAAAAACTACCATTGCCAGATCAAATCCTTACTCATTAAAGAAGATGCTCTTGAACTGACTATCACAGAGTTTCTTAACTTCCTCTGTAAAGAGAAGAGACAAGTGAGATAAAAACAACAAAAAACAAGAAAGAGTGCCTGAAGTATATACTTACCATTAATTTCAATAAGGTTGGCATTTTTGTGGTGGATGACAACATAAAATTCACGTAGATTGGATAACTTTCCCACAACCCAAAAGTCATTCATTGTTTTAACAATTGTTTCACCTGTGGTTGGCTTCCTATAAAGAGAGAAAAAAGTCATAATTCCTACAAAAAATTGATTAAGTAATATCTTCTCTGGAAGAACCAACTTACCTTTCCATAAAATCTGCATTTACATCAGCTAATATTCTAAGAACATCTACAGGTACTGATATGTTACCACTTTTCCTGTTATCTAAATGTATAGTGCTCTTTTGAGCACGGTTTAATTGATTGAAGTACACAAATCTGCACAGGAATCACATTGCTTTTAAGAACCATCTGACAATAAAATCAACACAATTTACCAAAGAATTATAAACTTACTTTGCTCCAGATTCTGCAGATGCAGCACTTGCAACACTGTGATTAAATTGTTCAGCTATTTCTGATCCAAGTGATGTGAGCCTATGACCCAGAAAAATATCTAATCTCTGAAAGAAGTCCATTTCTAGAGAAACTGCCTCTGAAAAATTAACAGAAATTAGACTTAATTTTTTTTAAGGCATTGAGAAATTTGAAACCTTACCATCAATAAAAAGGCAGACAGTTGCATTAAGGGCCCGGTAAATTACAAGATGACAAATCACTGGGCCGTCATCATTCTTTAAGTAGACCTTAGGTATTTTACCAACATCATCGCCTTGCAGATTAGAGGGTCCAGAGACAAACCTGCTGACAACAGCACACAGATTCATAGCGAAACAAGCAACCAACAATCCATTCAGAGAAAAAAATTGATAAAAACTTACCTCCCAAAATGCAGTGCAGAAAAAGCTGCAGATTGACGAGGCATTGGTCCACCTTGCAGTTCTGTCTCCATCTGAGCAGGAAGTAAGCTGGTGATGAGGTAACGATACATTGCTTGCATATCGTCAGGTTCCAAGCCACTCCTAATTTGAAAAGATCGGAAATGAGAAGAATGGATAGTTGGAACGCACACATGAGAGAACAGAAAGTAAAGAAATGAAATTCATACCATACAAGCTGATCATTGTAGAGAAATGCTGTATGCCTTACTTTAGGGAAGGAGCATTCCAGCAAATTAACAAGAGTTTGAACATGAAGAAAGGTCTTTTTATCCAAGGGTAAAAATTGGATACCATGGAATACATCTAAGATATCAGCATGTTGTGGCTTTAACTTTATCAAGTACTGTAAGTGGAAAAATAAAATCGTGCTCATTTAAACAATGGAACAATAAGGAGCAAATTTTGAAACACCAATTATATTTGAAACGAAACATTACCTTAGCAAAGAAGTGGTCCAATTTGTATCTTAGCTTTGTTGGATCTTTTTCAGAGTCTAATATATTACTGAAGCTACCATTGAACAATTGAAAGCTTCTATATGCCTGTTTTAAAACTGCCCAGTAGATATTGTCTTGAACTTCATCACTCTGATACTCAAGGTGGTCAATGCCTTCTTTTGTTTTGGTTGCGGTAGGGACAGTTAGAACCTGAAAAGAGAAAAGACAAACTTATGGCATTAAAAAAAAAATAACTAGAGAGAGCATAAAATCGAGAGATACTTACCAAGACCATCCAAAATCCGTCTTCTGGTTGATAGTAGAGTTGCCTTGTCTTTTGAGTATGCAATGATTCACATTGCTGGTTGCAATTAAATGTTCTGTTTCACAACAAAATTTTACAAAGTTTAGAGAAGATCCTACAGGAGTTAAAACTGCAAGTCCACAAAGGATTTACTCACTCTGTGAATTTAATTATGGCCTCTGTGAGTCCCACGTTTTTAATTTGCGAATCCAAATCTGTTTTCGTAGGATAATAGTAGAGGATTTTCTGCGCCTCCTGCAACCAAATGCCAGAAATTGAATTAACGTTTAAATAGGTCATAATTTCGGTTAAAAAATCTGGTAGACTGAAAGTAGACTTTTCTGTAATAAATTTAGAAGATTAGCTTCAGCAATAAATCAACAAACACTAACCTCCCCCTCCTTCTGACCATAGCTCGAGTTGTAGATGTAAAAATACTTGAGAGACAGGGGAGAGTCATGTGCCATACTTCAGTTCCTTGCGTAGCTGTTGAAAATATCACCAAATAAGGAACCCCGTTAAGAGTACCCGTCAACAGCCCCTAAATAAATAACGGGAGACATCTAGTTTGACAGCCGACTCTCTCAATTTTCTTCTGCTTTATTTTTTATGACAGTGTCTTTGTATGAAAAATAAATGCAAACAGCTGAGAGATGAGAAATTTAGTATTGCACAACTTGTTGTTTTTGCTTTCTGCTGTTGTTACTCAGTTGAGGCTTTTTGAAAAAAGTGTTGTATCTTGCACCACGAATTCTGTCAAGTATTAGCAGTTCAACAAGATGACATCAGGTTTTAGTGGAGTGCTTCAGTTGACTGACCTTGATGATTTTATCACACCATCCCAGGTATGATGTTTTTGCATATAAGGTTACTTGACATTTGTTCATTTATTTGGTTTTTTACTAAGCATGTTTTGTTTGTTTCAGGAATGCATCAAACCAGTCGTGGTTGAAAAAACCCCATCAGCAACGGGAGCAAAAATAAAAATCCAGGACGATGGATCATATGTTCAAATGAACGATGTAGGTTTCGAGTCACTTCCTAACGGTGGTGAATAGTCGCTGCTTCAATCAAAGATTTGTGTTCCTGTTGTCTCGTTGTCAAGCTGGACTAATAATACTTGCATTTTAGGTGGGACAAGCACAGAAGTTGCAGAGAGTCGACATTACGTTAAGTGACTGCCTTGCCTGTAGTGGGTGTATCACTTCAGCCGAAAGTGTTCTAATTACTCAACAAAGTCAAGATGAGATGTTAAGAGTTTTCGAAAACAACAAAAAGCTGAAAGAGGTTTGGGATTTTATTTAGATGACCTTTTTCTCATTTCAATCTTGTCGTATCTTGTCTAATTTTTACACATTCATGATGTGTCTTTTCTTTTTCAGGCTGGCAATGCCAGTGAAGCCAAACTTATAGTGGTGTCAATATCTGTGCAGCCAGTCTTGTCCTTGGCTGCTCGCTTTGGTCTTGCACCTCAGGATGCCTTTTCTAAGCTGTCAGGTAATTATATTTCTTGAATGATGAATTTTCATGATATAAATTGATACTTGCTTGTAAGTAATTATGTCAATGTTGCCCTTTCAGGCTACCTCAAAAGTATTGGAGCAGATATTGTTCTAGACATGACACTGTCTGAAGATTTATCTCTTCTTGAAAGCGAAAATGAATTTCTAGAGCGATTCAGGTCAAAGCTTGATGGCTCTAAAGCAATTTTGCCAATGTTAACTTCTTCATGCCCTGGTAAGACATTGGCTAACAACAGCTTTCTTCTTGAAAATATAAAAGGTTTTTGTATTCAATCTTGTTTTCTTTCGTTCTCAAAGGCTGGGTTTGCTATGCAGAAAAAACACATGGATCATTTATTCTGCCTTACATCAGTTCAACTAAGTCACCTCAACAAATTCAAGGCACATTGGTCAAGCAATATTTAGCAAACACCAAAGGCTATCGAGCAGCACAAATCTACCATGTTACAGTCGAGCCGTGTTATGACAAGAAACTTGAGGCAAGCCGCAGTGACTTTTTCAGTCAGACCGAAGATAGTCATGATGTCGATTGTGTAATAACCTCCCGTGAGTATATTGAAACTTGCATAGTTGTTATACAGTAGTTTTCACATCATTTTCTACACTCTTTCTATACACTCTATTTTGTTTCTATTGGTACAGTTGAATTGGAGCAAATGCTCACATCCCAGAATTTGTCTTTGGCTGAGGTTCCTCCATCAGACATAGATTTTCCATGGCTGGAAGGCTCAAGTTGTGTTGAGCAGGCACCGTATCGTGGAACTCTTGTTAGACACAGGGGAACAGGCTCTGGTGGATATGCTGATCATGTGATGGCTGTTGCCGCACAGGAACTGTTCCAAGAAAGTGATGCACAGTTCAACTTCAAAGTTCTTAGGTCTGCTGCTTCTTACTCTATTGTCATTTGAAAGTATCACCCTTTTTGGATTTTGACACTAATTTTAAGATTTTTCTCTCCAAATCAGGAATTCAGATTTTCGAGAGGCCATTTTGGAGAAAGATGGGCAGGTAGTGCTAAGATTTGCTGTAGCTAATGGATTCCGTAATATTCAAAACTTGGTGCAGAAATTGAAAAGAGGAAAATGTCCCTATGATTTTGTAGAGATTATGGCTTGCCCTTCAGGTCAGATGGCTGATTTTTTAGTTCTTTTTTAAACCTTGGCTGTTAATGTTTTGTTTCATATTGATGGAAATTTTTTGCAGGTTGTCTTAATGGAGGAGCTCAAGTGAGACCTCAGGAAGGTGGTCTTCAAAAGGAACTGACAGCTCACCTTGAAAACTTGTATGAGGGGCTGGCTTCTCACAACCCAAAATCAAATCCACTCGTACAAGAAATATACAGTTGGCTGGGGGGTGCAGGCAGTGATAAGACTGTAGCAAATCTTCATACCAGTTATCACGCAGTTGAGAAAATGAATACAGCCCTCAATATCAAGTGGTAGCAATATTGGGAAAGATTATTTTTATCACTGTTTCTAATTATTATGGGAGGGTAGAAATAGCTGTGAAGCATGAATTTTGGAAATAAATTTATTACATATAGGCAGTGTCATTCCAGGTTTTTAAGTTCATGTCTCTTCTTGATGACAAAAAACCCACATAGAAAATAAATAAAAATATTTACAAAAATTACAAAGCTGTTCATTTTTCCCAGCTTTTCAGAAAAAAAAAATACCAATAATAATACTGTCAATAGTAACTTACTTCATGAGATGAAATTGGCCTTGAGCATTACACTTCTGACAAAACACCTGATTTGATGTTAAATTTTAACACATTCCCAACTGAATCTATTGTGAAAACAGAACTTACATTTGGATACATAAAGTGTTCTGGTATGCAAAATTTTGGGACTCCACTGTTTTGATTGAATCTCCAGTGGAGAATTGACTTGGCATTTTCGGCTCTCAGATCCACTACCCGCAAACCATGCGTTGAAAATATGCATCTGTGAATCAAACAACAAAATTGAGGCAGTCCATCAATCAGCATTGGAATGGATGAAAGGAACTCAAAGGTTACCTGGATCTGTCACATGAGATGCCACTGATGTTTTCCTCATTTGCATTTGGGTTTATCCACCTGAAACAAATTTCAAAAGAATCAATTACTGCGTTTTTTTCTCCCTTCTCCATCTCTCTAAAAAAAATAAAAATAATTGTAATCAATGAAAACAAGGAGGGTCTTACTTGTCGTAAGCTAAAAGTGCCAAACAGCTTTGAGGCCAAAATGATGCATTATCTTGGCTGTCAAAAGTTGGCTCAGGTATGCAGACTTCATGAAGAAATTGAAAATTAGCTGTGTTGTTGGGGTGAAGGTTCTTGGACTGCATGGTGTTTAAATTGAAAGCTGCTGCCTGAAGTGGGTCATTTGAAGGTGAACGTAAAGCTAAGACCTTACGACGGAGTAGTGGTTTGTGGTCAGAAACACTCCAGTCAACTTTCAGTTCTTTTACTAGCTGTGTAGCATGTATGTTACTTGGTTTGCTTGGATCTTCTACTCCTATAAGCTGTGTATTAGTCATGCCTTCATTTTCGGCAGTTAGGAACATTTGATGAATGAAGTGGTATTCTGTACCCATAATGCCATGAATTGTATGGCCAAGACCAAAAATATGACCCATCTCATGACAAGTAGCACCAAGAGTAGAAGCATAGCAGCCTCCATAAGTTCCTCTGTAAAAGTAAGAAGTTTTAAAATTATTTCACAAAATCAGTTGACTTATTTATTTTTAAATGAATGAAAATGTTCAAAACTGACCGATAATTGCTGTCATCCATAAACAGGGTTTTGTCAACTTTGGTGTTATTTATAAGCCGTGGTTCTACTTCATCTACTGTAGTTGCCCAGGTATGTAAGCACCCAGTACCAATCAATGCTAGGCCCCCTCCACCCATGGCCACATAACCATCAGTGCATTTGAGAATGTCGTCATGAGAAGGTCGACTACCCGTGACTGATTGTCCGTTGTAGAAAGTTGAAGACAGAAATGCGACAAACTTGTGCTTCTCATTTCCCAACTGAGAGCTCATTATCTCTCTGGCAAGAGACGCCCACAAGTCCTTCATTGGCTTCGAGTGAGCATCATCAACTGAAATATTACTATAGAATACATTTACATCAGGAACCTTAGGGTTTGTATCCGACTGCAGTTGGAAGGTACATCGGCCAAATCCACCCTGTTTCAGTTTTTCTGCAAATAAAGACTGCACAAGTCGAATTCCTACATCTATCCTGTCACAGGCACTGTCAATTGAATTGTCTTCGTATTCAGGGGCCTGAAAACGTCCGTCATGGCCTTTACATATAACATAAAGTGGTAGCACGCAGAAAGAGGTGTTTCTAGGCTTAAACACCAGAGTGAATTCTGTTAAAAATGAACAGTATTTGATTGAGAATGTATTAACACCTTTCTCTAATCTTAAAATGAATTTGAAATAACAGGTTTTTGAAACATAGTGAATTGTTGTATTGGGAGCACACCATGACCTACTGAAACGGTCCACAGTCACAGTCCTTGATTGACAATTGTTACCACAAGATTTCACATTGCCTTCAACAACCACAATAGAATGTGACACTTCTTCATTATTGCAAAAATTTAGGATGTCAATACCATGACTCTCTGCAGAACAGGCCATAGGTTTGCTCTCCATGTCGCCCTGATTGTGACGACTTTACACTGAATAGTACAGAAATAAGTAATGTGAAGCAGTCAATGGCTGGGAGAGAAAGCATAGTTTCCTGAAAATGAAAAACATAATTATTTTATATCTCAGTCCGATAAACTAAAAGACACAAAATAATTAGACCACAGTACTGTCGATCAGATCAAAGCAATGACTACACAATGTGCTGGAAAGCAACTTGCCTTGCCACATATAATAAAATGGGAGGGTAATAAAATCCCTAAAGAATACACTCATCAGGAGTATGATGGGCCTCTGGCATTTTGTTTCACTAACATATTTGCTGATGTTAAGATGTTAAGCTTGTTGTGTTATTGTGTTAGCGGGAGCAGACGACAGCAAAAGCAGACGACTAACCCTACTCCCCTCACGAGACTAGCTCTCGTGTATGAGAAATTTATTGAAACGTAGTTAGAGTCTTTGGCGCTCGGAGTAGCGACGGGAGCGACGGGAGCGGAGGGTGGAATGATGAGTCCCAAATATTCAGTTTCACCGACAAAATGACGCGAATCGACCTCTAAGAGACCATAAGCGATTTTTCAATCCTCTATCGTCTGTTCTTTGTGACCCGCACGGAGGCGGCCCGCTCTCCTTCTGTTCTTCTTCTCGGGTCCGCTAAAAGTCTATTTCACGAACTTTCGCCAAACTTGGTACCATCTCAATCCGTGCCGCTGTCCGGTGAAGCCCTCAAGTCACAGAACCACGCCTACGCCTACGGCCCTCTCCGCAGGACTTGGCCGCCTACCCCAACCTCGGCCTGCCTCGGCCTGCCTCGGCCACCCCGCGGCGGCAGGCGGCACCTCCCCCGCCCCCGCCCTACCCCACTCGCAGCCCCCTCCGCCCTCCGCCTGGCGAGGGGCTTGGCTCCGGGCCGCCGGCGGCGTGAGCGGCGAGCGGCGTGAGCATCCAGTGGGCGGCAGACTGCCTTCCCGTCGAGTCCCCGTCCGCAGCTACGCAACGCCCTCGCCGACGCCCAGCCCCACGTGGCGCCGACCGACGCGGCGTCGCGAACGTCTTGACGCGCAGCGACCGAGCTCCCAGTGTACCCACGTCGACGTGCACCCCACCTCCCTGCAGTGCCTCGTGGAGGCCTGAAGGCCCTGAAGGGGCTGGCGGAGGCCGGGCGCCTGTGGCCGACGCCGTGCTATGCCGCAGACGCCGGCACGCTGATGGCGCTGCAGGCGCTGAAGATGGGACGAGGGGTGCGGCCGGCGCGGCCCTGGCCGGCCAGCGTGCTGCTGCTGGCGGTCGTCTTCGTCACAGGTAGATGAAGCACCAGTTCCCTCGGAGCGCCCCGGCCGGACCGATGTCATTTGCCAGACAGAAAATCAGGCACCGAGTGCGCCGCTACTACTTTTGCACCGATCTACCGTAGCGACGGCAGTTTGTTGAGTCGGCCCGACTGCGTGACGCTGCGTAACAACGTGCGGGCGAGGGACGGCCGTTGCCCGTCTCCAAGAGTCGAGACGTTGGTAACGGAATCACCTGCGTACGACAGGGAGGGATGAATTGCCCGAGTCTCTTTCCCTCTCACTCACATTTTTTGTATATTTTTTTTCTTTTCTTTGTGATGCCAGGCACCACTTCTTGACTGCGTGCTCGGCGGGGTGGAAACCAACACGCATCCCTTGCGCCCCGCTCCGCCAAATCCCCGGCGAGGCCGCGAAAGATCCCCGCGAGACACGCAGTCGCGTCGGCTCCAAATGAGACTCTGATTAAGTTTAAGCCGACCAACAAGGGGAAAGTGACTCCCACAAGTTTATGTCGTCACGGCGGCGGCAAGCGCGAAACGGCGGAGCCGCTAATAACTCGACGCAGAGCAGCAGAGCAAAGCAAAGCCCGGCCAACAACGAGGCGACGGCGGACAAGGACACGGAGCCTCTCTCTCTCTCTCCCCCTCCGCGGTCGGACCGGACCGTCGCACGGCGTCGCACGGCCTAGAGCGTCCCTTCCTTTGGCAGCCGGTTTCACGTGTCTGGCTCGTCGCTCTGTCTCTCTCGCACCTACAAGCGACGCCCACAACTGTCTCTATCGCACCTACAAGCGACGCCCACAACTGTCTCTATCGCACCTACAAGCGACGCCCACAAGTGCGAGAGAGACAGAGCGACGAGAACGACCCTCAGAGTCAGTCTGCTGGCCTCTGGCCTGCCCTTTTTTTTACGGTGTCGTTATGTGCGCGCTGCGTTCATAGAGTTTGGCCGTGGCTTTTTCTCCACGGGAAGGAAGTAACGACCTTCCGACTATTTAGGAATCTCGCGAAAACAGCGCGGGGCTTGGCTTGGCTTGCCCTGGCGCTCCGCCGCGCTCCGCCGCGCTCCGCCGGGCTTATTACGGGTCTTAATGCCATCAAGAGGCAGGCGAACATTACCAACATTACGGGGCTAACGGCGGCAGCACCGTCCCCCGGCCAGCCTCTGTCTCTCTCGCACCTTTCGGGGACGCACCTCGAGTGCGAGAGAGACAGAGCGACGACTCTCGGAGTCAGTCATCAGGCCGGCGGCGGTGGTCGGGCTGCGGGTGCAGCCTGATTCCGCGCTGTCTCTCTCGCGCCCCTGCGCTGCGCGCCTGCAGAGCGAGAGAGACAGCAGGGAGGCTGCGCCCTCTTTTAGGGCCTCGGAAAATAATAATGAGGACAGCCTGCAGCGCGTATTACTTATTTTCGAGACAATGTCGTCCATTATGGAAGTGGGACCCGCTTCCGGGGATGATCCCCACTCGCGTGGCATTCTCTGGGGTAGTTCGGAGGTACGAATGAGGTAGCAACGCTGGCGGGGCGGTGTTGGCAGAGCCAGGGGCAGTGCCGGCGTGTAACCACTCCGACTGCTACCCGGCGCCCTCCGCCGCGCGCCGCACCGCCGCACCGCGGCAGAAGGAGCCTGGATATTAAATCAACAAACTGTTTGATCGGGCTGTTTGCTTCGACATCAGGAGGCCGGAGACTCGGGCCGCAGTCACCTCGCCGGAGAGTGGAGAATGAGGCTGGCGCGGTGGTGGCGGCGGTGCAGCGCGGTGCAGCCCCGATGTGTGGCCGCAACCCGCACGGCGAAGCAGTGTCGTTGCCAACCCTTCCTTCCCTGCTTCGGCTTCGGCCCGCCGTACCCCGCCCTCACCCCCACCCCCCGGCCGGCGCGTTTTGAGCCCAAGCCGCCATATTTCCGTATTTCCGTACTTGCCGGCGCTCCCCTCCCTTTCCACTCCAATCTCCATTCATCTCTGATGTCATGCCGGGGCCGGCGGGGCGGCACTGGGCCCTAACCTTACCAGCACTGGGCAGGCATGTTATTAATTAACAGCAGACAGACTATATTAGGGCCGAGGCCGCCGAGGCCGCCGAGGCACGAGGGGAGCGGCCGTCGCAGTCGGGAGAGTCTTGCGCCATCAAGGCGGTGACGTCCCGTCATCCTCGCGACCCCTCGACCTCGCGGCCCTGCGGCCGTGCAGTCGGCGCCACGGGCCCCCGCCCCCCGCCGCCCCGCCTCCCTCCCGGACGATTTAAACGCGTCCTCCAGCGATAATACGTCGCCTCCGTGGCGGCCTCCACCACGGCCTCCGCCACGGCCTCCACCACGGCCTCCACCACGGCCTCCACCACGGCCTCCACCACGGCCTCCACCACGGCCTCCACCACGGCCTCCACCACGGCCTCCACCACGGCCTCCACCACGGCCTCCACCACGGCCTCCACCACGGCCTCCACCACGGCCTCCACCACGGCCTCCACCACGGCCTCCACCACGGCCTCCACCACGGTCGCCTCGCGGTCGGTCTCCATGACGGTGCATGGCCCGCGTCTGTTTGTCGGGGCCTTGTCCCAGGACGATTAAATCCGGCGTTATTGCCCCAACTCTGGTCTGCGCCCATGCGGCCCATGCCCCTCGGGAGTCCGCCGCCGCCCCCTTCTGAAAGGCCGCCCCCTTGAAAGGCACGGCCAGGGCACCGCCGGGGCACCGCCTTCCCTTCCTTGCCAAGTGAGGACAACCGCAGTGGGAAAAGTTTTTCTTGTGCGCATAGAGGAGCCATCTCGGGCTGTGGAGACGGGCCGCCGGCCGTCGGGGCTTCCCTTCCGTCGATCGGAGGCGCATTCCCCGCTTCTCTCTCTCTTCCTGATCCAGATCCACGCTCACCGCTCACATTGGCGTTCACATCCACGCCCCCTCCACCGCCCCCGTTCGCTTCGCCAGCTTCGCCAGCCCCACTTGAGCCACCGCCTCTGATTCCCTCGCCGCCAAACTTGCGGCTAAGTCTTAAAATCCGCGGTTTACAATGGCACGGCCCGGCCCGGCACGGCGCGGCACGGCGCGGCTAAGTGGGGATGGGGCGGGACGGATGGCTCAGCCAGCAATATTTTCCGGTGAAGTTTGAGCCGGGAGAAACACGGCGTTCCTGGAGCTTGACGGCCGAGGCCGCCGAGCGGAGCGGTGGAGCGGCGCGCCGTTTTTAAGAGCAAACAGAGTTCCGAAATTCCAGTCATTCACGAGGGACGGCGGGCAGCCTGGCGTACAGTCGCGCAACGCCACCGCCTTGTCGAACGTTCTCGCTGCCCGAGGCGCGCGCTGAGAGTCATCTCGCCAGAATCACTCTTCCCGGGCAGTTAGTTGCGCAAAGCTAGCGACGGCCCGGACCGCCGTCCCACCAGAAGGCTGTCTCTCTCGCACCCCGAGGGAAGGCGCCGCGATTGCGAGAGAGACAGAGAGACAGAGACGCAGCCCGCAGTGAGGCCTCGCTCGAATCACATTGGCTCAGGTGCTCTCCCCGGTGCAGCTTCTGATGGCGTCCCGCCGAGCAGAGGACCAGCGGTGTGGGAAGGGGGAGGGGGGGTCGGCTGTTGCGGCGCCACCGGAAGGGAGGGTTGAAGATTAAAGTGGGCCGCAGAGGAGCGGACCGTGCTGGACCAGGCCGGCCGGGCACGCCGATTGCTCCAAATAAATGGCCCACGCGAGAGTGAAAGAGAACACGGTTTCTGGGAATTTGGGTTGAGACGTGCGCGCAGTGCACCCGATGAGCCACTCCCTGGGCTTGTTTACCTCTCCGTTTTTGTTGTCGTGCTTGTTGTTGTTGATGGCTCACGGTGGCCGCTGCTTGCCGCCGGCTCGCAATAAGGCTGTGTGGACCGAGCGGAGCGACAAAAAGGCTCCCAGTTTAAACACCGGGCGGGCGTCGAACCCGGGGCCCCGGACGGGGCTTGGGCGACCATCCAGGTGAGTCCCCATATTTCGCACCCCGTGGGCCAGGGGGCAGCCTGCGCGCGGCGTGGGCGATAGTTGGGTGCCCGGGATTGGAGGAGCGGGGAGGGTGGTGTGCCCCCCACTGATACGACCCCCGGCAGGGCCTGCAGGGCCCAGGCCAGGCCAGACCCGGTCCAGCCGTTAATCCCCACC